GCATTCGCCGAGGGGTCCTCATAAGAATAGCCAAGGTAATAATCCTCAACCCCATCGCCCGTATGAGAAGTTGAACCCTCAAAGAGGTCAAAGATAGCTTGGGCGGGGCAAGTGCTAGTTAATTTTTGGGACTTGGCAGGAGCCTTGCCCGCAGACACACTATTTCCTTTCCAAGAGCGCTTACGTGTGACCTCCTGATCCGAGGGCTGAGAGTCCTCTGAGTCAAAGAGTAAATGTGCGGTGGGACGGCTTTTCATGGAAGGCTGCTAACACCTTGGGGACGGATTCGACAATGGTTGAAACCAGCCAAGCTTTACGTTCCTGAGAGATTGCAGGCTCAGAATTGTCAGACATGTTAGGTCTTATTTAGTAACTTGATAGTCGGGTAAGACAGGTGATATTAAATGGGGTTCACCCAAGTGTGCTTAGTAAAATTTATAAACGGGGGTCACTCAAATTAGCGTAGTTTGATAAGTAAGGGCGGCACAATATTCAGTGCGGTAGACTACTAAATTATACAAGTGGGTTGTACCACTGTAACAATAAGAAGTGGGGTTCACCACTCAAATAGCCAGACTTTTTTATTTTTTTTTATTTTTTTAAATAGGGAGGTCTGTAAAATATGTAATAAAGTGTTGGGTCACTCACTGTAGTAATGGTGTTGAAACACCGGTTATAAATTGCTTATAAAAGTGAATAAAAGGTGGGGGTCACCCACAACAAACATACAATGAACAAAGTGACAGAGAAAAAAGGTGGGGGTCACCCACAAGGCACTCCTTTATTTAATAATAATAAGACACAGCAGGTAATTTCCTGTCAAGAAAACAAATTGGGAAAATTAATAACTTAGAAAAAAAGTTGTTGGCACCTTAAGGGTGCTGAGCAACAACCTAAATAGGGTACTTACCGGATCCGACTGAGACAAAACAATTGCGCTGATAAGCAAAGTAAACCGCGGTTTAAGATGGCTGCAGACCACAGACTCACCTGGGAGGCAAGCAGCAAAGAAAGAGGGTTTGGTAGGAGCTTGATGACATCATATAATACCGTTCTACACTGATTGGTTGAATTGTTTTCACTTTATTGTTAACTATTGCTCTGCTGCTGGGAGGTTCAGTAAAGAAAGATAAGCAAATATGAAGCCTCCTGTCTTGCCATAAAATTAGAGATTAGTGCCACTAATAATATACTGGATTGCCTACTTATAACCAGATGAGGACAAGTGGATGATGATGGGCTCAGGCTGGCTCTACTGGTCTGGTGTTAAAACAGGCTCTCTGGATGCAGTGCTCACAAAAATCAACAAACAGGAAGCAGCTCCATTTTCTGGGGCCCCTTATACAACTGGATTACAGGCCGAACCTTCAGGGCCTGACTATGAGTATGCTTACAAGGCCCACCCATGAGTTTGCTCACAGGGAGTGGAGTGTACGTGTAAAGGGGATGTTATTGTAGAGGATGTAATATGTGTGTTCTTATGGAATGTAGTGTATAGGGATACCAGTTTGTGTAAGGGATGCGAGGTGTGTTTCTGTACATGTAATGCAATGCAGTGTGTGTCTGTATGGGAGCATTGAGTGCGTGTAAGAGATGCATTAAGAGAAGCAGAGTGTGTGTGTGTGTATATATATATATATATATATATATATATATATATATATATATATATATACACATACACAAAGGATGCATTGTGTGTGTGTATAAGGGAAGCATGGTATTTTTCAGTGTGTCTGTATGTTAGTAGGGATGCATTGTATGTTTCTGTGTGTGTGTGTGTAAGGAGGCATTGTGTATGTGTGAAAGAGGGTTTGTGGGGTAGGATGGGGCTGAGAGGGGAGCAGCTCTTTATTTTTATTATATTTATTTTGTCAATGTATTTTTTTTTTGTAATTGTCTTTAAGTTGTGTCTTACACGCCCCTTTGGTGTATCTCTTACAAGCCCCCTGTGTCTCTCTAAACCCCCCCCAACCCCCTTTGTATGTGTCCTACATCCTCCAAAACCCCTTGCGTGTCTTAAGCCCTTTTGTGTCTTACTCTTCCCAGCTCCTTGGTGCGTCTCCCCCCCGCAGTCACTCAGAGACTCCCTCCTGAATCTGTCTCCCCTATCAGCCCTTATGTGCTTCTCTTTCACCTCTTCTTCAGCCTCTTTGTCTTACATTCTCCCCCCCCCCTTAATGATCTCTACCATGGTCTCTCAGTGCTCTTCCCCCCCCTATCTTTCCCTTAGGGGGTGTAAGGAGAGATCACCAAGGGAAAGATAGGGGAGGGGCGGTGTAAGGAGAGATCACTCAGGGAAAGATATGGGGAGTAGGGGGGGTAAGGAGAGATCACTAAGGGAAAGATATTGGGGCGTAAGGAAAGATCTCAATCTTTCCCTTAGTGGTCTCTCCTCTCCCCACCACCCCCATCTTTCCTTTAGTGGTCTCTCCACCAACCCCATCTTTCCCTTAGTGGTCTCTCTCTCCACCCCCGCCCCCCCACCTTTCCCTTAGTGCTGACTCCCCTCCTTTCCCTTTTGTGCCTCCTACCTCTTTGTAGCATGGCTGAGCAGCGCAGACCGCGGTACAGGAGCATCAGTTTCCTGTACCCGGCCAGACTGACAAGAAGTGCTGAGAGAGCACTTCCTTTCAGTCCGGCTGGGTACATGAAACTGAAACTCCTGTTCCGCGCCGCCCAGCCACACTACATGGAGTGACTGGTAAGAGGGAGCACTGTGTGCTTCCATCCTACCGGGTCACTCAAATCTGGCGCGCGGGGCTGTTGCGCCCCAGGCGACCGCCTAAGTTGACTATAGGACGCGCTGGCCCTGGTCCAGAGGTACCCTGTATGTGTTGCCAGTTTGCTGGTCAGATTTGTAATAGCGGAACTCAGACCCAAATCTTAAGTTTGTTGCAGGACACCGCTGTGTACCCATATTTTGGCTTGACTTTAAAAAAAAAAAAAAAAAGAACTGGACTACAGGCTGGCTTCGTTCAGAGAGTTTTCAGAGAGGATTGAAAATCCATTTGATCTGTTTTGGATTAATTCCTCTATAACCAAACCTTTAACTTTAAGAAACCCCATTTTGAGAGATGCAGTTAAAGGAACACTATAGGGTCAGGAACACAAACATGTATTCCTAACCTTATTGTGTTAAAACCACCATCTAGTCCCCCAGGCACCAGCATGCCTCCCTAAATATTGAATACAAATCTTACTTGTATTCAAGTCTGCAGCTGCTGGCTCTGCCCCTGTCTGCCTACATCACCAGAAGTGGTGGTCTGAGCCAATCACAACCAATTGGCTGAGACTGTCAATGAGTCAGATCAGGGGCAGAGTCAGCACAAGTCAAACAATTCTGGCCAATCAGCATCTCCTCATAGATATGAACTGAATCAATGCATCTCTATGAGGAAAGTTCAGTGTCTGCATGCAGAGGGTGGAGACACTGAATGGCAGGACTGCACATTGTGCTGCACTGCCCAAGGAAGCAGCTTTAGCAGCCATCTGAGGAGTGGCCAGTGGAATTATCACTAGGCTGTAATGTAAACACAGCATTTTCTCAGGAAAGACAGTGTATACTGCAAAAAGCCTGAAGGGAATGATTCTACTTACCAGAACAAATACAATAAGCTGTAGTTGTTCTGGTGACGACTTGTATTAAAAACATCTTTACTCCTCCCAGTCTCCCTATTAGGGTACTTAAAGGGATACTACAGGCACTCAGAGCACTTCTGCTTATTGAATATTTGTACATCCTACACTTAAATTTTCACTTAAAACCAAATATATAAACTTTAATTTAACACTCCCTAAGATGGAAAAACTTAGGATATTGACTATTATGTACTATTAGCTATAAAAACCTGCAAAGCAGGAGACTGGTGTAAAGTGGACCCACCAGCATAGGCTGCAATAGTTAAAGGGACACTATAGTCACCAGAACTACAGCTTATTGAATTTGTTCTGGTGAGTAGAATCACTTTCAGGATTTTTTGTGGTCAACACGGTCTTTTCAGAGAAAACGCAGTGTTTACATTAGTGATAATTTCACTGGCCACTCCTCAGATAGCTGTTAGAGATCCTTCCTGGGTCATGGCTGCCTAAAATGCATCCAAACATTCAGTGTCTCCACCCTCTGCATGCGGACACTGAACTTTCCTCATAGAGATTCATTGTTTTAATTCATCTCTATGAGGAGATACTGATTGGCCAGGGCTGTGTTTGAATCATGCTGGCTCTGCCCCTGATCTGCCTCTTTGTCAGTCTCAGCCAATCCTATGGGGTAGCACTGTGATTGGATCAGGTTACCACTTCTGATGATGTCAGCAGACTGCTTGTTTTTTTTTTGTTTTTTTTTTAGGCAAACCGCATGTAGATCTACAGCTTCTGGCTTGAATACAGTAAGATTTTGCTATATTTATGGAGGCATGAGGTGCCCAGATGGTGGTTTTACCACTGTAGGGTCAGGAATATGTTTGTGTTCCTGACCCTACAGTGATCCTTTAATGAGATATTTTCAAGGAAACATGGAACATTATTTTTACATAACGTATGGCACATTGCTCATATATTATAAAATCCGGACCCCACGGTTTGAATACATAAGTATAGATCAATCCCTGGATAGGATAATGTTTACTATATTACCAAGTCTGTTTAAAGTTATTTTTTTCTTTACGCTCCAGTGATCCAATGCTCGTAGAAGTATGAATTGAAGAGTATTTAATATCGTGTATGAATAAAAATTTTTTTCTTGTTTATATGGGTTAACATTTATCTAGTCTAGTTTGTACTATTACCCTCTTTGGACAAGATTATGTATATGTATCAGCTTGTGTAATTGTGAAACTTTTTATTTTTGTAGATTTTTCTTCTGTAAAATTATTCAATTATTGGAATGAAAAAAAAAAAAAAAGGTTCTCTCTGGCTTGCCGCAGACAGTTCCAACATTCCATGGAGTTCACTTACAGACTATGCACTTAGTCTCAGAAAAAATAAATGCAACAGAGCAGTTGGTCTTTTCCATATTTTATTGGGTAATTTAAAAGGTAACAATAGTGTTAAAACTACTACAATATCTCTCCACAGCCATAGCTCACAGACCCACAAATAACCTTCTATATATAGAATTTTTTTTTTGCCTTTTCGCCATTTTAACCTTTTTTTAGCCTTACCTATCATAATAAAATGCCCATTTTAACAGTTTCTTCACACTAATAGCAAATATATGTGGAAGTAAAGGGAGGGGAGGATCTAGTATTAATGGAAGGGAGAGTGGGTGGTTCGCCATTTCTGATGTCATTGTATTCCATAATCTGGTTAATAGAGCTATGGAAGGCAGGGATCGGCTACACCAGGTAGCATTAGACCCACCTTTTTTACAGTCCCTCTCATAATTGAAGAGCCCCCCAAGGACATTGCTCTGCAATGTAATCTGTGAATCTTTACTATAGAGAGGGTTATCACCAAAGCTTTGTCTTCAAGCTGGTGATATATCCAAAGTAATCTTGTTCTGTAACATATAAAAACACTAACTTAGAAACTAGATCCCATTTTTTTTTTTGAAAAAGAATCAACTTTGATATACAAAAACAGTCATTTTATGTTTTATACAAAAGTGTCAAACATAAGTTTATTTTCTCAGTGCGTTTTTCAACCAGCTTAGTTACTGGGTCCAGCGCAATGTATTAAAGTTTTTATTTTCTGGAACAGTAAAAAAAAATGCAAGGAAAAAAACCCCAAAAAAACATCTTATAGAAAGAATCATTGCTGGTTTTAAGAATGAATGTAACATGAAACCCTTCAAATCTTAGAGGCACAAAATAGGGTTTCTTGGGGGGGAGAAAAAAAAACAAAAAACACATTTAGTTTAAACAGAGGATGCATTCTGTTTCCAGTCCCCTAAAATAAACTTGATTCAATGAAACACTAGAAGAAAAATGTTAGAAACTGTACAAAAATAATAAAAAGAAAGTTGAACACAGAATCCTGCAGGATTGTTTGATAGAACAGAAAGGCTTTTTAAGGAGCAGCATTAAAGTATGGCTGGAGGTTTCTTTGGTTTGGTCTAACATACAAGAGATAAAAATCTCAGACAGATGTATTTTTTTTTCTTTACTTTAAGAAACCTGAACATGTGAAGACAAGAAGTAAAAAGCATGTTATACAAGTGAGATGTTTTTCAACCTAAACAGCAACTAAATGTTTAATGCAGTATGGATACTGCAATAAGCCATACTGAAAGGACTCTCCTCTGACTGTAAACCACCTTAAATAATACTAGCATGACATACACATGGAAGGAAGCTTGAGAAATAGCATGAGCTTTTACACTATGGGATATCCTTAGCTAAAATTAACCTAACACGTGCAGCCTCACATTTTTCAAATCATGCAGGTGTCAACATAAGTATCAGTTTTCCAAAAAGATATACTTACATGCTACCTGCCAGAGTAGACGGCAATAATAAAGCAGTAAAAGGTCAGAATACACTCCCAGGTTTGGTTCCTTAAAGGAACGTGTGAAGCTTATTAGGATAATGCTTTCAGATGCAAACTGATGTTGAGTGTCCTTTAACCACTTATCAAAGGTCCACAGCTTCAGCGACAGAACATTTCGGTTCTACCACTTTAAAATTTCCCTCTATGATTCACTGCTCTGTCTAATGAGAAGTGCACTAGGAATGAAAAATACACAGTATCACTGGGCAGCTGTGGAACCGCAAAGGCAGCATCAAGGACAGTGAAATATTAGACTGCAGATGAAAATTAAATCTACACTTTAAGCAAAAAAAAAAGTCTACATTAATGGTTGAATTGTATTTGATGTGACAAAATTCTCTCTCTCTATTTTGAGTTTTAAAAACAAATAGCAGCCATCTTGGGAGATTATTAAAATCTTGTTCTACTTGATAGTCATTTTTCCAACATAATATATATCCACACACCAGTTTGCAAAAGAAACAGATCAACTTACTACAAAGAGAAACAGACTAAAAAACCGAGCATACATTCTGCATTGACAGTCCTGCATTTAATACAATTTGTTTTTCTATATCATTTGTGTACCTAATTGCTACCATAGAATAAATGATTTTAAGGGCCAAAATAATAAAATTATAAAATGAAGTTGACAAAAGAAAGGTGTGAACTGCCTTCAACTAAAACACTAACATGATTTGTCACTTCAAGACACTTTAAATTTGAGCACTTACATTTTCAAAGAAATAAAATCGATTCAATTGTAATTAAAAAGGGGTTAAATGAACCAAAAATACACATGGGGAAATAAGATGTAAAGGTAAAAATATATATTTTTTTATATATAAATACAAATACCTTCCCTACCCAAAAAAGATCAATGTCTTACTGGTCACTTGTGTACGTGTGTGTTTTTCCCAAATTAGCTCCTCTCTAATATTTTGGCTTTAGCGGCATTTAGCCCAGATGAGTAAGTCAAGACTGAAGACAAATGGGTTATCAGCATGCAACAAGTTTCACTTTAGACCAATTGCATAAGCTACCAATGGCAACATGCATGGAGTTCTAAGAGGGGGGAGTTTGTTTTCCAAAAAAAATGTAATTGTTTGAAGACATGGCCTACTTTTGTGGACTGTGAGGCTCTACTGATCCTTTGCTGTTGAATATGATCGACATGTATTACAGGATCTCCAGGTAGTGTCTGAACATTCTTATAGTAGTCTTTGTGTGTAACTTTATTCACAGTACACTCTCACTGTTGTATAACAGTCTTTAAACTAAATTTTTTTTAAATATATTTAAAGGAAAATAGACGCTAAAATCTAAGCCTCTTATATGACATTGATTTGTTGCATATACATGTATTAAATGCATACATATGCAGAACACTGCCTCCAGGCACTGCACTGAAAAACTACATGCAGTTTTATATAGAGGCATATTCATGACTGTTCTACATTGTCACACAAGATGAACTTACATCTCAACATCAGTTGTCCTTTAATAACTACTGAAAGACAATGCCTTTTGAACCAAGTGTTATACAAAAGGACACACAAAATCCTTTTTGTGGACTTTTTTCCCCCCCAAAGCCATGCTGGGAAGTATTGCTGACCTTGATCTATCAAAACCTGCAGGATTGGCAATTCTTCAATATCGCATTATTACAATGGTAAGAAACATCTGTATAACATCTGCATATATCAAGGATTAGTAAAAATCTGATATGATCTTCAGTTGGCATGACCAGTCACAGGACCTTGTGCAAGGATGATTAGCACCTTTAAATACATAGAGTTTAAAAATGAAAAGAAAAAAAACAAAGATCATTCTGAAGAATGAACACATTGCAACTGGGCAAATGAGATCTGAAAGTTTTTTTTTGCACCAGTAAAAATAAAATAAAAAAACAAGTCCTCTTATTTTTGCTGCAGCAACAGCAGAAGAAAGCATGATTAGGCTTGTGCTCACTTTATTTTGTGGATAAAAATAAAGGGCTGATGTAATAAACACTGTTTTAATGGTAAAACACAACTACATTTCTTCCATTTCAATATATGACAGGAAACGGAGGGAGCAGACTACCACTTGAAATTCCCACAACAGAGAACCTGGTAAGATATCTCCACTCCGTCTAACTGCACAGAATTCTACAATAGACTAGTGAGAAATACAATGTTGCACAGCTACAGCATACCACTATGATAGCAGATTAAGGCATCAAAATGAACTAAGTGGTGATATACTGCTAAGAGGTGTCACTCCATTCTTTTCAGTAGAAAAGGGCCTGCAAGGTTTTTATAAAGGTTATGTGGAAAATGAAATATTTGCTACCAAAAAGGTCTGTAGAGTGATACGTTCATTCAACAGCTCCAATAACAGTTTTGTGACAGGGGTGTATAGAAGCTGTATTAAACCCTCTAAATGAAGCAGTGCTTTAGATCTAGCCACTTGGCATAGTGATTTATAGCCTATACTTTTTCCTGGAATCACAGAAGAAAGACTTTTATTCTAAGCAGATCTCATCTTAAATATTAGACAACCATTTCGTCTTATGTTCTACAACTACATAGGATGTTCCTCACCAATATCTGGACATTTTGTGATTTTTTTCATTGTCCTTCACGTTCTACGTCTTTGTTGGAAACACACGGCATGCTACAAAATGGCTTCAACCCACCTGGCACCAATCATGTTGAAAGTTTAAGAAGCACCTGCAGTAGCACCATGGGCAATGGCAAAAAAATAAATAAAAATGCTAATTTTCAATGCCTGAGATCTGTAAAGCTATGATGCACTAATGGCACTTGAGGATAAAAGCAGAAAAGGAGTTTTAGAACCACATCAAAAAGAATAGAAATTACATAACCATATCGCTCTCCCCACTCTCAAACATAATATGAGAGTTGTAGAAAAACTAGGCTGACATCGTTCGGGTTCTAAACAAAACTAAAAGCAGATGACCACAGAAAGCAGTTCAATCACTGAACAAATAATGTACCTTAATTCCAAACCGAATGCTTCTGCTCCCTCCAGTGTTAGTATTTTGTTGTTGTCTCTCTTTAATTAAGCCTATTGAACAACTGAACAATGAAATATAAATAACTGTCTGAAAGAACAGACTTTTTAATTTAAAATTTTGTGGCATCTGGATCACTTTCCCTTTGCACAAAAGGCTATCAAGTTCAGAGGGATTAGTAGAACTATATGCAATAAAACAATCAAGGAGGGTTTATGATTAACCAATTCTAATTGAACCTGTAGGGATTGTAACCCTACACAGCTCAGCAATTCTGAGGTAGGCTTTGAATGTCACTTAAGCAATACACATGTCCACTGTAATTTGTCAATATCACAGCTAATGCATATGTTGAGGAGGGTATAGTAGAGTGCCAAGTATCCAAGGGAGTGTAGGTACAAAATGTTAGATGAAAGAAGAAACCTCAGCGGGAAGCAAAAAGAGCCAATGTTTTTAAGCAATCCTCCATTGAATAAATATATATATATATATATATATATATATATATATATATATATATATATATATATATATATATATATATATATATCTGGGAATAAAAAAAATAAATCTTAATGATTTATAATAAGGTTAATAAAAACCCATGTTCTAACTCCATAACCGCTTTGAAACTGCTAAAAAAAAAAAAAAAAAATTAAAATTAAATTGTGATATGTTTGAGACTAACCAAGTTTGTGTACACACAGAAAATCCCTACTTATGTTTGTGCCAATCTAAGACAATGCACTCCCCTACTTTTACTTCTTTTCGCAACAAGAACACCTGAATAGTAGATAAAAACTTGGCAAAATATTTTGGAAGGGGAGGAGATAAAGATGCATGCTGCTGCAGCAAAAATAGAAGATCATCAGTAGCTCAAAATAATCCTACAAAAAAAAATAAAAAAATCTTGTGGGTATTTAATATATCTTCCCACCCGTTGCCCTGGTTAGCATTGACAAGCATGCAATGCATGAACAGGACAACGGAAACAATCATCATAAAATAGTACAGTAATAGAGATAGCTAGACCAAGAGGGAGCAGGGTCCCCTGGGAAGAGTTCTGCTGAGAGGTCCAGTGACTGGTCATGCGGCTCAGTGTCAGGAATAATGGTTGTAGGGTGGGAGAGGGTGCCCGATGCCATTTTGAAAGTGATGGTGCTGACGATGAGAAAGGTATTCGGTGTAGCTCATGGTCATTTTTTCACTACGGTATCTGTATATATTAAAGAAAAAAAAAAAGAGCAAAAACAAATTGCATTAAGAAAAAGAACACAACCTACAAACATTTACAATTGTGCACATTAAAAAAAAAAAATTGCAATTAAACATTAACATTCTCAAGCTTTGATATATCTACAAACAGGTCAAGTTTTAGGGCGCAATAAAGTCAATATTGAAGAGCCATTACAATCTCCAGAAACTCTTCAATGTATTAGAGCAGTTGATGTGCAAGAAAGCAGTCTCTAGCAACTTTAATTTCAAGAAAATTTTCTATTCTTTCACATAATTGTCTGATGCTCCACACAATTTATGAAAACCTCACTTCTTCACTCAAAGTACTTTTACATCATAACTATTCACAGTCCACTCATACCAAGCATGGCAGCTTTTTCAACTTGCAGGCACTGTTTCCTGCCTGCCCTAGAGTGCTGTGCAAGAATATCTAATGACATAATGAGACAAAGACAGAAACAGCTAGTGATGTAACGTTATGTAGCAATTCAATGATACAACACAATTTTATATAAGGTTTTAGTAGAGTTGGGGACACATGTCAGAGTAGTCGGTAATAAGAAAACATTAAATCACAAGAAAAGTAGTAGACATACTGGAAGGAAGTTGAGAAAAGGTATTAAGTAACTAGCTAGGGTGGCCTAATGTGCCTATAGAAAAGTTACATTATGAAACAAGCAAAGACAGGCTATAGGACATGTCTATGCTAACAAATTTGCAACAGTATCAACGAAGGATACCAATTAGATATGGTTACTAGAACTAAGCCATGCTCCACCGGGGCCAGACGTCCCTTCAGCGTTAAATCATATACAATGCAAATCATAATGAATAATAAAAGGTAGAACAAAGGGAAAACACATCAATGAGTATCATATGGTGGCTCCTACAATCTGAGACAGTTAAGATAACAGCAGTGAAACATCTGGTAAGTACAGGGTGACTACACAGACTGAAGAGTCTGTAATTAGCTGATTCCACTACTTAGAGAGAAAGCTGGTATTTGGAGGTTGCCAAGGGTGATTATGTGATGATGTTACGGGGCGAGGTAAGGTCTCCCACCAGTCCCAGGCCTTTGTGGAGGCCAGCACAGCGTCCTTCCCGAAACAGAAGGCTCAGGTGTTATGCTGCCACCAGTGGCAGATGGCCTTCCACCAATGCTTCAGGGGCGAGCCCCTGGTGTCCTTCAGCCTAGGAACGTGAGCAGCATATGTAACAGATGCAGGAAGAGAAGCTGTGCCCGAGAGAGGCCCACTAAGCTTCTGACTCTTCTTACCTCAATTCGCAGTTGATATGGTGTCAGAGCCATGCGCTTCTCCAACTCTACCAAAAGCGTTGGAATATCTCACCCAGCTGTCTAAGAAACTGCTCCACTGTAAAATGACTGTCTTTACAGGATTGCATAGGCATATACTCTGGTGATGGAGATGTATCCACCATCTAACTAGGTGCCCCACGTCCTAATCATGAACTGTGGCGATCGTCAGGAACCAAAGACAGGTGCATCGAGCTAGTGGGGACCAGGATAAACCCCCGCCGGTGTGGGCGGGGCAAGATGCGACCTTGCAGATGCAGGATGCTTGTGATGAAGCACTGTTGCATGTCCCAGTAGAGCGGCTGCCACTACAGTCAACGGGCTCACAGGCCTCACCTGCTAAGTGCCTACTATTGTGTACTCTGGAGGTTGAAGGTTCAAGGTACCCCTTTTAGTATTACATACAGGTGGGTCACAGACGGAGACACCCCAGCAAACTGAGTTCAATCTACGGCTTTTTGCAGGAGTTGAGTGAGGAGCTCTTACAGAATGCGACCAGCTGCCATGAGGTACAGGTGTCACAAGAAGACAATCTTTTCCTAATTACAATGGTAAAGGATGGATTCTGGGCACCGCAGATTATGCAAAATAATAAAGAAGGTGTTGTGAGAGCAGGAGAGATGGGTGGTGTTGCAGATGCAGTCACTCAAGGTTTTTGAGTAGCTTCTAATTCATTAAAAAAAAAAAAAAAAAAAGGTGTGTACCTAAGCTAATTATTTGCTTGATCTATACACCAAAACTGCAACATTAAGCTAAAGTTGTTTTGGTGACTCTAGTGTCCCTTTAAATACCAAGTGCTGCCAATGATGCAATGGAAATAAAGTTTCTTTATTTCATATTTAATGGACTGCTCAAGCTTTGTTTAGAAATGGAAATTCAATGTCAATGGGTAGCACTTTTTATTCTGTAAAGTTACACCAATACATATTTGTTTGTCTTGAATTTTATAGTTTCACAACCTCCACTGTGCCATGAAGAATGCCTAATAAACGTTAAAAAGTGTCCATCACATATCCCAATTTTTTTTTTTATAATTAAGGTGAATTAATGGGAATAACTATTTAAAGTTGCTATTTGCATTCAGGTATTATATGTTGAAATAATATATTACCATAAGGCCCTTTAAATCAATTAAGGGCAACCATTGGCATGCCAAATATTGCTGACTGGATTCATTATAATGCTTCACCAGTCATTTGATTACTGTAGTTTCATGCAAAACATAGTAACAGCTGGTGTGAGATTAGTCAACACTGTTCTAAATGGGTTAGAAATATGATATAAGAGAGCCATCTAATGATATGTAAGCAACATTGGCAAGTTCTGTTCATCTTCCCAGGAAAGGATCAGAAAGTATTATTACAAGCTTCCATTAAAACTCCAGGCCGAATGCTACAATATTGACTCTGGAATGGCGCTTAGCTATATTAAAGAGAACATTTCAACAACATGACCCTGCATTACAGAGTTTAGCTCTGGAGAGCAAACAGAAGTTCATGCATACTGGCTCTCTGGTGTGGCGAGTGGAGGCAGGAAGAAGTGTTCAGTGGACTCTAGGTATTCAAAAACTACTTGCAATTGGGATGCCTGAAGTGTTCTTTTGAGTATTTCTCTAATGGAAAAATTTATCTGCTGCCACTTGCTCATCAAAATTTAAAATTCATTGAAATAAAACAAACTGTCTGTAACAGCATGTGGAATTTGGCAAAACATACCTAGTAAGTTTTATTGTTTTCCTGAAGTCATTATTGATTGCAGCTTTGTATCCACCTTTCCTTAATAAAGAATCTATGGTCTGTATGTGGTCCCAACCTGTCAAAAAGATCATAATTATGAAAGCATTTGATGTTAACAGTGTGGCAAGCAAAAATTTTGAATACATTTTTTAATGAAACTGGAATGTATTAGTGTGTGAAACAACGAGGGGGAGGGGGAAAAGTAGAAGCATTGCCTCTTCACAGTTTGCCTGTATTTGGGTGCAAAGCATAGTCTGTGGGTTCTATACCCTGCAGATTAAACTAAACAATTAAATATCTCGATGGCTAGAATGCAAACACTAAAATTGCCAAAATCTGTGATGCTACCTAGTCAACTCCCTGGGGATATGTACATGTGGGACTAAACCAGGGCCCCATATGAACCTCAATAAATGACCAACAATTAGCAGCTTGTGTGTACGCACAATGTGCGGCAGAATACCATTTGCCTATGGACTTCACATTTGTAGCCTTTATTGCTTAAGTAATGACATTGCAACAAAGCTTAAGTAAATAAGAAACAAAAATGGGAATAGTCAACTCTATTTTGTAAAGCAGTGTGGCTAGAACAATGCATAAAGATCATCCTGTAGTATAACATGGCAACTGATATGTTTCAGTTCTGGCACAGCCAGCATGCACACCGCAATGGAGGAAACAAAAACAATGGCCTTTTGTTCCTCCTGGCCAATAGTTATGTTAAAATTGCACGTTATGCGGTTCTTTTTTTTTGTCCTTCAATGGCAGAAGGGTAATGCTTATAACTAGTGCTCAAATTTCCACTAGAAAGTGATTATTTAGCCCTGGTGAGCTTACTATGACTTGCCATGGAAGTAACTGAAGGCCTGACTAGAAGCATTGGATTTCAAATTTCACACTCTGCTTATAACAAATGTTCACTAGGATCCAAGATGGATGCACTCCATAGCTGGTATATATGGGATCTGTCTCGGTTCATGGGACCCTGGCTGCATTATTAGAAGGGGCAGAGCCAGCTGAGGGGCGGGACAGTGGTGAGGCTCAAAAAAAAAAAAAACAAACAAAAAAAAACAAACAGTTACTTGTTCTATTAAAATTGATTAAAAGCCTTCCACATGCCAGACACATTTATGTCAGTGGTACAAGCCCTGTATACCAAACCCGCAGCCCGAGTACTTAATGCTGGTTTCTTGTCAGACCAATTTGCCATAACGGGACACACCAGGGATGCCCACAGTCACAGTTGTTATACGTATTGGCTCTGGAACCCCTGGTGCACATGATTCGAAGATACCTCAATGAGTTCAACCAGAAGCACACTGGACATTCTCAAGGGTACTGAAATCTATATTTTGGACCCAAAAAATGCCAGACCCCCTTGGCCAGACATGCTGGACAGCACCAAATTACTCCTTCATGCTTGGGACTCCATTCACAGGGTTCTTTGCACTTTTTTTTACACCAAAACTACCTAGCCACTCCGCTGTATAGCATGCACCTTAGCAATACCACCTTCAATTACGCAATACGGAAACACAGTGGCTGCACACATGTGGCAAACATATCAGGGGTCATCCTGGAAGTTTCCCAGACCTTCAAACCCAATACAAAGTACCGCAGAAAGCCATCTTTTCCTATCTCCAACTCATGTCATATGCGCAGACCACAATGCAAAACTACCATCCCCCACCTTAAACAAATTTGAATCTCTATGCCTTGCCCCACGAACAAAAGAAGCTCTTATCCACTATATACCAGGTACTCCTTACAACACATTCTAGTCAGGAAGACACGTACATAATAGCATGGAACAAGGAGCTAGACAAAAACTTTACCATCGAGCAATGGCAAGAGGAATATATGGTGCACAAGGAAACCACAGCATGTACAACGTATCTAGAACTCATCTGCAAATTACAATACTGTTGGTACCTGGTCCCAGCAAGGCTAGCGCACATCTATCCTGGCACGTCTAATACATGCTTGAGGTGTCATGATGCGGTTGGCACCATGTACCATGTTTGGTGACAATGCCCAAAATTACAGGAATATTGGGACCTGGTTCAGGAAATAACACTTAAAACTCTGCCAATACATATATCTCTGACCCCAGAGTTATGCCTACTATTTATGGGCCTGAAACGGCTACCTAACATTGATCGTAAATTACTACTGCACATCATTGTTGCGAACACCTTACTTGCAGGGAGATGGAAAAACGACAATTGTTGCAGCAAATATCTACCAATTGGCCATACGAGGTCATGGTGAACTCACAAATTAGATCTGCCATGGCTACACAACTCGCCGGGGACAGATGGAAGCAGCAATGGGCAGTGCAGGCATAGCCAACATAATGAGTATTAATAATTTGGTCTCTTCTCACCACAAACTGCATGGGTACCTCACCCAGTCTCCACACCGCAGTGTAATCTCTCCCAATCGACTGAATTTCTCACGCTATACAATAAAACCGCCCTGGTTTGATGGCAATGTCTGAGGTGCAACTGACACTACCTGGTCCCCATGCAGAACAGCCAAACAATGTATCCCCCAGCATACCTCGAGGGGAAGAGGCACATTATCAGACACGGTGAACCCCGAATCACATGTGAATGAATGTTGTACCAATCGAGCATAGCCAACTCTTTCTAGTGTGAGGACACACAATGGAAACTGTAACACGTTATGCATTATGTATCACTTTTCGTATTTGGACTTATGTTTACCCACCCCTTTTTTTCTTTTCTGTATCCCCTTAGCTTATAAAAAGACAAATAAAAATTGATCAAAAGCAAATTGTGAATTTGCTTACCATCTTTGTTCTTTAAAATTCCTAAAAAGAGGAAAGTTCTAAAATAACTTTGCTGAATTTGCAGACCCCTGACATTGCCATTGCCACTGTGATGGTCAGTGCCGCATTAAGATTAATTAAAATGTCTCATTGCCTTTTTCACTAAAACACCAATAGCAAAATCCAAACATGTTTTTGAAGACTTGAGAGTGTTGCTGCCATGAATGGCATACAATCATACAATCTAATAAAATCGCTATATTAAGGCAACTCCCTTCTCTTCAGAGGATTACACTAGGACACAAAGTAAGCAAAACATAAATAAAAAAAAAATAAAAAATAAAAAAAATCACATTTATCATGGCATATTCATTAAAAATAGAGTGGACCAATTCCTTGAAAGTTAAAGGGACAGCGTTGGCTAACTTTCAGCCTATCAGAGGTGCTCAAGTCTGTGGCTTCCCAAATGAAGCCTCAGACTGGAACGGAAGTTCAGGGGCAGAACTAACGGGTGCTGAATTAAGCCTTTGGTTTTAACATTTGTTAGCAGTTTAACACCTTGAGGTAAGCCAGCACAAGGAACTTCCTTGCACCATAACTTCACCTTAATGAAGTTATGGTGCCTGAAGTGTTCCTTTAATATAAACCAGGATGCACACCATCAACAGTGTACCAGAACTATTGATGTAAATGTGTATATTGTATGTTTAGAGTCTAGCCATAACACTTCTAGTTTATCCTTTATAGGTTTGATTGTTATATTGTTTTGTAAATAGAGTCACATTTACACAGGCTGTATATTTTGTGTGCATCCTGATTTGTAATTAGACATTTACATTTTATACCTAGGGGAGTATCCCCTTAGTCTTGCAGCCTGTTTACATTTTTTTACATATTGTATTCTCCTACACAAAACATTGTGGAACGAATGGATTGATAATGTACCATACATGTTGGAGTAACATTGACTACACACTGAGTAACATGTAAATTATAGCCACTACTTTTAATATGTGCACTGTGATTTTTCACGCAATCATGTAGGGAATATTTTACACTACTGAACACACATACGATTAAGATGTAATAACATTACATTCAATTGTTAGGCAAGCATCCTTTAAAAAGATATGGATAGAAAAATCATAAATGTTAAAGGTGATATCTCTGTGAAAAATACTTGTGGCTTAGTACTCTACGAAAGCAGTGGTAGGCACTTAGAGAACTATACGGCTACTAACATACTAGGATTTAAGGTTATCCCCACCAAGGATGCGAACAGTTGGCACATTCATTTTAAGCAGCTCAGTGAGGCACATTTAATTATTTTTTTTTCCATTTAAGAGACACTTAAAGCACTACAATTCTGGCAATGAGAACTTTCTTTCCTAAATGGAACGATTTAATCATAAACACCAACTCTGATCATTGGGCTAGAGCACACTTCATGGAGAGTAAGCCCACATGTGTCAAACAGTACTAGTTAGTGGTTTGATTGGAGTCTTCCTCGCTATTATTCCCTGTAGGATAATTTTGGATGCATTCAAATTTCAGCTTCCACCAAAGGGGTAAAATAAATCACAATGAAAACCTTGTCAAGACGAATCCTACAAACAAGTTGAGCATTTGACAGGCAACATCCCACATTTTAAATGGAACTGGTGGTATGTTTTGAATGTTTAAGTTCTAATCTGTTTATTCCTTTGTCAAACAGCATGTAAAACATATGCAGGCTCCCATATGTTATACATACTTTATCCATATCAGTACATATATATTTGTCCATATCAGTGTGGATGACAATGAAATCCTGTGAGGCCAAGAAATACTTTGCTTTTTTGCACACAAAATTCTCCAGTAAAATCGTTCTAGATAACCTGGAAACCCGACATCTGAGTGTTTTCAATTAAACTGCATCTGTCAAATTAACCATATATTAATGTTCAAATGTTGCCCTTATTTAAGCAACTCAACTTTTCCCATGGTTGTGGGAGATTATTACAACAGATACTCATCTCAAGGACTTGTTTGAGATGTGTTCACATTGATTTAACTAGGATTAATTTCTACAGTTTGTAAATAAATGAAGTTACTTTTCATTGGCAGTGTCTTTTTATAAGTCAGTTCAGAGCAAACATTCAATCAGGGTTTAACTTTTCTAGAATCCAGGAAGGTCATTTTAATAAAACCATCTTAACAATAATTAGCCAAATACATAAATAAAACTACACAAAAACACAGATACAAAATGAGACGATTCTAACACATACATCCATAACGAGCCACTGACTGACCAAATCACAAATATATCTACCGATCCATTAATGTGTTCACAACATTCCATACAACAATTGTTTTCATACATTCTTTGGAAGCAGAGACAGCTTCAAGGCCTTGCATTCTTGCAACACCCTAACCCAAAGGCAGGAAAATATGACATTACACAATGCTGGTGTCATGAGTCCAAATGTTGCACAGGAATACAGGAGGCCCAAAATTATGTTTGCTGCTAAAGCAATCAGATCAGTGGGCGGAACTAATGTAGAAAGGGTCCGGTGCAAGAAATTTATTTTGGCCCTCTAGAGTACAAGAGCGGCCAAAAGGTAGCTTCCCATTTGTAGAACTCCCATAATGCTATTCCAGCTGGGGATTTACCATTTGCCCATCCTAGCGTTGTATTTTAACTAAATTGAGATTGTGTCTATATGAATACTAAAAATCTTTTTATGTAGATGCATATTTGTTTTCACGATCTTAATATTTTTAAAAAAATTATGATTATAAATGAACAGAATACGCCTGTCGAAATTAACTCATTCCTGAATTAGGAGCAAAGAAATCTCTAGTTAAATATCAGACTACTCGCAAAAATAATGTTTCTTACAATTACCGATTCTAGATACAAGAGTAATGAAATGTGTTAAAAATAAGTTTTTCATCAATTTTATACTAAAAAACTTACTCGTGTGGAAACTAGAACTTTATTTTTAATTGCTTGTACGTATACTATGTTTTATGATAAAACTTATATGTTTTTAATTTAGAACACACAAGTCTTTCCACACCCTGGATATGCAATCAGAGGGTGTATATACTCAACTCTAATCCCCAAGATAATCCATCTTGAGAAAGCCCGATCTAACAGGCGAAACGCGCAGATCTAATCTGGCTGGAATTTCTAATTTTGAATTGCGAGAACCACTACAGCAGTAGTGCCTGAAAGCCAGCGTCTCTGCAAGGAGATTGATTAGAGTACACAGGACCGGTCTGCATACATCCATCAGCGGAGCGGTAACCATCAATATCCCGGTTAGTACACTGTATTGTACCAATGCTTATATAGTGGTACTTAGAAATAGGTTCCACCACGATATTCTGTAAGAGTTCTCATTTAGGGTTTTTTTTGTATGGGAAATAAACTGTTAATGAATTGCACTGTCAGTATCTTTTCTGATTAAAGGTTGGATAGTAAGTTGCATCGGACGAAACTGACTTCAGTAACAGAGAATACAGATTATCTTGCAACTGTTATAATTCCCTTAACAACTGACATATCCTTCCAAAATACTGACTTTGGAACTTCCTATTATATTGTGATATTGTTCTTCCCTATATTTGGACAAAAAGGGATTATCTGCTAAGCCCCAATACTAATTTCATGATATCAAAATAACACACACACGTATACATATATATATATATATATATATATATACACACATACAATATACATATACATATATATATATAAATAAAGACACACAAACACATATAAACCGAAAAGATTGAGATCTTGATAAAGACCGCTAGACGGTCGAAACGTTGATTTGTATGCGTTATATTTAATACATTATTGATTTACAAAATCCATTGAGTGCTCTCAATCTTTTCGGTTTATATTTTTGCACGGAGAGGCACCTGGTAATTGCTGGACGTGATTTATTTATTTTTTTGGGATGAGTGCCAGAAACTTGAAATTTTTACACACACACACACACACACACACACACACACACACACACACACACACACACACACACAAATTTATATATAAAATTTTAATTCAATATATTTATGTAATTTTTTACATAATTAAGTCATTTTATTAATTATAACTTGTGGGACCTGCTTGATAACCCAGGTAGAAAGTCCAGAGAATTTAATTTGCTAGCACTATATTTAACCCTGTAACTTTCCATAAAACCCTAAAACCTGTACATGGTGGGTACGGTTTTACTCGGTTGACTTTTCTGAACACTAATATTAGGGTTTCAAAACAGTAAAATGTATTACAACGATATCAGTGAAAGTGACTTTTTAGCATTTTTCACACACAAATGGCACTTGGACGATATAACTGTTACGATACATTTTACGGTTTTGAAACACTAATACTTGTGTTCAGCAAAGTCTCCTGAGTATAACAGTACCCCTCATGTACAGGTTTTATGGTGTTTTCAAAAGTTACAGAGTCAAATATAAGGCTTGTGTTTCAGTTTTTTCACATTGAAAGTCGACAGATTGGTTATGTTGACTTTGAGACCGTATAGTAGCCCAGGAATGAGAATTACCCCCACGATGATATACCATTTGCAATAGTAGACAACCCAAGGTATTGAAAATGGGGCATGTCCAGTCTTTTATAGTAAACACTTGGTCATAAACACTGGCCAAAATTGGCGTTAATATTTATGTGAAAAATGCAACAAAAAACAAAACAAAAAAAAAAATAATTTGAACGCCAATTTTTAAATGTGAAAAAACGGAAAAATGTTACATGCTATATTTGACCCTGTAACTTCCCAAAACACCATGAAACCTGTACAGAAGGGGTACTGTTTTACACGTGAGACATTGATGAATACAAATATGTGTATTTTATTGCAGTAAAAGCTAATGATATTATGACATTCACAGTTAAAATGTCATGCAGAACTAAAAAAATAAATAAATTAAGATTTCTTAATTTCTCACTTTTTTTTATATTTTATTCATATTAAATTATGTTCCATAGGTAAATACTTGATGTTAAATGAAAGCCCTATTTTTCCTGAATAAAATGATATTTAATAAGTGTGGGTGCACTTAATATGAAAGAGGTGAATTACAGTTGAACAGGCAGTCAATTCCGAGTTGTTTACGTTTTATTTTGATCAAAACGTGTACATTTGGCTCAGTCATTAAGGTGTTAAGTCTGTGTTTGCATACAATAATATAGGGCATTATTTGTAGTGTTGGCTTTTAAATGTGTTTGTACATTTGTGTATGGTATTGGTATTTGAAGATGTGTTTAAATACAGGGGTGTCTGCATGTTTTGTTTTTTCTTTGATTGCCAAGATGAATGCACATATACTGCCAATCACACCGACAACACACCTTTCCATACACAGAGAGAGGGAGAGAGAGAGACAGAAACACACACACCATAATTTTTACTTTTGAAGCCATTCTTGGGGTCCTGCTTCTGCTTATGGGAGCGTGGGGCTGGAGGTAGCTCTCCTTGCTTCTCCCTCTGCATGTGTGAGGAAGTGTTCCTTCCACACACAGGGGGCCAGTCGCACTTTTAAAGGCCCTGTTCAGCAACACCCACCAGGTGGCCCTAAGTGCATAGTCAGGTGAGCCCTCGAACATGTGGGCCCTGGTGCAGCGGCACCGACATACGTTCCAGGGCTGACTGAGATAGCTTGCTTCCTTACAGCATATGGGAACCAGCTAGGGACATCTATTTTTTAAGGGGCTCAACACTTTTTGCTACATTACATCAGGTGCTTTTCCTGCACTGCAGAGAACCTCAGGAGGATGGATTTCTCAAATTGGTAAACCTCATAATAGGACCAGCTAAAAACGGAGTACATTGTGATCATACATTTTATAAGCCTGCCACACAGTCACAAAATCCTTATGATAAACTTTTTTGGTCTTTTTTTTTTTACATTTGGAAACGTTTATTTTGTGGGATTTGAAGATAGTTTAGAGAAGAATGAGTGTGCTGGATTCTGAATATTTATATATCCCACAATACTTTAATTGGCTGAATCAAAAATAATTGTCACAAGCATGACAAATCTGATTTCAGTAGGAATATCCTTGTATTCTGGATAGTTAGCAGCTATTGAGGACTGGAAATGTCCACCACTGTTTTAGAACAATTAAGTCATTTGTCTATTTACATACATTAATAACGAAAATGTAATACAAGATAAAAGCCTTACAATTAAAAATTGATCCACCATCTGACATCAGTGCAAGGTCACATATTGCAAGTTGGATTAAACTTTTTTTTTTTTTAATACTCTTTAACCAATTCTTATGAAATAAAGTGCATCAATGACCTTGCTCCTTTGCAACCTCCGGTAAGTACGTGGCTGTTCGTTTGGATCCTTTTTCATTGATGAATTCTATTCTAATGCCATGAACACCCACCTGAAAGAAACCAGCAGTCTGGTTAGTATATTTCAGCACAGTTTATACGCAACATATTCGACAGATCTGTAGAATTAATTTTGAGCCTTATATCCAGGGCTTGTCTTGCAGAAAGGGTATACTGTAAGGAAAAAGGGAGTTTATCTGTTAACTACTGGTCCAGCAATATTTTGGCCTCATATTTTAATTACAGGACCCTGACCAAACAACAAAAAATAAAAAATAAACCTTTTTTGCTACTTACCATGCCATTCGAAATATAAGCTGTGTACAAGAAAGGGGCTTTAATAGCCCTTTGAAAATTACCAATACATCTTCTGCTACCTTCACTATTAAAAAATATTTACAACAGAATTAGAGAGGACAACAATGTCTGTAAAATATACTGATATGAAATATCAAAATGATATTGGAAAGCAGTGAGAATTGCTGGGAATTCAAAGTGAATGCATAATGAATTTCCTTTTTTTTTTTTTTTTAAATATAAAAATAGTCCATGGAGAAGCATAGCTGAATTTTTAAAATTCAGCTATTTAGCCGTATACTTTAAATTCACACTGTATTCCCACCAATTCTGCCTCTAGTGAATAACTCTGGGAAGATTAATTAAAACAAAGCCACTTGACCTTCTTAACAGGGTACATTGTGCACCAATACAACTCATTAATATGCTGTATTTATTTTGCATGCTCTATTTTATTTTGCAGAATGCTGCACCATAAGTCTGCCTCCTTAGCTATGCTTTTCATGCAGGAAATACTTCCTTATGCACACAGTCTCAGCCCCAATAGCACAGAGTGAGCGGCTTTTAAACCTGGGTGCAGACAGAGAAACTGCAAACAGCTAGTAAGATCATTACTTGATGCATCCCTGGGTATCCTGTCCTAATGCACATTTTGTTGTTCAGAAAATCCAGTGCCGTCAATGGCCGAGCTGTGGACAAACCTTTTTCATAAGGAAGTTTTTTTTTTCCTGTAGTGAGGGGGTGCAGCATTCTGCAGAATGTTTATTTTGTGCAGAAATTATAAAGATTTGAGCATACAAAAACTGTATTAAAGAGGCCAAAAACCTATGAAATGCATTAAAGTAGTATTGGTGCATGGAGTGTCCTTTAGACTAATTTATGCAGTTGTCCTTAAAATTATTTTTCACAAGCAGTTGTGTGTTTTATTGTGGAAGAACATTTTTCACAAAAAAAATAAAACCTATATATATTCTGGATGAAAAACAAAAACACAGAAAATAGATGTGCGGAGTTTAAAAAAACAAAAACAAAAACATACAAAACCCCCCCACTGAACTGCAGAAACCAATTCCAAATGTTTATGGAAGCTGAAGCCTAAACAAATACATAAACAATCGAATTCAAAACTCCTTAGCCTTGCTAGAAAATTAAAAAAAAGAAAAAGGAGGTGGGGGTCATGAAAACAATTAAAACTATTTTTGTTACTTTATATTCAGAATGTGAAGTTAAAAAAAAAAAAAAACAAACAAAAAAAAAAACACCTCTCACTAGGGGAATTGAGAAATTTTATTTATGCGGTTTGTCATTCTCTTTTCTCCAGGTCTGCCCACAAAAGTTTAACAGGGTAGTTTATCGCCTCCGAATGGTTAAGATAGGAAATAGACTATAAGAAACCCACACTCTACACAATCCTGTAATTATCACTTGGACTAAGGGAGACTATGCAATACAACCGAGGAAAAAAACTGGGGAAAGAAAAACAATGGTGCACTTGGTTGTCCATGGCAGCATTAAAACAAATTAAAGTGACAATATCATATTTTTGATCTCCTTATTGCCCTTAATGATAAAAAAAAAAACCAAAAAACAGAAAGAAAAATTAGGGTAAGAATTGAGAGATTTAAAACCAATATCTGCAAAGTGTCAGGTGAGACTCCAGATGATGTAGTTTATTGAAACATGTAGGGTGTTAGGGCACCATTGTTAATGAACTTAGGGAATGTACCTTTCATTTTCTACTACCGTACTTTCGCCTCTGATTGTGAAAGTTAAATGGACACTATTACCTCTATGAACACTATCTCAATGAAGTGGTCTTCATGCAGTAGCCCTGCAATGTAAGATACTGCAATTGTTTTTTAACCCCTTCAGGACAGAGTCAATTGTACATGTTCTGATAAAAACAAAACAACAAAAACTGTAACTTGCGCTATATGTCCAACTGTAATTCACTGCTTTCATATTAAGTGCACTCGGGAGAAACAGGGCTATAATTTCTCATGAATTATTCACCTATGAAGCAATTTATGAATAAAAAAAAACCAGAAATTAAGATTTAAAAAAAATGTAGTTCTGCCTGACATTTTAGCTGTAAATGTCATAATACTGTTAGCTTTTATGCAATAAAAGGCACATATTTGTATTTAGCAAAGTCTCACAAGTACAACAGTCCCACCCCCCTCCTCCCCCCTTAACAGGTTTTACGGTGTATTGGAAACTTACAGTGTCAGACAATCCAAGGTATTGCAAGTGGGATATGTCCAGTCTTTTTTAGTAGCCACTTAGTCACAAACACAAATATTAGTGTTTCAAAACAGTAAAACATATCACAACAATTATACCGTCTGTGTAAGTGCCATTTGTGTGTGAAAAATGCAAAAAAAGTCATTTTCACTGATTATTTCATTGTAATACATTTTACTGTTTTGAAACACTAATATTTGTGTTCAGCGAAGTCTTCCGAGTAAAACAGTACCCTCCATGTACAAATTTTATGCTGTCTTGGAAAGTTAAAGGGTTAACTATAGTGCTAGCAAATTAAATTCCCACAAATTGTAATTAATAAAATGACCTAATTACATAAATAAATATATATATATATATATATATATATATATACACACACATATATATATATACACACACACACACACACACACACACACACACACACACACATATATATATATATACACACACACACACGTATATTTTATATATAATTTTTTAAAAATTATTTTTATTTATATATATTTCGTTTACATGTATTTTGATATCAATATATATTAATTTTAAAATAAAGTTAGAACAAATTTACACATTGTTTTGCAGAAAGATAAGTCCTGCTCTCACTCCCATCACTGGGGTACTACAGTACACATCAGCCCCAATATATAGTAAAAACCAAAGAAAACCAAAACAAGTTACCTGCGCTCTTTCCTTAATCTCTATGTATTTTTAAACAAATGGAGGTTTTTTTTTTTAGTTACCTCCAATGGCCATGAGAGGATAAGCCGCCCATCCCATGTGTTCCCTATTAAGGGTTAATAATATATAGGGATAGATATATATATATATAGATATATATATATATAGATATATATATATATAGATATATATATATATATATATATAGATATATATATATATATATAGATATCTATATATATATATATATCTATATATATCTATAAAAACCGGTCTCAGAGATATCTTTGCCAGAAGCTCAAGGAAGCAAGGTGAATGGTTAGAGTTAGGATCCAGCTTGGGGTGGGGGGGGCCTGCCTTGACGTTGGCAGGTGGGCTTATCCTCTCATGGCCATTGGAGGTAACCAAAAAAAAACAAAAAACACATTTGTTTAAAAATACATAGGGATTAAGGAGAGAGTGCAGGTAACTTGTTTTTCTTTGGTTTTTACACATTTTTAAAAAAATTTTTTTTTTTTTTTTAACGTATTTACATATTTATATTATATATAAATATATAATGATAATTATATCTATATTTAATCTATCATTCTACGTGTATACACACACACACATATATATATATATATATATACACACATACATACATATACACACACACACACACACACACACACACACACACACAATATAATTTATTTTAAACAAGTTTAATTATTTTTTACACTCCCCACAAGCAGGGGTACTGTCTGACAGCCCAGAGTCCCCGTGCTGGCAGATCCACAGCCAGCTATAGGGGGCCATATTTGCAGTGGGAAGGTAGCCAGGCAGTCCCTCCCCCGGGGGCCTGATTTGCCGGGGAAGGGCTGCCTGGGCTGTCAGGCAGTCCTCCTGAAGTGGATCATGGCGGCGTTAAGTCCACCAGATCTCCAGGGGGCTTAAGCTGTTACGGCGTTTTATGCCGTCGCAACGGCTTTAAAGCCCATTATAATGGGGATGGCATAGAACGCCATCAGTGGATAAAGAAACTGCAATGTTTACATTGCAGGGTTAAGTCCACCTCTAATGGATGTCAGTATGATAGCCACTAGAGGTGTTTCCACAACACTGACCAATTAAAAGTTGGTCACATGATGTGTAAGCTAAATATGCAGGACACTTGCTGCACATTAGGTCACCAATGCTCCTAACACCATAGTGTTCAAAGTTTTACAGGTCCCTACAGTGTCCAATGACTAAAGGGTTAAAAATCCTATAACTTACCTCTTTCCTGAGTGCCGGGTAGATCTTTTCCTCCCATGACGGTGGGACGAGGATTCAAACAACTCCATAGGAAAACATTGAATCAATGCTTTCCTATAGCGAACAAAGATGTTAGACATCCTCAGGCAAAGCATGATGATGCCCAATGTCTGATAGAGGGATCTGGAAGCACCTCTAGAGGTGGAATTAACTCTGCAAATTTAATCATTGCAGTTTTTCAGAAACTGCAATGTTTTACATCGTAGGTTTAAAGAGAATGGGGCACTGCACCCAAACCACTTCAATGAGATTAAGTGGTCCGGGTGCCAATAGTGTACCTTTAAAATCTATACACAGTGAGCTTCTGAGAGTGATTTTCAGTAAGGATAGAGTATTGTTGTAGTTTATATAAATTTTTGAAGTAATTTTCTAGGTTTCTATTGCTTTCTTTATACTTCTGATCCAGTGTGTCTAATTTGTCTGATTACAATTATGCGTCTGTTCGTCCACCTATTGTACAGCGCTTCGGAAGATGCTGGCGCTATATAAATAATAACAAAGGTGCACTCTGTGCAGCATTAGTGTGGCTTCATTTGCAACCAATGTATGATTAACTTTTTATTTATCACCTACTTTGCTTTTGTAATTTTGTTTATATTTAGTGTGGATGTGATAGTATATTTAGATCCAAGTAGTACTAGTCACAGTAGGTTTTCAAGCCTGTATTATAATGTGCTTTATCTTTGTGTTTGTATATGAATTTTGTATCACACAGCTATGTTACATTGCTGCCAGCCTCCCCACGTTTGTCTTATTAAGAGTTTATAAGTATGTAGGGTCAGCACCCCTTCCTGTCTCAGAGAAATTTGCCTTTTAGCTGATCCCAGCAAGGTGATTTGTATGTGTTATAGCCCTATTCAGGGTTAAGTATGTAGAGGTTTATAAAACACCCCTTTATGTCTCAGAGATGTTTGCACTTTGTCTGATGCCAGCAAAGTTTATTGTATGTGTAGAAGCCCTATAATGGGTTAAATGTGAAAGGGTTTATAAAACCCTGTCTAACTGGAGATTCTTGGCGGATATCAGCATATCTAATGGCTAGTGTAGAAACTTGCCTATTGAGGCTTGCCTTGACGTGGCTGGTGAGCTTATATATTCAAATGGCCATTGGAATAAAACTAAAGAGCCTCCATTTTGTTTAAATGTACATGGGGATTTAGGCCAGAGCGCAGGTAACGTTCTCTTTGTTTTTACTATGTATTTTAAGCTGTTGGATACTAAGCTACTGCTGCTGTAAGCGCGGTGCTTTATCTTTGTGTCTGTATTATAATTCTCACCCAAGACTGAAATTGAAATATAAGATGGATAGTGTCAATTTCTATAACAGCAAGCTCCTTAATTAGCTACCATTATGTTTTATAAGAGTTGCAGGGCGCTTTTACTATATATAAAAAAAAAAAAATTCTCTCAGGTTGCTAATTAAAAAGATTACGCCAAGCACCAAGATCACTTCAGTAATTTGAAGTTATTATAGTGACAGAAGTGTCCCTTTTAGAGTGTGTTAAAATAAATATAAATGAAACTCTCTAGGCATTAACTTTTATTTCAGCCTGAATTTGCAATTAGTTTTTCAATTCACACTCAACTCTGATGTTTGGGACGGGATCTTCTGGATATCCTGTCATTCTGCACTACCCTCCAACATTTGACAGGAGGGTAGGAGGAGCGTGTTTTTTTTAACACTAATTACTGGTTGAAAGGTAAATCTAACTAGTTGTAATGATGCCATTGTAGACAGCCAAGAAATTAGAAAACCTTATGTATATGCACAGTGGCGTACACATGACCCATGGGGCCCCGGTGTGAAAATTGATCTCCCCCCCCCCCCCCCCCCCCTTGCTCTGCGCGGGCCGGGGGCGCAACACATGGCAGCAGGCCCCTGGTCGCAGGGCTGCGACCCGAGATCGCGGTATGTGCGTCAGTGCATGCAGATACACACACTTAAAGGACCACTACAGACACCCAGATCACATCAGCTCAATGAAGTGGTCTGGGTGTCAGGTCCCTCTAGTTTTAACCCTGCAGCTGCTATGTTTCACTGAGGGTTAATCCAGCCTCTAGTGGCTGTCTCACTGACAGCCGCTAGAGGAGCTTCCGCGATTCTAAGACACTGAACATCCATAGGAAAGCATTGAGTAATGCTTTCCTATGGGCGGTTTGAATGCGTGCGCGCGGCTCTTGCCGCGCATGCACATTCGGAGCTGAGAGGCGGAGAGATCCCCAGCGCCAAGGGAGTCCGGCGCTGGAGAAAGGTAAGTGCTGAAGACTCACTGACACACTCACTGACACACAGTAACAGACACACACTAACACTCAGTAACAGACACTCACTAGCACACACACACTCACTGACACTCACTAGCACACACACACTCACTGACACTCACTAGCACACACACACTCACTGACACTCACTAGCACACACACACTCACTGACACTCACTAGCACACACACACTCACTGACACTCACTAGCACACACACACTCACTGACACTCACTAGCACACTCACTGACACTCACTAGCACACACACACTCACTGACACTCACTAGCACACACACACTCACTGACACTCACTAGCACACACACACTCACTGACACTCACTAGCACACACACACTCACTGACACTCACTAGCACACTCACACACTCACTGACACTCACTAGCACACACACACTCACTCACTAGCACACTGACACTCACTCACTGACACTCACTAGCACACACACACTCACTGACACTCACTAGCACACACACACTCACTGACACTCACTAGCACACACACACTCACTGACACTCACTAGCACACACACACTCACTGACACTCACTAGCACACACACACTCACTGACACTCACTAGCACACACACACTCACTGACACTCACTAGCGCACACACACTCCTCTTCAGCAACCTCGCGCGCCCGCAGGACCGGCAGTGGGGGTGACAGCAGGGCCAGCCTTGGGGGGCCCCCTCGTGGGCCTCCCAGGAGAAGAGACTGGTCCCAGTGGGTACATACCGGGTTGCAGTGGCGGCCGGGCCCCCTGGTGACCCCGGAATGTACGCCACTGTATATGCACTTCTGAAAAGATTTAATTTTCTAAAAAGACTGGAGTCATATACATACATTGTTCCACATTAAATAATAAGAGTTCAACGTAAAATATATTTAAATGATTTCATTTAAAAAAAAAAAAAAAAAATGCAATCCTTTAAGTTTTCAAATTACATTTCCCTACTAATCATGCTATCATTTTGTTCAAATATCTACTGTCTTTCACCGGGTACTATATTAATTTCACCCCAGAAAAAGCAACTAGGACTTATTTTTGGGTGATGTCGTATTTCAGGGGGGAACGGTAGCAAGCATGTGCTAGAAAGAAGGTGTACATTTGGGAGAATTCCCCCCCCCTCCCCCCCCCACCCCACAAACAGACCAGTTTACTAGCTCATGGAGTCCCGCAAATCTATGTTTGGGGAAAATTTCCCGAACAGATTAGCGGGCTAGCAACTAGGGCTTATTGTCAGGATAGGGCTTATATTAAGAGCATCATCCGAGCTATGGCTTATTTTGTCTTATTTTCAGGGGGAAATGGTACAATATAAAAAAGACAAAACATTAAATCAATTACTGTATTCAAAAGACTATTCCATAACGCAGACCAATATTAACCTACATATCCCAGCACCAGAGTTCCAAAAAATCCTGGAAACCAGGAAATGACAAGGTGAGAGAGTGAGCAGCAATGCAAGACTTTTTATATATTGGTTTACCCACCCTTCAACTTTTGCAGGGGGGCCAACTTCCTCCGCAGGTATCAGAGGAACTAGCTAGTGAGCAACATAAACACCAAACTTGCATTCACTGACATAAAAATCAAGGAGTGTGTGTATATATATATATATATATATATCAAAGCACATCAATTAAGGTAGAGAAACATTAAGTGGTTGTTAAATATCCCCAAGGAATAGAGACAGTGAGACAAACCATGTCTGTATAACCACCTGCTATCAGATCATGATGCCAAGTGACATTAGCAACTATGTTGCATGAACACATGCAGTTAAGGGGTCATACAAATATTAAAAAAATACACAGTTAGAATATGCTCTTTCTACCAACATTTTCTGCACAAGACGACCATGGTAAGTGTCATGTAATATACATGTTAAGTTCCTTTTAAGCTTGCAAGGGTAAAATAAAGTGGCAGTGGAGATGGTGGTGGTGTGAGGGACGACATAAACCTGTGCATGGTGTGAGGAGTTGACAGAAACTAATGCAGTGTTTAAGGATTGTTTCGCTAACGCTCATTACAGTGGTTATGGTGCAGAGGGTATTTGGGTAACTATGCCCCACACGAGACTGATGTGAACTTGGGGGGAGGTTCTTCCTGGAATTAGTGGTTTCCAGCATGCAGCTCTCCCCTCTTTGGCCAAGATCGATAAATGATCCCAGCCAATCCAATGCATTCTTGTAGGAAAGCATTGGGAGACTAGTGTGCATGCAAAAAGCCACATAGCTCTGCAACCATCAGATTGAAATAGTGAAGTCTATTCGTATTTTGTAGAAACGCCACTAGTGACTGTATTCACTGACTGCCACTGGAAGTCAGGTAGCACTGCAAAAAAAAAAAAAAAATGACCATTCTTGCATAACATTTAGGCGATGTGATAAAATATTTCAGAGGCTTAGTGCACTTATGGATTTAAAGCAAAACTATGCCCAATATTTCATAAGCCATAACAACTCACATTTCAGTAGCTGCAGAACTGTCCACTGGAATAAACGAAGAAGTGCTGGGTGCTGTCTCATTAAATGATCTCATACATAAACACGGGAGACAAAATTCAGTCCAAAGTTTAGATACGTGTCGTTTTATGAGATGACAACTACTATTAGTTTCTTATGTAGACTTGGTTTGGTGTGCATACTCTTATGTATGTTTGTTGGTTTTATTGAGAGGACCATCGGATAAGGTTGATTTAGGTTAATAGTTGCCTCACTATCCCACTGTACTGTATATATGTATATATATATATATATATATATATATATATATATATATATATATATATATATATATATATATATATATATATATATATATATATATTTTTTTTTTTATATATTTTTTTTTAATTTCTTTATTTTTGTAGTGCGTAAGTTTAAAACAGTTGCTTGTGAGGTACCCCAAAGGCAATCCTCTAGCACATTTCAAACATTGTAGCGTAAAGGTACAAGAAAATTCTAGCACATGTTTTTATATCACTGCTGATTTGGGATTTCTGTGGGAAAAGCAAGTCTTATGGCTTGACTGGTGTGCAGATTTTTGTTTAGCATTGTATTAAATAAATATATATATATATATATATATATATACACACACACACACACACAGTTAAGTCGAGTAGTAAACAATATGTATTGTAGTAGCGTAGCCTCTTCTATGACATAATAGCAACAGTTCGTAATATTATGGTTAAGTTGTGAGTTGACATAAGCCTACATACGTTTATACAGTATAATAGGTGTGTGTGCAGGCAAGCCCTCAGTTTCTCTATAGATTTTAAACAGGCTGGGGTTGCCATAGTATTCCACGCCAACTAGTAAACTCGCACCAGTCTCACCAAGTCACAATCTCACTAAGCATGACATGAGTTTTAGCCCAAACAGAGGCAGAGAAATTCTTGCACAACATTTCATGATAGAAACTCCAGACAGAGTGGTATGTGTTTCTCTAAACTCAACCAGGAAGAGTAGAGGTTAAAAAAAATGTAAAAATAATTACACTTTTTCAGCCTGTCCAAGGCATTTAGGATGCTTTAGATGTACAGAAAGCATACATCTGTGTGGACACTACAAAAAACAGATAGTGTCAGGCTGGAAGAGTATTTCAGCTGATGGTCAGCCCAGGGGATCTTATACAGAGGAGGAGGAAAGTTATCCATCTCTGGTATTAGGTTTTTTAATTTTTTTTTTATTTTTTTAAGGCTGCAGGGAGAGGTTTTTTCAATATAACCACTTCAGACAAATTAAGTTGTTTTGGGGCTTAGTTCTTTCAAGTGATAATTACACAATACATGAGTTAACAGGTAGGCTACAGCTTGTGTTTCTTTTGCAGTTTTGGAGCAAGGTAGCATGTAACAACCGATTCCTAAAAATAATTTTTTTTAATGAGCTCGTAGAAGAGTGTGTCGTGTTATCTATTAATCAAAAGTAGAACAAAAGTAAATAAGTACTGCTGACATCCACTTTTTACATGAGACTGCTTAGTGATCAGCTGCCACAGCAATCATATGACTAAGAACTGCACACATTTGCACCCGGGGGACTTCCAATCAGCAACTGCAAATCACTACAATCAGAATTCATGTAACATATACTACAGTACAAAGAGGTAGGTGCAAAGCTCATCACAGAGGACTGAAAATAACTGAAGTGGTCACAGGGAACTCAGCAATAGTACATTTTAAAGAAACTAGACAATATTATACAGACTAAAGTGTTATAGTTGGTGCAAGTTAATCCAACGTTTAATCAAAAGGAAGGCCGTGTAAATGTTGTCAAATACCGTGTACTTCATAAAACGAAATTCCAACTGAATACAGAAAGTGTACAAATAGAGCAAGTACACTGGAAGTGCATAGCTAGAGATATTCACAAAACCAAAAATAAGAAAGCATCTAGTCTACCTCATAACGGACAAGATTAGACTAAATCTATCCAGATTCCAGGAATACGATTATGTCAGCAAAATTATACTTTTAGAAACAATTAGATTTGTTTGGTGGTACAAAAAAACAAAAAACAAAAACTTGCTAGTACCTCACCCTAACCTTGCTTAAAACACCACTAAAGTCACCCAGTCTACTTCATCTCAAGAAAGTGGTCTGGGTGCAGGGGTCCTGTAGTTTTGCCTCTAGAGGCAGTCTGACATACAATAGAAATAATTCCTTTACAACGTCCAATCGAAACAGTCATGTGATCATGCAGCTCATTGGAAAGTACTGAATTCAAAGCTTTCCTATGACAAGCATTTGAAAGTGTGCAGTGCTCATTGCACAATCACATCAGCCCCCAATGCTCCACATTGGGTTGGACTGGACCATCAAGTGGAGAGCTAGACGTTGTGGGAGTAGGCATGGTCAAGGAAGTCAAAGCATTGGAGAAAAGGCAAAACTAACCAGGTACTAGGACACTGACAATAGGATTACAGGTTTGCATTCCTAAAGCTAGTGTTTAATTGTGCAGCAACCACAAATTAGGACTGCAAAGGGAATCCACTACCTCTGATTTTTTTTGTTCATTAAAGGACCATTATAGGCACCCAGACCACTTCAGCTCAATGAAGTGATCTGGGTGCCAGGTCAATCTAGGGTCAGCCCTGGCTGCTGTAAACATAGCAGTTTCAGAGAAACTGCTATGTTTACATATGGGTTAATCCAGCCTCTAGTGGCTGTCTCATTTATAGCCGCTAGAGGCACTTCTGCGCTTCTCACTGTAAAAATCACAGTGAGAAGACACCAGCGTCCATAGGAAAGCATTGAGAAATGCGTTCCTATGGACTGACTGAATGCGCGTGCGGCTCTTGCCGCGCATGCGCATTCAGCCGATGACGTTGGAAGGAGGAGGAGAGTCCCTAGCGCCGAAGGAGCCCGGTGCTGGAGAAAGGTAAGATTTTAACCCCTTAGCCCCTCTTGAGCCCGGCGGGAGGGGGGGGACCTATTAATACTATAGTGCCAGGAAAACAAGTTTGTTTTCCTGGCACTGTAGTGGTTCTTTTAACACAGCCAAAAAAAAAAGCTTCAGTGATAGTTGATTTCGGTCAAATATTGTACAATTATAGGCAAACTGTTATGAGGTCACCTCCCTATATGATGACTCCTGAATTGGTCCAGACCGACATTTCCAAAACTACAATTAGAATCTTTCCAATCAAATAACTCCCTGCTCTAGCACCCTTAATCCTGCAAAGCTAATGATGGCAGTTTTTTTTTTAATAAACTGCAATAATTAGCTTTGTGGGGTAACTCCACATCTACCGTCTGCCACTAGAGGGACTTCCAGGATGTTAGGCAGTATAATGCTTTCCTATGTGGAAATCATAATGCAAGAGGAGGAGTTTTTAACACTTTCTGCACTGTGGGGGGATGGAGGCCACTATATTATTATTATTATTATTGTTGGTATTTATATAGCACCAACTAATTCCACAGTTCTTTACAATATTATGAAGGGGAAGGGGGGGGCGGGGGGGGAGAATTTACAATAAATGAGGCAATTAAACAGTCACACAGGAACAATAGGCTGATGAGGACCCTGCTCAAACGAGCTTACAGTCTGGAGCAGGCATAGACAACCTTCGGCATTCCAGATGTTTTGGACTACACCTCCCATGATGCTCTGCTAGCATTTTGGGTGTGAGAGCATTATGGGGGTGTAGTCCACAACATCCGGAGTGCGGAAGGTTGCCTATCCCTGGTCCAGAGGATGGAGCTAATGTGTCAGGAAAACAACTGAGTTCTACAGCAACTAAAGCAACATGGTTCTACAGCAACTAAAGAAAGTTAAAGGGACACTGTAGGCCACAAACAACCGTAGCTAGTTATTTGACTCCCAAATGGCAGATAAATGAGCAGTGAGATTGCACTATGCACCAAAACCGTTTCATTAAGCTTAAGTTTATTTGGTGACTACAGTGTCCCATTAATGTAAACAAAGTCCCATGGCCAAGTGGTGATAAGTGATTTTCTGTTTTTAATCTTTCAGGATTCTTTTCTTTCAGAAATTTTACCAGAGGATTGGAGGAAGGTGGTGTCCCTCTGGGTTCTGTTCTGGGACCACTTCTATTTCACATATTTATAAGGGTTCTTGAAATAGGCACTGGAAATCATGTTTCAGGGTTTGTAGAATGAACAAAACTGTTACATAATACAATATGAGCAGTTTATTACTTTGCTGCAGAGTGACTTAGCTAGTTTGGAGGACTGGGCACTCAAATAGCAGATTACATTTAATGTAAATAAATGCAAAGGTTTGTACTTCGGGTAAAGAATGCACCAACAATTTACACCCTAAAAAGGTAGTGAATTAGGGATAACAAACAAACAAGAATAATTTGGGAATATTTATAAACAAACAAAAAAAATAGGCAATGTGCCATGTCCATCAGCAGTTGCCATGGCCAGTAAGGTATTGCCATGTATAAAAGGGCGCATTAATTCTTCAGATGAAAATACAATTTTGCCAGTTTATAAATTAATGATAAGACCACACCTTGAATATACTGGGCAATTTTAGTTATGAGGAAAGATTAACAAATTTTAATCTATTTAGTTTAGAAAAACATTGCCTCAGCGGGGACATGACAGAATTATACAAATATATTCGGGGGCCAATACAAACCATTGTCTGAAAATCTATGCGTAAACAGGACTCTCTTAGGCAAGGTCATGCATTTAGACTGGAAGAAAATAGATTTAGACCAAAGCAAAGGATGGCTTTTTAGAATTCCCTGCTTGAAGAGGTGGTTTTATCAGAGTTTGTACAGATGTTTAACCAGAAACTGGATGAATACTTGCAAAAACATAATATTCAGGGATATAATTTTTAATAAGTGGGGTAACAGCTTCTTGATCAAAGGAAAGATCTGACTGTTATTCTGGGGGTCAAGAAGTATTTTCTCTAGTTTGTTGCAAAGTTGGATGCAAAATTTACCACAGGAAAGCATTGAATTGGCTGAGATTGTCAATTCTGATGATCTCATCAAGGCAGAGACAAAAGCCACCCTGGGGTATCAGCATCTCCTCAGAGGTGCATTGAATCAATGTATCTTCGTGAGGGAAGTTCAGTGTCTCCATGCAGAGAGTGGAGACACTTAAAGTCTGTGCAGCACTGCCCCAGGAAGCACCTCTAGTAGCCATCTGAGGAGTGACAAATGGAGGTGTCCCCAGGCTGTAATGTAAACACTGCCTTTTCTCTGAGAATACAGGGTTTACAGCAAAAAGCTTGCAGGGACTGACTATACTCACCAGAACAACTACATTAAGCTGTAGTTGCTCTAGTCACTATAGTGTCCCTTTAAATCTAAGACAAAGAGAGCCCAATACCATTCATACACGCAGTAGCAATTATACGTCTAAACTAATTCATGGCAAATAGGACAACCGAGTAGCTTTTTATTGGAAATGGTTGTATAAACTTAAATATTTTGCTCACCTAAGTGAGCTTTAAAAAAAAAAAAAAAATAATGGATGAAACGTTGCCAAATTCATGGCATTGTTGAAGCAGTTGCCAATGCAATGTAGAGACTTTGAAGAACAGTTTTAACAGGCATTAATATGTTCTTGTCCCTTCTAGTAGCATACTTATTTGGCAGTGCTTTTTGGGGGGAATTTAAGTTATGTCAAGTGAGCCACCTTCATTTGCATTAGAAAATCACAGGTAACACAAATTGTGCTTTTTAGGTTTATATAACAGGACCCAAACTCTTGACCCACCTGCATCTATCCTATGGTCCAACAAAATAGCCCCCCCCCCCAAAAAAAAGCCAACAATTTTGCACCAACTAAAACCTGAGAAAAATGTACAGAAAGCTCACCTCTGAGCTTTGATCGAGTGCTGTGTGCAGTTTGTGTCTGCTGTAATACATAACTTGATCTGATGCAGACTTGTATAACAGACATTTAGGGTTAAAGGAACACTACAGTCACCTGAACAACTTTAGCTTAATGAAGCAGTTTTGGTGTATAGAACATGCCCCTGCAGCCTCACTGCTCAATCCTCTGCCATTTAGGAGTTAAATCCCTTTCTTTATGAGCCCTAGTCACACCTCCCTGCATGTGACTTGCACAGTCTTCCATAAACACTTCCTGTAAAGAGAGCTCTATTTGGGCTTTCTTTATTGGAAGTTCTGTTTAATTAAGATTTTCTTGTTCCCTATGTTAATAGCTTGCTAGACCCTGCAAGAGCCTCCAGTATGTGATTAAAGTTCAATTTAGAGATTGAGATACAATTATTTTAGGTAAATTACATCTGTTTGAAAGTGAAACCAGTTTTTTTTTTTTCATGCAGGCTCTGTCAATCATAGCCAGGAGAGGTGTGGCTAGGGCTGCATAAACAGAAACAAAGTGATTTCACTCCTAAATGACAGTGAATTGAGCAGTGAAATTGCAGGGGAATGATCTATACACTAAAACTGCTTTATTTAGCTAAAGTAATTTAGGTGACTATAGTGTTCCTTTAACGACAGTGTAAGAAAATAAGTCATCCTGCAGCCCAGTTAAGCAAGGACTCTTAATGTAGTCAGTAATGGAAGACCCCTACAGATACATAAGAAGATCACTACCTGTCTCCAAAACACAAGAGCTCGCAACCCAAATTAAGGAGTGAATAGAAGTGGCCATTAAAGGGTGGAAACTAGAATGAAAGAAGGTGGGAGTAGATGTGAGCTAAAATTAAAATGGTATATTGCTGAAAAGAGACATGTCCATCAAGTTCAGCTTCTCTTACATCTGTTCTTGCTGTTGATCCAACAGAAAGCAAAAAAACCCAAAAAAAAAACAAAAAAAAAAACACCGCAGTTTGAAGCGCTTCCAATTTTGCAAACAAACTAGGGGGAAAATTCCTTCTTGACCCCAGGACTGCAATCAGATCTCTCACTGGATAAAGAAGGTATATCGCATGACAAAAACAACTTTATCTTAAATTATAGGGAATCAAATTTAATCTTTACATTGTGGTTGCAGAATTACTAGCAAATGTTTCTATTTCTCTAAAATTAGATTAAAAACAGCCATGCCAGGCAATTCAGACTGTGCCAACTGGCACAGATATAAGAAGACTGTGCTTTGCATCTCTGTAATCAGGAAAACCCTCTCTTCTGCTTATCTTCAGTCTAAGGGAAAGCAATGCCTGCAAGGAGCAGGCACTGTGGAGAGAGAGTAACAGAATGATTTATTGCAGGAGCTTTAGACAGGCTAACTGAGAATTTAGAGAACACAAGTTTTATTTGTATACCATAAAGCCAAAATATACTCTGTCCTTCACAAACAGGGGTATTGCTGGAGAGAAGTGTCTCACAGCAAATGTAATACCTACTGAAAACAGGACTGATGCTCTCAGCAGGACACAGCGATAATTCAAATACATTAAATATGGTATTTTAATCGCGTTAAGGAAACCACTCCATTATATAACATGAGTCAAGCCAGATGGTTAGAAAACTGCAAACCTATATAGGTCATGATAGGTTCACTATAAGGGAAGGGAAAACTGGAATAAAATTAAGGCAGATCTGTAATGATGGGGAGAGGGTAGCATAAAAGTTTGCAAATACTTTTATTCATAAATAAAAATAGGGGAAACAGTTGGAGCAAGACTCAATGGTGAATTCAGCACAAAACTCACTGCACTTGTACTGAGTTAATGAATATGATTTTAATCCTTCAAACATGATTTTTGTTTTAGGAATGTGGACTACCACTGTTTATTTTCATATATACATTCACACAAAGCATACCTGCAAGGGTGGTATAAATGAAATCCATAACAAATATACATCGAGACAGAGCAAGAGTGAGAGATGTAGCAGTAGTAAGTGTCTGAAAGGTAAGTGGTGTATGCAGATTCTGTAATATCCAGGCATTAAGTCATTGTCCTGCAAAACTCAATTGTTAACCACAGAGACATTCCACTTTTACCAGCACGTCCTGTCTATAGAATATATGACTCACTGCAAACAGCTTATTGTTAATATCTTTTTAGAGTGGGTTTTCTTTTGGGAGCGACAGAAACCATTCAAAATATATGCAGTAAGGTAGGCAATTAAGTTAGGTCAGGGTTGTATGCATATCCAGAAACTAAGGCCTATAACCTGCCCACTAGATGTCAAGTAAATCACACCGTATTTAGGCAGTCATATAAAATTGGTTCGTAATCAGAAGAGGAAAAGTTAGTAATCTTCACATAAAAGAGTATGCCCAAAGAGCTGTGATTAGATTAGCCACTTTTTAAAGTAAACATAGCCGCAGCAATCAGCTGTGACAGATTACAGAAACATTTTAAGGACAAGATACCTCAAATAAGTTGGTGGAGGGCGTACAAAAGTAGGTGGACATGAAGATAATCAAATGTTAAAACAAGAAGTGCTGCAATCAAGAGCCTGCTCTTCTGAGTCCATTGTCTAATGAGAAATGGAAAAGTTATCTTTCAAAATGTCTAAACTTTGTTTAAGATTACTGCTTACAAAGCTTCTAGCTTGTAATGTATGCAGGAGTAAAATATTAGGTGCAAAATCTCAATTTGTTTTTATTTCCGACTAAATATTTATAGTTAACTACCCAATTCTGTTTACACTGTATTTAAACTTGATCATCAAGTGTTTGATCCATTTTCTTTTCAACATACCATGTACATGTGTTAAAAAAAAAAATGTAAATCAGAAATCTGTATGCGCTATAAAAAATATTTTTGGTTGGCAACTACAGTATAATAAATAAATCCACCTAAAAAGCAATTTAAGATCAGAAATGAACCTGTTGTACAAAACATACTCTGCTTTCAAATAGCAAAAGAATCATAAGACGAATAAAACAAATATTTTAAAGCACTTTGAAGACTTTTGCCATTTGCACTGATGAAGCCAGTGAGACATCAGACCATCTTACCTCCCAGTCCAAGTAATCACATACATCTTCAAAGTTTGTAAGCAGAGACACTGAGCAGAATAACCGTGGCAGCTCATCCCTCGTCATAGGGGGAAAACGGCTATCTTTAAGGGCACTGCAAAAAGAGACATTTCAGATGTAGCAGGTACCATGAAAGAATGGGTGACAAACTTAACACAGAAAAAAAAATTGTCACATCTGGTAGAGATCAGTTTAGTCCCAAGACCATTAGCAGCGGGGGGAAAGAAAGCAAAAAAGTGAAATTTAAATTAACACATCTAAAAAGTAGTAATCAGTGTACCATTTTCTGCAAATTAATATGCATTCATAAATGCTCTATATAGTTTGATTGCCTCTTACCTTAGCAGCTAACAGGAGGGCAATAAAGATAATCAGTTAACAGGCTTACTAGAAGGAGCAGTCCAAAGTTTTGATTTAAAGGTTTAACTACCACATGAACACGTTTCCTTACTAAAAAGGTAAACTTCCATTAGACATTTTTTCACAGAAAATAGATTTCCACAGACAAACCACAAATGTGTCAGTTTGCACTAAAACAATTGAAAGAACAGTTGTGATCATACCCTGTTATTTCAACAGTTCTTCCTGCTCACCCTTCCCTTTATTCCACTCTTCCCCAGGCTCCCTGTCTGTCCATTGTCATGGCTTGATCTGGTCCATCAGTGAGCACTAACCTTACTCCACCAAATTTTAAGTGTGCATTGTTTTCACTGTGTAAAGGCACCTTGCCTTTACGTTGATATGTATATAATATATATACAAAAAAAAAAAAAAACACCCCTAGATACTGTTCCAAAAGACATGGGTAAAAAATAATGCGAAAACATGTGTACGCCGACTGTATATTGTGTGTGTCTGGTGTGTACTGCTGCATCTCTTACTCTAATCACAGGTTGAAGTCTGCAAGTGCTGAAAGTATAGTGCTCACACACTACTTCCTCTCAATAGCAACTCTGCCACTTGCTGGCAGCAGGGCTAAACTCCCTGTATGGCACCTGGAACAGTATGTCCTGGGCAACGGGTGATACAAATCTATGTAAATGTGTATCCAACACACGCACTCACTATCTAAATGCACATTATTGTTGACTGACTTAAGCAATGTATGATCATATACACAAACTAAATCCTCATTTTGCCAGGGTGGTTTTTTTAAAACACAATTACACTATCTCTGAAGATCCAGTGCTCAACATCAAACTCACAGGTTCTCTCTCTGGAACCAAATATCTGGCACTCAATGGACTTGTTGCAGTCTATAGATGAAAAAATGTTGTGATTTTTTTTTCTCTGCATGTGTTTCAGGACTACCCATAGGACCTTCATCAAGCATGTGTGTAGTTTGTGTAGTTCACCATATCCCCACCAATACATGGAGTGATTTTCTTTAAACCCTGAATGCAGTTTAAATGTCTGACACTGCTGTCATCTGTGCGGAGCATATCAATGCAATGACAGCTTAGTGTGGGCTGGAGGCAAGTTTGAGGTCTATGGCCTTAGCAACACATCCTAACATTCCTCACTGCCTAACATACACTGTGCTGAAGTCAGCAGCAAATTGTATAGTGTGTCAAATCATGTGCTTGAGTTTGATATGATGCAAAGAAGAGAGGTCAGTGCCATCAAAAGTCTACTTTCCTTTAAACGAACACTACAGTGTTAGGAACACAAACATGTATTCCTGACTCTAAAAAGTGTCAAAAACACTATCTAGCCTCACTGCGCATGCATATATATATATATATATATATATATATATATATATATATATATATATATATATATATATATATATATATATACACACATACACATACATACATACATATACACATACATATATATACATATATATACACATACATATACATACATATATATACACATATATATATACATACATATACATATATATACATATACATATACATATATATACATATACATATACATACATATACATATACATATATATACATATACATATATATACATATACATATATATACATATATACATATACATATATATACATATATATACATACATACATACATACACACACATGTCCAGCACTGCTTCAGGAAGCACCTCTAGTAGCCATATGAGGAATGGCCACTGGAGGTGTCCCTAGGCTGTAATGTAAACACTGCCCTTTTCAATTAATGTTTACTGCAAAAAGCCTGCACTACAAGAACACTCACAAGAACAAGTACTTTAAGCTATAGTTGATCTGGTGACTTTAGTGTCCTTTAACACTCACAAGACTACCTCCATGTACTCAGCACGATTACAGGTGCCTTTAAAGGAAGGGGGCAGGTCATCTGTTATCTCTATTAAGGGGACACAAAGCACCAAAACAATTATCTTAAAAAAACAGCAAAAGAGGACAGTCAGAATAAGACACTCCCAAAAAGATGATTTCTAACTAGTGTGGAAGGACTGTCATTAGCGTTCTTTGATCTTTCAAAGTATCTTTTTGAAAATGTTCTGCATTAACACTATAATGCATGGCAAACACGGGATCATGGATCACCTACACAAGCCCTTTATGAAGTATCTACGATTGTGTAAAAAATAAATAAAAGAAGGTGGATTTTTGAGTTGTGCAGCTTCAGAAATTATACCATTTATATGTACAAAATGTTCATAACCGGTGTACTCTTGCAGCAAGCAGACTCACAACTTGCAGTTTTCTACCAGCTTGGCCTAAAATTTAGTAAATCCATGAAATGAAGCGCAAAGCATGTCAAAATACATGGTGCGTAAACTGGAGTTGGCAGCTTGGACTGTCTGCTCCCACTGTGCCGATTTGCCTCCTGCGTTTGTAAGAGGTGTGTGTGCTGTGAGCATGCACAGCAGGGCTACATACCAGATTCAATAGCATAGTTCTGACTGGATCAAGAAAGGAGGTGTGAGCATGTAAACAGCACAGCTCCTGCAGGTATAGGAGATTGTTTTGCATAATACGGTATAGGTAGATGGCTGAATGGGGAAGGAATATTCCCTCAAATAATTTTGGGGGAAGGCAGTGGAGTCTGGATGAAGCAGATCAAGAAGCAAACAAAGAATTTAAAAGGTTTGCGGGGATAGCTCCTGGCAACACCAAACTGCAGTGAATAAATGTTTGCGAGAATAGCTCCTAGCAACACCAAGCTACAGTGAATAAAGGTTTGCGGGGATAGCTCCTAGCAATACCAAGCTGCAGTGAATAAAGGTTTGCGGGGATAGCTCCTAGCAACACCAAGCTGCAGTGAATAAAGGTTTGCGGGGATAGATTCCTAGCAACACCAAGCTGCAGTGAATAAAGGTTTGCAGGGATAGCTCCTAGCAACACCAAGCTGCAGTGAATAAAGGTTTGCGGGGATAGCTCCAAGCAACACCAAGCTGCAGTGAATAAAGGTTTGCGGGGATAGCTCCTAGCAACACCAAGCTGCAGTGAATAAAGGTTTGCGGGGATAGCTCCAAGCAACACCAAGCTGCAGTGAATAAAGGTTTGTGGGGATAGCTCCAAGCAACACCAAGCTGCAGTGAACAAAGGTTTGCGGGGATAGCTCCAAGCAACACCAAGCTGCAGTGAACAAAGGTTTGTGGGGATAGCTTCCTAGCAACACCAAGCTGCAGTGAACAAAGGTTTGTGGGGATAGCTCCTAGCAACACCAAGCTGCAGTGAATAAAGGTTTGTGGGGATGGCTTCCTAGAAACACCAAGCTGCAATGAATAAAGGTTTGCAGGAATAGATTCCTTCTGGTTTCTATTTATTAACTGATTGCAGTAACCTATTCGAAGATTTTATTGCATTCAATTATTTGTAAAGTCTTTTCAAAACAAATTTCAGTATGGAGTTCCCTTCTAAGGTAGCTGGAAAGCAACAGAACAGGCATCGCCATTTCGTTAAATGCCAAACAAGATATTGTGTTTCCAAATATAACAGTCTGCCTCGGATTACATAGAAGCCGTTTTGTTCGTATACAAAGCATACTTATTTGCTGGATCCAAATACATAACTCCGTTAAAGGTAATTGTCACCTCTTTGGAATTTACACTGAATAAAACATTGAAAATCACCTAGAACTTGTGGCAACCCTTTTAATTTACAGAGTTCTTTTTACATACATATTAGGGAGTTAGAAAATGACATCTTAATCCAGTTCAGACAGGGAAAACATAGCAAACTAACCAGTTAAGACCACTTTTTTCATTCAAATGGCATTAACACTTTTAGGATGGCATGGAACACCCTATTCTGGTGTGAGAATGTTCAATACCCGCTGGTACCAGGGAGACCCAGGTATAAATTAATTCATGCACACATGCCCCCCTGCTGACAGTGATCTGAGCTGGGCTTTGCCAGCTCCCCAGCATCAATCATTGTGTGATCGGCAGGGTGAGCATGCAGGGGCTGTAATATGAGAGAGAGATTTCCCTCTCATGCTGCAATCACACAGTAGAGACTCTCAAATTGCTCTGTATTGTGAGAGTTGGTAAATTCCTCTGCTGATGTCAGCAGAAAATCACTATGAATAAGAGTTGGTTAAGGTCAAGTTTTGTTGCAGGGTTAAGGTATGAGTTAATGCACAGTTAAGGTTAGGGGCAGTGTTACAGAGTTAGTGTTTAAGTAACAAAAATGTAATTAGATCTTAGACATATGAGGAATTTCACAATCCGTACTCACAAGTTAATCTTTTTTCGAGTGGTCTTCAAATTAAAAAACAAAACAAACGTGAAAGGAACACTACAGCATTATGAATCCAACCGTATTCCTAACATTATAATACTCTGTAACAGTTTAGCTTTCAACTTGTCCTCAGATTACATATAGAGTGATTAACCTTTATTGCCCTCGCCATGCTGCTCTCCTCGTTTCCGGCCCCACCTCTTTGACGGAGATCATTAATTTTGATGATCTCAGCCAATCCAACGCTTCCCCGTAGTAAAGCATTGGGAAACTGGTGTACATGTATGGCGCAAATCAAATGCTGCCCTAGGAGGATCATTTGATTAAGAATAGAGTTTTACTAGGAATCGCAATGCAGCAGCGCCACCAGTGGCTATCTGGAAGACAGCCACTAGACATGAGTAAGTACTGTAAAGGAATGTTTTTACATTGCAGGGTTATAACTACAGGATGACTACACCCAGACCACTTCATTGAAATGATGTGGTCTGGTTGCCTTTAGTGGTATTTTGTATTATGGTGGAAAAAAACAAAATCTAGGTTTTGTTTTGATTCAGAAGTTGGACCATTGTCTACGTCCTTAAGGGGTTAAGGAGGGTTATGTATAAAAAGTGTCTGCTTTGAAAATTGGTGCAAACATAGAAAATGGACGGAGTCATCAATGCCTGTGGGTTCCACTAGTTTGCAGAGACTACCCCCTTTTAGAACTTCAGACCACTTTAAAAAACACAACAGTACTTAAACATAATTTGTCATAGTTTCATTCACATTGACAAATATAAATGATTAAACAGGGATGAAGGCATGTTTATTTCTACATCTGATTTCATTTGTTCACACCTCACAAAACATACTTGTTGAAAGTATGGCACCAAGACCATTTCACGTCAATAAAGCGGTTGTGATGTTTAGTGCCTTCAAGTGCCAACGTGAGAAAGAGGGGACACCAGTTAACCCCTAAAGCAATTCAGCAACCTAAAATATTTTAGGGATTTGGCATGTTCCCATAAAAGTATTCTTTATGTTGTATTTATAATAATTTTCTCATTTCACATCTTGAATAGTAGTTTTACAGAAGCATCTAAAGACTCGAATACCTGCAGTTACTGTGTATTTATACATTCCTTATCCAAATATTTTTATTGAATATTTTTCTATTCATTCATTACTATATAGAAAGAAGTTATTTTTTTTTTCCTAGGGGTGGGGAGGGAGACAGAGGGGGAAGCACAAATTGGAATTTAAAAATCTGTATGTCCATGGGACTAAAGTAGTAGCTCAATCTATTTGTCCTGAAGCAAAATCTCTAAATTAGAAAATATGGGGACCCCACTTAGACCTAGACATTAAATCAAAATGAAAAACAGAGGTAAATTACAGCGGAGCTTAAATATTTCTCAAACTCTTCCAATGTCACAGCGCGCCGCAGCTGGGTGTAGCGGCTGCGCGGTGAGCGCCGCGGGCGGGTGTAGCGGCTGCGCGGTGAGCGCCGCGGGCGGGTGTAGCGGCTGCGCGGTGAGCGCCGCGGGCGGGTGTAGCGGATGCGCGGTGAGCTCCGCGGCTGGGTGTAGCGGATGCGCAGTGAGCGCCGCGGGCGGGTGTAGCGGCTGCGCAGTGAGCGCCGCGGGCGGGTGTAGCGGATGCGCAGTGAGCGCCGCGGGCGGGTGTAGCGGATGCGCAGTGAGCGCCGCGGCTGGGTGTAGCGGATGCGCAGTGAGCGCCGCGGGCGGGTGTAGCGGATGCGCAGTGAGCGCCGCGGGCGGGTGTAGCGGATGCGCAGTGAGCGCCGCGGGCGGGTGTAGCGGATGCGCAGTGAGCGCCGCGGGCGGGTGTAGCGGATGCGCAGTGAGCGCCGCGGCTGGGTGTAGCGAATGTGTCTGGTGTGTGCACCCACTGAGTAATGCGTGTAAAGTGCATGTGGTGACCGAGTAATATGTTTAGCGACTGTGTAACGTGTGCTGGCCGAGAGCAACAGGTTTAGTAACTGTGGTTGGTGTGTGCACTGGCAGCATGCACTGTGTGTACACTCTGGAGTAGTCTTAGTCTTATGCAGTGATACTTTATTTAAGCAGAAAATTGCATATGGTGGCAGAAAATATTTGCCCTCGCTGACCTAGATAATTCCTAGAGGAATTTACACAGGTTTAGCCCAATTTCCTGGATATATTTTTTAAGGATTTAGGTTGGCAACACTTAAAAGCCCCATTTAAACATTGCAACCGATACAGAACATTGTTCTGTTGAACATTGGCACAACAGAAATAGCTGGACTTTTTTTATTTATGTAGACAATAACAAGTACCAAATGCAAAGCATATGGTGCCTGGCTACCATGGTTTACAACTCCCAAGATTTAAACATCCACGGATGCAGTAAACACCTACGGAAGTACCAGGGGCTGCTTGTTCCAGAGCTTGTAATTATAAAAAATGTGGAGCAATAACTCTTTGGTTATCTGCAAAAATATTGTCTAATTTTTCTAGTCATCACTGCTTGAGGTTAAAGAGCAAGTCCTAAAGAAATCCAAAAAGTGAAATAAAGGTCATATATGTAAAACACATTTTAATAATATTCTAAACAAAATAGTCTTCACCCATAATGCACTGTTGCCAACAGAGTCTCTCTCAGGGCCTGGCGATTCCTATAGGCTAATTGGGCGGACACCTATGGCGCCACTTAAGGGGGGGCGCCGGTAGTGGCTTTAGTGCTTGTTTGGCCGCCCCCAATTGATCTGTGTGTCGGTATGGGTCAGAGTGTGTGTGTGTGTGTGCCTCCGTGTGTGTGTGCCTCCGTGTGTGTGTGCCTCCGTGTGTGTGTCTCTCCGTCAGACTGCATGGGTCAGTGTGTTTGAATCTGTCTGCATGTGTCAGTGCATCCGTCAGTCTGTATGAGTGGATGGAGCAGCAATTTATTTTTTGCCTAGGGCGGCAAAAATCCTTGCACCGGCACTTGTCTTTCTAAAGCAGCATTGATAAAATCTCACCAATGCCAAGGACAATTTAGTAAAAATTACTACTTTATATTTAGATTTTGTCCACTTCATTGCCCACTGAAAACACAGCATAATCCCATCAGAAATAAATATTTATACACACACACACACACAATATATATGCTATATATTTATTTATTGGTGGCGAAAAACTGTGATTGGAAACCCCTTCCACCTGAAGTCTGTGGATAGTTAATACAATGTTAAACAAAAATCTGTACACCAGTCAAGCCATAAGACTTGCTTTTCCCACAGAAATCACAAATCTGCAGAGATGTTACTACCGCAAAGGATTCTGGGTGGGCGTATGCAACTTAATCTGTGTTTCAGTGGTTCACTGGTTTTGCATCTATTCCTAAATTGTGTTCCAAGCTGTTGTATACAGCAAACGCAGACTTAAAGGAATCCATATTTAAAATGGAATGAGGCAAAAACGTGATTCTTTGTTAAGCTAATTTGCATAAGCCCACCCAGAATCCTTTACGGTAGTAACAACACTGCAGATTTGTGATTTCTGTGGGAAAAGCAAGTCTTATGACTTGACTGGTGTGCGGATTTTTGTTTAACATTTTATATATATATAAACGTGTTTTTAACTGTAGCTAAGCACAACACAGGAAACTGAAGAATGTATATCATTTTTTTTTCTTTCATTTTTTAAAAAGTGCAGATTTAAATAAAAATTGGCAATTTTATGAATTAACCCTATTACACCCCCCTGGCTGTCAGACAACTGATCCCGTTTCTTCCTTGTTTGGTTAGCTCAGGGGAGCTAAACTCGAGGCAGCAACTGCCTTGTCTTGCAAAGACTTCTCATTGAGCTGAATAGAGAAGTCTGATTTGACAGTCACAGAAAGCCTGGTCAAGGTTAGAAGGGGAGGAATCCTTCAGAGATATGTCACTTTTGCAAGCCACTGACTTTTTTGCTAAATTAATTCTATTAATCTAAGTAAATTGAATTTATATCAGCAGAGATAACATGCACTTTTTCTACAGTGAAATATTATATAGTAAGCAAAGGACAGAAAAAAAAAAACCCCCTAAAGTGGCACTGTCAATACTAATTTTGACTGTGTTGGAATTTCACTGAAATTCCAAACCAGTCAAGAGATACAAAGATGAAGTAGGCAATACTTGATTTCTCCTCCGCCTGGCTTTCCTATATACAGAGCAGAGTCTAAGTGTCAATCCAGACAGCTGCAGTGAATTAACTATGTCTATGGAATATCACACAGTGTCGCTGGATCATTCATAGACCTCAATGCTGTATAGCAGTGATGTCCGCTCCAAAGAAAACCAACCGAATCAAGATGGCCACACCTTTACCACCCCACCCCCACCGGATCCCCAGCAGCGATGTCACTGTCGAAGGTCTTTGCAAAGTCCCCAGCCTGTGACAGTGCCACTTTAAAGGACCACTATAGTGCCAGGAAAACACACTTGTTTTCCTGGCACTATAGTGCCCTGAGGGTGCCCCCACTCTCAGGGTCCCCCTCCCGTCAGGCTTTAGGTGGTAGAAGGGGTTAAACTTACCTCTTTCTCCAGCGCCGGGCGGGGCACTCCCCTCCTCCTCAGCTGAATGCGCATGCACCTCTAGCGGCTGTCAATGAGAGCCACTAGAGGCTGGATTAACCCGAACATAGCAGTTTCTCTGAAACTGCTATGTTTATAGAAAAAAAGGGTTAAACATAGCTGGACCAGGCACCCAGACCACTTCAGCTGAAGTGGTCTGGGTGCCTATAATGGTCCTTTAATACCATTGTTATTCAGCAAATTTATGTATACTTGTATAACCTACCTAAAGGGTTACTCCAATGATTTGAAATGGTCATGGTGCTTGGAGTGTGTTTATGCAGCTTTTAAATATGAAACTGCACATACAGAGAGATTTTATATTGCTGTTATTAAAAAATAAATTGAAATTTTACTCAAACCAGAGATTGTGTACCTTGCAATGATTTCATCATTATCTATGTATTTCTGATGGCATATAACAAATGCATGTCTGATATAACGGTTAAACTAGTCTGAAAAGTTATTATTCTAAATATTATGTCTTCATCTGGTTGCAAATGTTAACATTTTAACAAACCAGCAAGACCTAAGTTTACAAATCATGTTTAAATCAAGTCTTACTGGCCAGTGATTTAAAATAGACTTTATTAATCCACTACACATTCTCAATATTTGCCCAACACTTTACCTGGGGATGTATTATTGTATGTATTATTATGCTTATAGTCACTTTCTGAGCACACAAAATTAAATGTTTAAAGGAATATGCCAATTTTGCTTTCTTTTGATTGGTAACAACACTGGAAACAAAGGGGCCAGAAAGGAGATTTTGTCAAGAACACTATTAAAAGAGAGAACAAGCTACAAAAGCACACATTTCTGACTAGTGCATACACCATGATCACCTGATATCAACAAAATTCCATCCACTGTAAACATGGGGATAAAAGAATGTATGCGCATACATTTTTATAAATTTGGGGAATGCAAGGTTATATATACTTCCCCCAAACACACAAGTTAAGATACAATATGTTCTTACTCCTGATCATGCGTATGTGTTACCAAATATCTAAAGGTTTACCTGGTAAGTGTGTACTCCCTGAGACCAGAATGCAGGTTCATGGCAGAAAAGGTTCCTATACATCCGCGCAACCTTTTATCACGTCCTATCTTCCATGTTACGAACAGCGGGCTTGAGAAGGGATAAAAATAAACACCAAATTAGAATGAATGTAAGAAAAAAAAAATTAGAGGTTTATTATACATGAACATTAGTAGGCCAAAACTAAAAGTGGAGCAGTCCCCATGGAAACCAATGACATGTTGCTGAATGCCCTAAATTCAAAGCTATCTAAATTGCTTTTTACAAAGGTTTTCACCACTGAATTCAAATCTAGATACCATTTAGCCAAGAGGCAGTTTGCTGTAAACATGACAAAAATTTTTTTAACAATTTTTAATAAGGTTTATCGCTTAATACTATTTCCTACTAGAACAAAACAGAAAAATATTTAATAGATGGATCAATTGGATATTAAAAGTCTGAGAGCCAGAAGGGTATAAAAGAAAAAAATGTCAAGTGTTAAAACACCAATTAGGGACACTGGAATATAGGCTATGCACACCATGTCCTGATTTGTCAAGATTAGAAATAAAAGCAGACACAGGTTTATAGATCTAACAAAGTACATTCCTGGTTCTACCCACATTAATTGCGGTGATGTACATATTCTTGCCAGCAATATATAAAAACCTTCAAAGTAAGTTACATCTGATTGAAAATGAAACCATTACATGAGGATGAAATATCTGAAACTGAAACGAACCCTTCCCCTTTCCCATCCTTTAATTACAGCCCTCCACCACTTTGGCTTATCCAACTTGATATATTTTTTTTTTTTTTAGATTTGTTGTATATGTTTGTTAAATTGTAATTCTTAAACATAATATCTTTAGTAGACAAACAATTGAATGCGGTGAGTCACCATATTAGTTTCTAAAACATAACCTTTATTTGATATAGTTAAAAATATCCTAAAGTGGATATATAAAAATAGAAGTATTAGAAATATGTGGGAAAGGGAAAAGAAAAAGGTCTAGAATGAAAAAAATGCTAACGGCAGAGTGTCTAATTCAAAAATAAAAAATATTAATATAAGACTTAGAGATAAGTACTAGTTAGATTGTCCTGGAGGGCATACAATGCTACAATTCAAATCAATTGATACAAAGTTAATAAAGTAGCCAAAAATATATACAGTTTTTGAAAAGGTATCAAAAAAGTAGACAATATAAATAATGATTATGTAATTATATTGACAATAGGTATTACTAAATACCTATTGTCAATTTAATGTAGATTTAGCCCATCAGTTACTTTTTGCAGAGGATTGGAGTGATTCCAAACTTTAGCCGTACGTATATCAGTTTATGTAAGGGATGATAGGAACGGTGCGCGTGTCGGCTGGTCCCTGTTATTGTCTAAAAAGTAGCTTTCTAATCCCTGCATATTTAACAGCCGGCCCAAAATACAAATTGCCCGTAATTAGTGAGAATGACCTACCCCAATACCCAAATTAACCTAAAATCTAGGTAGTCCGGAGTTGGAGGAGTACAATTAAGGTTATGTGCACATCACAAGTAGAGAACCTCCAGCTTCAAAGACCCAGAAGTATGCACTTGACGCACGTTTCACCCGGTGGCTGTTGCCGGGATCATCAGGAGTGCTGGTGGTGGTCCCACAGACAGACATTCTGCTTTTAAGTGTAACCGTCAGAGTTTCTATTGCTTAATCAACCGCTGGTGGGACTTCTCCAGCAAGCGGTTAATTACAAAATGTGACCTCCAGAAATGTTCGGATGCTTGGAGGGATAGACTATAGGGAGTGTGAATGTGAGTGCCAGAAATAAGGTTTTATTTTAGGGCGAAAAAATGTTACTAAATGGATTTAAGAAATAGAGAATGGGGAGAACAGTCATAATAAAGAAATTAATACAAATACAAAAAGTAACCGATGGGCTAAATCTACATTAAACTGATATAAGTAAATGGGTGTTTAGTAATATCAGTGGTGGACTGATTACATAATCTTTCACAGTCTATTTTTTGATACTCTTTCAAATTATTTATATATTATGACTACTTCATTAACTTTGTATCAATTCTTTTGATTGAATTGTAGCATTGTATGCCCTCCAGGAGAATCTAACTAGTACTTCTCTCTAAGTCTTATTTAAAGCGGCACTGTCATGCCGAATCCTGTTTTTTGGTTTTTTTTTTAACCCCCCTCCGATCTTTATTCAGGGCGCAGCCATCTTTGTGTGGGTCGATGAAGTCCCTGTGGGATACGTCATCAGCCCACACTAGGTAGACTGTGAGATTCCCGCATATGCCCAGTGAAACACCTGGACATGCGAACGGGAATTTCATCTATTCATTCATTTGACAGACGAATGAATGAATAGAAATATCAGCCAAACAAACACTGTGTATCAATGTTCGTTCAGTGTATTACAAGGAGAGAGCTACCAGCTCACAGCACCCTCCTTGTAATATGTAAGTATAGAAGCGGCAGGGAGCAGTGCTCCCCACCACTTCATAAGCCCCCCCAGTACCCCCTCACTCTATTGGGGGTCAATATGACTCCCATAATAGCATAAGGGAGATTAAAATCTCCTACATGCCCCTACTCGCTATACCGCGAGTAGGGGCATGTCCACTAAACAGTGAGCAGCCTGTGGCTGATCAAAATAAAACTTGGAATTTGACTATGTCTGTTCAACCGTAATTCACCTCATTCATATTAAGTGTACCCACAGTTATTATAAATCATTTTATTCAGGAGAAACAGGGCTTTCATTTAACATCAAATATTTAGCTAAGAAACTATTTAATAAGAATAATAAAAAAAAAAGTGAGAAATTAAGAAATCTTATTTTTATAGTTCTGCATGACATCTTAACTGTGAATGTCATAATACGGTTAGCTTTTACTGCAATAAAATACACATGTATTCATCGATGTCTCACATGTAAAACAGTACCTCCTACGTACAGGTTTTATGGCGTTTTGGGAAGTTACAGGGTCAAATATGGCATGTTTCACTTTTGTTTTTTCACATTGAAATTCACCAGATTGGTTACGTTGCCTTTGAGACCGTACGGTAACCCAGGAATGAGAATTAGTAGCCACTTGGTCACACACACTGGCCAAAGTTAGCATTAATATTTGTTTGTGTGTGAAAAATACGAATTTGAACACCGATTTTGGGAAACAAATCATTCCTGGACACGGTAGAGAGTACCTAGACCTGCTTGAATGCTACTACAACAGTAGACCCAATGAGAGAGGCTACATGAAACATATGAGGGAGCTATGGATGAATAAGAGCCTACCCTAACACCAAAACATCTGGTTACACAACGGTTGAACATCTTCAAGAGAAATCTAGTGTCACAACTGGAAACTAGAAAAGCTACAATTTCTAGGGAAATTGTGTGAAGTGTTCTTGCCTCCACCAGTAGTCTACAACTGGAGTGGGCGGAGTAACTTATTTATATAGCACATTTAATTGCAACGTTGTTGCACAGTTACATTAAACCATACATTTATAAAAACATTAGCAGGTGTTCAAAAGGCCCTGTCTATGACATCACTTGCTGCTGCAGCCTGGCACAGGTCAGTATTTTGGCGGTTGCCATCTTCAAACGGTCGTATTTTAAAAACTATAAATCCTACAGCGAAGAGCTTTATATTGTGAGAATCACAAGACCAAGACCTACATTTTGATGCATAATATGTCTCTGAAGTATTAAAAATGAAGGCACAGTCACAGTTTAGAAATTGCACTTCAAATTTGAGCTTTGCAGAGTGAAGTTTCAATGAATGTCAATGGACGGCGTTAGTTGCAAACAAATGATTATATTGTGAAAACTATCAGGACTATGGCTTAGCCGTGGACATGTTTAGTAGCAGCAATGATAGCTGAATGTTTTGATATAAGATTTGTGTAGGTGGGCCTGAAAATAAGGGAGTGGTGGCAGTTTAGAAATCATGTCCTGATTTTTCAGCTTTTGCTAGCTCCCACTCTAGCTTTGCCATTCATTCCTATGGGACAAATTTCGCCACAAGAACAACGATATTCCGTGAACCATTCGGCGAAGCGTTCCACAAAGTAATAGCAATCCGATCGGGAACAATCTGCACGTTTTGGTAAATTTTTGTCTATGTAGTGTAAAAACTGTGGGAGGAGTTAGGGTGGCAAATTTTGCTATAATAAGAATAATATATGTGAGATAACATTAAGTGGTCTTGCTATGCAAGAACACTTAATAATAATATATATGTGAGATAACAATAAGTGTTCTTGCAAGAACACTTAATATATATGTGAGATAATAAGTGGTCTTGCTATGCAAGAACACTTAATATATATGTGAGATAACATTAAGTGGTCTTGCTATGCAAGAACACTTAATATATATGTGAGATAACATTAAGTGGTCTTGCTATGCAAGAACACTTAATAAATAGACTACAGAAGAAATCAACCATACACCATGAGAAGGAAGAAATTCCTATACCCAGATTTTTACCTATAGAGAATTGTCAACTTGAATACATGCCCCAAGATGGCATAACAGAAAAACTAGCAGTCAGTAACCTGTGGACAAGACTACCGAAGATCACTGGAAAGCAACCACCAGACAGCATACTAGCTGTAGTTAATAAAGCATTGTCCACAATCCCATCACAGAAAAACAGGCTCATATATGCCACAGCATTATCAACTTGACAGCACTAGCCAATTCCAGGACAATAACAACAGACTGACAGCACTGGCAACCAGACTGAGCAGATACACCAGAGGCTAAGAGAATCAACGTCCTCTTTACCAATGCACAGCTACAGGGTAACCACCAAATGTCCTCGCATGACCCACTGTAACCGCGGCTGGTTCCCTTATTTACCACTATAATGTCTTTAAGCATAGAACTTAGTAGGGCTTACCATACCGATATCTTAGCCATAATTTTATATAGTTAGTGTAAGAGATCCCTTATTTAACATATATAAATAATTGAGAATACAATATAAAATAAGGAGTGTCTTGGAAGCAATAGTTTTTTCTTTTATTTTTTTTTCAATTGACAATTTTTATTATTTTTTTCTTTCGCAGTTGTTAGTGGGGTACAGAAGAGAAGTGGGGAAGGGGAAATACCAACAGGTGTTGAAGACATGGTATAATCATTACATTGTATTGTACTCCTTCTTAACAATGCTATGGTATAGTGTTCCATTCACAAATAAATTCAAAGATTCTACCTCGTCTTACATTACTTCCTTGCGCCCTCCTTTGTAATTTGTGGGTTGGTGGAGGGGAAGGGGAGGGGGGGTAAACCTATGTACACGTGTGGGGTTTCGTTGTCTATGTGTTTTCCTACTTTGTCCTTCATGTGTGTAAGCTTGTGATGGGAGCTCTTACTGTGAGCTCTTTACGTGAGCTCTGTTGTGGGCTCTTTTTGTGGTCTCTTGATGTGAGCTCTCTCCCTAATATTCTTTTCCTCAGTACCTCACTGGCCGGTCCTCAGCGTTCTTACAGGACCTATTGGTGTGCAGCTTCGGCTGCCTGAAGTTTTACCGTGTTCCAATATGTGTCCCAGATGCGACCTGCCTCAGTAGTGGCTCCCTTCTTTTCTAGCTGGCGGGCCGCCATGTATTCGTATTCACAGTTCAGTTGGATTTGGGCTAACAGACTGGCTTTTGTGGGGGCTGAATTAGATTTCCATTGTTTTGCTATGAGATTACATGCTGACATTATCGTGTGGAATAGAAGTTTGGCATGGACCTTGGATATGTCCTCTGGCCATATGTACAATAGGCATATTGCTGGGGTCAAGGTTACTTTTATAGGTAATAGCTGATCTATGATGTTGTTCACTACCTTCCAGTAGGGTCGAATATCCCTGCACTCCCACCATATGTGTAGCATTGATCCCCTGTCCAATCCACATCGCCAGCATTGGGCCGAAGTGCCTGGAAATATATGTGCTAGCCTCGTTGGGACCAGATACCACCTATATTGTAGTTTCCTTATTTGTTCAAGGTGCGTGACGCATGTGGTCTTGCCTTTGTGGATAGTAAAGGCTCCCGACCATTGATGCTCTGAGAAAGTGCATCCTAGGTCTTTGTGCCATGCCTGTTTGAAGTTGTCAGTGGAATTGTGTGTACCTGTTAGTAACGTTCCATAGACTCTTGAAAAGGTTCGTTTGTGTGGGATTCCCCTTAGGCAACATGCATCGTAGTTGGACACCGCGGGTAGCCCAGGTGGGGGAGTGTGGTGTTGTAGCATCGATTTGATCTGTAGGTATGAAAAGATTGCTCTATTTGGTATTTTGTACTGTGCTTGTATGTCCGGGAACTGTTTAAGAGAGGATCCTGTGTACAGATCGTGTATGTGCGTGCACCCTGCCTCTGTCCACGTCCTATAGTCAAATGTTGGGTTTCTCAGGTATATGCTATACATCGTTGAGGCAAGTGATAGGTCCCCTGTACCGCTCAGGTGCGCTCTGCTTGTGTCCCATGTGTGCAGCAGTAGTTTTGTGGTTTCCAGCATATGGGGTGTTGCTGGTCTCAGGTGTTTTGGTACCCAGAATAGGTGGTGCATCCCAGCTCTGCACGACTCATTGGTTTCAATAGCTACCCATTGTGGCGGGTTTTCTACCCTGTGTGCCGTGGCCACCGTGGATAGAAGCGCCGCCTTGTAATATAGTTTGATATCTGGAAAACTCATGCCCCCTTTCTCTACCGGCTTTTTGATCGTGGAGAGTGCTACTCTAGGAGTTTTATTTGCCAATGTGAATCGTGTGATGGTTTTTTGTAACTTGGTCATGTAGTGCCTAGGGATGGGGATCTGTAGCGAGCGGAATAGGTACTGTAGTTTAGGTAACAGCGACATTTTAAAAGCCGCTATACGACCGTGCCACGAGTGGAAGTCACTATTCCACTTATCGAGCGTCTGCGTAATTTCGTGTGATAGTTTCTCGTAGTTATATTTATACATTTGGTGGGTCGTCCTGGCTAAATTGATCCCTAAAAACTTTATGTAATCGTCCCTCCAGTCGAAGTTAAAAGATTCCGTCAGGGTGTGGAGAGTCTGTCCCAGGAGGTGGATTCCCATTGCCTGTGTCTTTGTCAGGTTAAGTTTGTAATACGATACTTTGTTATAGTCTTGTATGCACTGAAGGAGGTTGGGTATGGACATTTGCGGTTGTGTCAGAGTTAGGAGTATGTCGTCCGCAAAGAGGCTGAGGGTGTACTCTCTGTCTCCCACTCTGACTCCGTGTATCGCCGGATGGGCCCTAATCGTGGCAGCCAGAGGCTCTAATGCCAGCACGTATAACAGAGGGGACAGCGGACACCCTTGTCTCGTCCCATTTGTGATTACTATTTGTTCTGATACGAATCCTGAGTTTAAGACCTGGGCCCTCGGCGCTGAATAGAGCGCCCTCACCACTGAAATGAAGCTCCCCGGGATCCAATATCTTTTTAGGGCCGCCTCCAGAAAGCTCCATCCCAGCCGGTCGAAGGCCTTTTCTGCATCTAACGATATTAGGACCCCCCCCTGCCTGTGTTGTCTCTAGGCTCTGCATAAGGTTTAGAACTTTTCTGGTGTTGTCTGCCCCCTGGCGCCCTGTTACAAACCCCACTTGGTCATTGTGTATAATATGTGGCAGTATAGGCCCTAATCTTAATGCGTAAAGTTTGGCTAGGATTTTAGTGTCCGTGTTAAGAAGGGATATAGGGCGGAAGTTTTGCGGCTGTGTCGGAGGCTTACCCGGCTTAGGTAGGGTAATAATATGGGCCAATTGCATTTCTCCCGGGAGGGTCTCTATGCGTACTGCTTCATTGAATACTTCTGCTAGGTAGGGTGCTAAGATATCTTTAAATGTCTTGTAGTACGAATTAGCGAATCCGTCTGGGCCTGGGGCCTTTCCTTTCGGTAATGACCGTATCGTATCGCAAACCTCCTCTGGGGTAACCTGCCTAGATAGTGTTTCTTGTTGCTGAGACGTTAAGGTCGGGAGAGTTGCTTTGTCTAAGTACTCCGTTATGTTTGTATCTGTTGGGGGGTGTATAGTGGGGTCTCGTCGAAGGTTGTATAAGTCCCCATAATAGCGTGCAAATTCGTTACTAATTGTGAGAGGTGTCATCACCTTCCCCCCCGCTTTGGAGTGCAAAAACGCTATTTTCTGTGTCTGCGGTCGTTTTTTCAACCTTGAAGCCAGCAATTTACCCGCTCTATTCCCTTGTGAGTAATGTGTAGCTTTTAACTTCCTTAAGGTGTATCCTACTCTGTCGAGCGCCTTTTGTCGGAGTTGTTGGCGCACCTTCGATATTTGTTCTTTCAATTGGGTCGAGGGGCGGGCTTGGTTCTGTAATGTCAGGTTGTATAAGTCTTTCTGCCATTGTAATATCTGCGTCTGCGTTTTCCTTTTCAGGTAAGCTGCTCTCCGTATAAGGAGTCCCCGGGTTACCGCTTTATGGGCCTGCCATATCGTGTGGTGTTGTAAATCTGGATTGGTGTTATCTGTAAAGTAATGGCGTAATGAGTCAGAAACGCTCTCCGAGAAGGACTTGTCCAACAGGAGAGTTTCATTGAGACGCCATGGACTCCTATGTTTAAAATCATAGGTATCCCTTAGTGTCAGTTCCATGGGAGCGTGGTCAGACCATACTATCTGCCCCACTCTGCAGTCCACTATCTGCTCAAGTGCCCCTCCCTCTACCAGTATCGCGTCTATTCTCGAGTAGGTGTTATGGACCTGTGAGTGATGGGTGAATTCCTTATCTTCTGTGTGTGTGACGCGCCATGCATCGTAGTAGTGGTGTAGGGCCAATAATTTCGCCAGTGTTGCGCTTTGCCGCTTGAGTGGTTTGTATCTCGGGCTATTAGGAGAAAGTGTAGTGTCTAGGGCTGGGTTGAGAACATGGTTTAGGTCCCCGCATATGATTGTCGTGCCTTGTTTGATGTTGGATATTATGGAGATGATTTTGTGTATGAAGTTCCTCTGATTGGTGTTGGGGGCATACACGTTAGCTATTGTGTATAAAGCATTATTTATTTTCCCAACTACGATAACATATCTGCCTTCCCTATCTGTATCTTCAGTTATTAGTTCAAAAGTCACCTTTTTACTTATCAGTATAGAGACTCCTTTTGATTTGGTGTTAGACGTGGAGTGGAACTGGTGAGGGTGTGTCTTGGTTAAAATGCTGGGGTGGGTATTGCCCCTGAAATGTGTTTCCTGTAGACACTATGTCAGCATCTAGTTTCCCTATGTCCCTACCCAAGAGGTGCCTTTGTACTGGGAGGTTGAGTCCTCTCACATTATGGCTGTAAAACTTTATGGTGGTATGTATGGGAAGGTGTTGCTCTTGCTTAGTTTGTATTGATCTATCATGAGTCTCTGCCCTCCCCAGCTATTTCGAGCCAGGCAGATCTCTATTGCTGTGAACTTCAGGGTGAGTGTAGGACATGTCATCCCATGGTCCTTCCACGGTGGTAGGAGCTCATGCCTTGCTGAGGTGTAGGAGTTAAGTAGCGTGTTTTGGCCGCCCACTTGGCCTTGAGGTGAGGGGGTTGGGATGAGGGGGGGGGGATCGAACAGTACAATTGGGGGTTATTGAATCCTCTGTCTTGCAGAGTTCTAACATATGTACAATCTTGAACATAATTGCCAAGTGTATGGCAAGGTTCCCATAGGGGGAACCGTGGGGGTCGGAGCGTATCGCTTCGATCCTGGTTAGGGTGCTGCCGCGAGGGCAGCCCTCATGATGTGTATCAGTGCGTTCGTTTGCTGGATTGACCCGTTCACGGTATAGCATCTGCACATTGTGAACTGCATAAATGGTGAGCCAGCCGGCTTTAGTATTAAGTGGCCTTCAGGTCATGGTTGGGTATTATGCTCAGGTTTGCCTCTCCATATCGTACTCGTTGGGGCTTTTTATATATTGTAAATTATTTTATTTTTTTCATTTCTGTTAGATGGCAGAACGGTGTGGAAGGGGTCATGTACAGGCCGTGATAGGGGTCTGCACGTCCCTTGGGTAATAATTCCTAGTGTGTATGATACATCAGAACCCCCACCCTTGACCCTGACCTTGTGTAGCTAGTCTGGTAGCTATATTTACAAACTTTTTAGTACGGCATGGGCTAGGTGTGCATTGTGATCATTAGTATTGCATGGACAAGGTATACTTGCGGGCAATAGTAAAGTTCATAGGAGTGTCGCTTCCAGATGCCTATTTTCGTGCCTTCTTCCAGGCTGAGGGTTGTCGCCCGGTGGGTGCCGGTCTTGGTCTCTCGGCTGGTGGAGTGATGCCCCATTCCTGCAGCTTTTGGAGGCCTTCCTCCGGTGACACGATGGAAGTGAGAGCGCCGTTGCGTTGAATGAGAAGTTTGGTCTGATAGCCCCATCGATATGCTATGTTGGTGCTGCGTAGGGCTTCTGTGATGATGCTGAAGGACTTTCTTTTTCGTAGCGTCATGGCAGAGATGTCAGCAAAGATCCCAATCTTCTGATATTCCGGTGGTATGTCTTTTCAGACTCTGCTCGCCTTGAGAACTGCCTCCTTTGCATGATAGTAGTGCATTTTCAATATTATGTCTGCAGGTAAGTATGAGGGTTTCGCTACCCTATGTATGCGGTCCAGCAACAGGACATCTTGCGGTAGATCTGGTACCAGCATGTGGAAGAGCCCCGTGGCGTATGCTGGCAAGTCCGCTGGGCCTATATTTTCAGGCACGTTCCGCAGCCTCAAGTTGCTGCGACGCGCGCGGTCTTCCATGTCCGCAATCTTGGCCTCATATTCATTGAGCCTGTCCCATGCTTCTTCCACTTTGGTGGTTAGGCGGGTATGCGCTTCCATTTGTGCCTCCATCTGGTTTTCCAGATCTGAGGTGCGAGAGCCCAATTTGTGTATATCCGTGCGGAGGTCGGTAAACGAGCGCTGCAGCGTGCCCTGTAGCTTTGCAGCCATATCATCGAACATCGCTTTTAGACTCTCCGTGGTAAGTATAAGGTTGGCGGTCTCATTTTGCGTACCTTGTGAGCCCTCCAGGTCGGCGCCATCTTGCTGCTCCTCCGGTATAGTAACTCCTCGTGTGTGCCCCTGTTTGGCACTAAAAAAAGAGCATTTTGTCTTGTTTATCGGATGCCCGTTTGCTTTTATTGTGGGACATAGTGATGGTGTGTCCCAATGTGCAATTCACTGTAGTTTCGGGTCGTCAATGCTGCATGAGGGCCTTAACTTTCGCGGAGCTAGATGAGCATGCGACCGCTCTCGTTCACGTCCAGGCCACGCCCCCTAGTTTTTTCTTTTAGATATTTATTATATAAAATTATAAATATAGAAAAAATCCATTATTACATAGTTTATAAGATTAAATTAAATGCTTGCAAATATAATTAATAGGTTAACATACCCTTCTGAACAGGTCATCATGTCAGCCTCTGTCATTTTAAGATGGAGCAACGTCTGTCTGCAAGTCTCTCCTCTGTTTCTTAACATTTAAAAGTACACCTATTTATACCTTAGGTGTCTCCATTTTAGGGTTCCCATAGGTCATATATGAAAAAGTAACACCTTTTCCTTTATTCATTTTAGGACCTCCCTTAACTTGGCAAACATACAAGGCCATAACTAAAGGGTGTACACGTCATGGAAATTTTCCGGACTTAGTTCAAAATGGCATCTTAAAGTCTGGACATCCTTATCTACTTAAGGTTACCACAGTAGCATAGCCTTGAAGCTTGTTTATGCATTAATGTTATTGTAATTTGTCTGGGATAAAATGGCTTAAACATATTATGCACTGGGGTTATTGCTTAAAGAAACAGTTATGAAAAACAATATGTTCCATTTCTAACACCTGGTCAGTTTGCAATCTCTCTTAAAGACAAAGTACACAGTTTAAGAAATACAAATTTAATTCTAAAACTCGTAATATTTGCATTTGCCCATAACACCCTCTCCATTAAACTGTGGGCATTGTAGCGCATTTCTTACTTAAATTAGTAAACCAAAATTCTCCAACAGTCGTTAGGTTTTTGTGCTCCCAGCATCTTTGATCATTGTTGTAACAGTAAAATATTCGTAGTGTGATCTTTGCCTGTAAAGGTGGCTGATTAAAATGAGCAAAGCTTTTGTCTGGGAAAAAATTGAAAAGAACACAAGGTTCCAGAGTAAGATATTCTTGGCTGTATCCGGATACGAATTGTAATCCAAAGTTAAAAGTAGTAATTATATTTGTAATACAATGTCTTAAAGGGATGTAGAAGTTTACATTCCTTAGATACATTGCTGGAGGTTGTGTTTGTAGAATACTCAGGTATTTGTTGTAGAGTATAGGTTGTAGAGTCCAGCTTTCCAAATATTTGGCTAGAATTTGTTGCAGATATTGAATCAGCATCATCTGTTATCACCGTGGTGATGGTGTTGGTATTTGCCTTCGTATTTGCTTTTTATTTTGTTTTTTTCCATGAAACATTTTTACACCGTTTATGATGTGTATAGATTGGATACTCTCCGATATTCTTTTACGGAATAAACTGACAGCATTTCCAAGACATTGTCTTAAGTGACATGGATCCCATTATAGTAAATGGGGCGGGGTCGTACTTCGGTCTGTCGGTCATATTTGTATGTCCCGTCAGCTACCCTGCCTTTATCGGTCACTGTATGTTTTCCAGGGTTCCCATGTCCGGAGAAGGCCTTGGAGGAGCCTCGGATTTGGGCCGTGAGTTTGTCCATGAGATGGCATTCTTTGTTCTTGTTGATCACTATTGCTACTGAGGGGGTGTCGTCTTGTAGCCAAGTTTGGGCTGCTGCTCTCCTGGCCGCTAGAGCTATTTTATTAAGGAGTTGTTGGTTTGGTTTGGGCCAGTCCTCTTGGGGTCTGGCTAGTAGGAATGACCATGGGTTCAGTGGTACAGGTGTGTCTATGATTTGGGTTGATAGTGTTTGAATGGCTTTCCAAAATGTTTGAATCTTGGGGCAGTGCCACCACATGTGGGCGTACGTCCCTTTCTCTCCGCAGTTGCGCCAGCAGAGGTCTGTGGGTGTTTTTTCATGTGGTACAATTGAACAGGGGTGGTATACCACCGAAACATCGTTTTGTACGACATGGTCTGCATGGATAAGGCGAGTGAGGTGTGGGTTAAGTCGTGTTGCAAGTATTTTGGCCAAAATTTTACTGTCATGGTTTATGAGTGAGATGGGTCTATATACCTCTGGTTGAGCATGGTCTTTATCGTGTTTGGGTAGCAGTATAATGTGTGCTTGCGTCATGTCCTTAGTTGGTGGGGACCCTTCCATTATATCATGGAATAGGGTTTCCATGTGTGGTAGCAATTCCTCTCGGAAAGTTTTGTAATAGCTTCCCTCGTAGCCATCTGGGCCCGGGGCTTTGTTGCTCTTTAGAGAGGAGATGGCCAAGTTAATTTTGTCTTTGGTGATTGGGGCTGATAGCTCCGCTATGGCTGTGGTGTGGAGTTTGGGCAATTTGAGGTGTGCTAGGAATTCTGATGTTCTTTGGCAAATGGCCGTGGTCGGGGTGCTGCCGTGGGGAGTGTGATTGTATAGGGCGTCATAGAAGTAGGTAAAGACTTGCGCTCTCTCTGTCGGTGTGGATTTCATGGTACCGTCTGGGCCTCGTATGGATGTAATGTGAGGGCGTTATGTTCTGGGGCGTAGTGTGCGGGCTAGCAGCGTATCCATTTTATTTGATTTGTCGTAATACGTCCGCTTAGTCCATGTCAGTGCCCGCGCGGTGTCATCTATCAGCAGTTGTCTAATGGATAGGCGGGTGTCGTGTAAGTGTTGTAGTTTTTGTGGGTTTGGGTCTGTTTTGTGGCGCTGTTCTGCCGTATGGAGAGTGTCCAGTAGCTGGGAAAGCTTTTGGGTTTTTATTTTTTTTTTTTGTGCGTCGCTATCTTGATGACGTGGCCTCGGATTACAGCTTTGTGTGCTGCCCAGACTACTGTCATTGGAACGTCTGGTGTTAGATTTTCTGCAAAGTATGTGTTTAATTGTTTCTGGACATCCGCTACAACCAGCGGGTCTTTTAGAAGGGAGGTGTTGAGCCTCCATGTCCAAGGGGTAGGGCTGAATAGGCCATCTAGATAGATTGTAATAAAAAAAATAATTTTTAACCAAGATCTGACAGCCATTTTGGAAAGTCATGTCCGTGAGATTGGATGCTTAACAATGAGAATCTTAATTGTTTAAGTATATTTACCAGCGGCAGTTGGGTGTAACTTAAAGGACCACTATAGTGCCAGGAAAACACACTCGTTTTCCTGGCACTATAGTGCCCTGAGGGTGCCCCCACCCTCAGGGACCCCCTCCCGCCCGGCTCTGGAAGGGGGAAAGGGGTAAAAACTTACCTTTTTCCAGCGCTGGGCGGAGAGCTCTCTGCCTCCTCTCCGCCTCCGATCCGCCCCGCCGGCTGAATGCGCACTGTAGGCCAGACTGCAGCTGCATATGGCATTTTAGCAATAATCTTCAATTGTGTTTCAGATATTCACAAAGTCTATCCACCTTTGTAATTAACACATTATGTGTTTCTTATACCATTAATTATAGTATCTGTATTATATTACACATTGTCACTGACACATTTCTGATACAGGGAAAAAAATAGCATGATTGCTTTAGTAATTATAATTTTTCTGTCCATGCACCACATTCCTGGAAGTCCAGAATATAGCAAGAATCCTTTGTCGTTTGATTCTATGGAGCCATTTAAGGTTTTGATTGGTATAGTTATACCAAAAGAACAAGGAGTACGACGGTAGATCACATCTGCAACAGAACCATTACAGATTCCTTGTTGTATCAATGTCTCTGTGTTTATGTTTGCAGGAGTTCCTTGCTTTGCAGGTATGTACATAATACGTAGAGTTTAAGAAAAGCTGCAAATCGTGCTTTAGTACAAGTGTCCATGATGTCAGGTTTCTGAAAGATTTTGCCATTCTTTTCTATTCCATTCTCTTGGCAGTGCATCTGCTCTTAGTAAGCCGGTCTTCTTATTTATTAATTACCGCAAAGTTTCTTTTGTTAATTGATGTGTTTCTTCAGAATTCAAATTCATATGCCACCAAATGTCATTGTAAAGTTCATTGTTAAAGAATATTGTTCCAGGATGGTTTTTCACTCCAGTAGGAAATCTATATTCTTCTTCTCTGCTCCTTCTTATTAACCACTTTTTCTGAGTTGTATGCAAAAATCTGTGTCTTGTGAGGTGCATTGATAGTCAATCAGGTTCTCTCAGTACCGTGTTCCATCTTGAACAACAGCTGGGTGTTGACAGTTATCAGCCTTTATTTCTTTTTCTGGTCATCTTCTGTCTGGAAACATAATTGCAATATCCAGAATTAGCATAGCACTTCTTTTCAGCATAATAGGCTGTTTGCAGTAGTCACTCAATGATAAACTATATGGCAAAGTATTTTCTTAATCACCTTCATAGGTGCATCTCAAGTCTTTCATAAGCATCTGTCCCGTCTTTTTCTGATTTCAGCATGCTTTGCCATCATCGTTGAGTCCATTATTAGGATTTGGAATAGTTCAATCACATCTTTCTTATAATCAGTTTTTGGAATGATCTTCAAAGGGTTCCTTGTGAAATACCAGTGTAGGCAATCATTTCACTGTGAGCTGTGTCTCTCATTATGAGATAGTTCTTGGAGGTAGTCCTCACGATCAAAAGAACTTGTATAGTGTGTTATATAGTCCTGCTTGTTAACATAATCCCAATGTAGTTTTAAAATGACAGCTAGGGTTGATGTTATGATAATGCTGCAGATTGTAAGAAGGAGACACCATAACCAATTTTCTAGCACCCTTTTGCTTCCATCTTTGCATTTCTTTCTTACAGTATAAGAATTCAGGTTCAGTCTGTTTTCTTCAGAGTCTCTTATAATGATGTTGATTCATTTTTCATACATTCGAGAATAGTTCCATGGGTTTTGGCTGTGCGGTCGGTCTCTGTTCGGGAAGTTGAAATGCATGAAAATACATAAAATTATGGTTCGTGTCTTAGTTTGTGAAATTCCTCTTGTTCGTGTAATACTTTCTACCGAATGTCACTCTGTTCCCTTGAGTTCCCACGAACTTACACAAGGATGGAAGTCTCTGGTAGTTCGTGGTATAATTCATATGCTAAGATGGCCGCCGCCACGTGTTCGTATGACGAATGGCGGCCACCTCAGAGAACACCCAGTTTGTTCGTGTGTTGGCAGAGAGTGTGAACCAGGTTGGGGAGGTTAATTGGTGCCATGCTCCTCGCATGGGTGGCCTGGTTTTTCAGTATTTAGTTCGTATGCCGAACTATACAGTGGAAATAGCTGAACAGAGGGGTATTACCGAACAACCAGACGAATGATATAAGATAATAACTTGTTACGTGTTTTTACAAGTAACGAACAGTTGCATTCCCAATAAAATAAAGCAACAAAAAGGGTTATGGACAGCCTCTAGTATAAAAGGTGGATAGTAGCAAAGCCCATTCCGCTACATATATTTATACACTCCTATTGTGCATGATGTGTACCAATCACTGCATAACTTGTATCTGCATAATGTCAGTGCCTGTGACCAAGTGTATTTAAGCTGTGTGTGACCAGAATAAAGTGTCCTTAGTGCTGTGTCCAGATTGCCAGGAGGTTGTCCTGTGTGAGGCTAATTTCCTTGTTCTCGAAGACTAGGTTCCCACTGTGGTGGCACAAGTGTTGCTATCCTGACCTATAAGAAGGGAAAAACCTGATAGTGCCAGAACAGCAGCCAGTGGTGTATCCTCTTGACTGCTTGCGGGTATTCCAAGCCACAGCATTACTAAAATATTGTGCATCTGCAGAAAAGAACCCCTCTCATAGAGAAAAGGTATAGGCTGAGAGAAAGAATCTCAAATGCGATTGAAGGTCTGAACTGTGCCATGCTTGTACAGAGCAGCCAGGATCCAACAGTCACATATACATTAACTGTGAATGTATCACGTCTGTCCATCCTTCTTCACATTTGCAGGTTCAGATGTCAGATCATGATTCAGTCTGTCACGTGGCTATGATTCTAGTGGCATTTCTGTCGTCCTCTGTTTTATCTTGTCATCTTTAACAGCATTCACTGTCTCAGTCAGTGTTAGTATTTAGCAGGTTATAAAATATCAAAACTCACTGTTCTCTGTTGGCTCTGATTGTTCTCTGTAGTAAAAGTTCTCAGAGTCACCCTCTCCAGGACAAGCTGGCCAACAGTAGGAAATAGTTGGTGGTGCAAGGCAAGGTGGGCTGGAAAAAAAATTCCCTAAATTTCTCTAATAGAACCAATGGTTCCATGCTCTCCCTGGTGCAGAAATATGATTGTCAGTGAAAAAAACATGTAACATTTCATATGGTGTCTCACCATTTGTATCATCAGGTATGTTGTGAATGCTCATCTGTACCATAGGAATAAATAGATACCACTGTGTGGGGCAAGCAACTAGTAACTTGGTTAATAATCATTTAACCTCAGCATTTTCCCAGACCGCAACCCCACTACTTTGGGGGTGGTTGGTGCACTGAAATCCCAAAGTAACCCAAATGTGGTTGCCAAGTTTTAGGTTTCCTTTGCAGTAACTGCAGGTCCACCATCCAAATAAATGGTCCTGGGATTATCAAATGCATACTAAGGAAGTGAGACTAGAAAACGTGGCATCAGAGGTTGCACTTCAAACAGGATATATCCAAGTAAACCTGGTACATGCATCAACACATACAAAAACATATTTATAACCATGAGATGTTGGCAAACTTCCAATATATAGTAATTCAAAAAGTACATTAGATATTAATATTTCAGTAAACAGTACATCAGTAATGTGACAATAAGCAAATGCTTATGATTACTAAACACATGAATTACAGTATTTCCCATATTGGACCACCAATATTCCTTCTCAGGAGTCAGAAGTACATTACCTCTCTCTTTAAGAGCTTGTCCTAGCCATGAAAAAGCTTTTAGTCTATCTTTCCTCTATAGGAAGAACAACCAACTGTAATTAACCCCTCTAAACGATAGGAGTATTTATGCGGATACCAGGTGGATTATTTCTGGATATCCTTGCAAGCATAAACTCTGCATCATGACAGAGATAGGGTATGCTTTTGTGATCCAATGACCACAGAAAAGCGTTGGTAGACACATTGCATCAAAGTGCCTGTTAATGACCAACTACATGAGGAGAGGGACCATGCTTTGTTATAAGCATGTCCATACACGTATTACAATGCCAGGCTTTCTATTTGTTTCCACAAAGCAAAATGCAGTTTTGGATATAAACTCACGACGTAAGAAAAACTGTTTAAACACCAGACAGACTTGAGATCAGTGAACAGTGGACCAAAATAGATAAATTAAATCCTATCAATTAATATACTTTCAAAATATTTTCTTTAAATTACTTTGTATTAACTATGAAATATTAAAGTTAAAACAATAACATTTAAAAGCCGACTTTTAGTGTGCATAGGAATTACAAGGCCGTTCATAATGTGAGATAAAGAACAGCTTTTTTAAAACCGAATAGTCTGTGAACACAAGATGACCTTGCGCTGAAAATTTACTTGCAGGGGGAAAAAAAACAAACAAACAAAAAAACAAACCTTTTTTTCCTTTAGTAAATTAAACATAATTAGAACCTCCCTCAAAGTCCCGATGACTTTGCAAGAAACACGTCGTCCTTAAATACTGGGTAAGTCTATTAAACAGTGAAATAGCATTTTTACTCTGTATATTATGTTGTCACAGCTATAATGTGCAGTATTACAAACTATTCATAAGTGTTGTGCAAACTGTTCATTAAAAGCCAATGGTCTAGCGAGCTATAGAACATTTATTTATTCTTTAAAGATCTGACCTCAATCAGCAAAGCAATATTGCAATGGTATCCATTGCAATCTGCTATCTATACTTGCTGCTCTCAAAAATTCTGAATATGTTCTCAGATTTCTTGGGCAATAATAAATCCCCAAAAAACAACAACTTTGCATTTATGCTAAACCTGCCTGTTGTAAACGTATTCTGTATATGTCTTGACATAAACACTTGTACTTAAATCTGTTTAACAAAGCTATTTAGATTGTGACTGTTTATATTGTGGAAAATATATATATTTATTTTAACATTGCTTAATTTTTAAAGATACCTGCATATTTAATTAAATAGCCTTTATATGTCTTTAAAGCATAAAATATCTGCAAATTAAGATTATATACAAAAATGCATGTTCTGGGTATTCCCGTGATTCCTTTTCTATCATTGATTTTTCTTTAAGTCTGGAATCAGATTACTTTTGGGATGAGCTCCCCATCGGCCCCTAGTTTCAGAGGCTTCTTTGGAAGTGACCACAGAAAAGTATAGATTCTATAAAATAGATGTGAGGGGGCTTTGGACAGTAAAGTTACCTTAATTATACTTTTCATATAGCAGATATGTGATATGCAAACTGATTTAATATATCAGAGTATTATCACTTTAATTGACACTGCATTTTTTTTATGCATTATTCTTTATGCATAATTATTTTTCTTTTTTCCTTAAATTTTAATGTCTGTTTAGAATATTGCAGGCTTTGCAATATCACATTAATTTTGCATTATATAAATTCACAATGCTCTTACAATATATTATTAAAATTAGCCTCTTTCAGAATTGTAGAATATGTGGTGAAACTGAATCCCCATATATGAGATTTGAAACTGTATTTTTATTTCTACTCTGTGCTTATATACATAATTGCGGCAGCATATAGCTTTTAAAGAAGCAATTATTTCACCCTTCATGTGTGGTTGACTGTGGACCTTTTAAAACCTACTTTATTTTTATAAATCCGTTTCTGGCTCGGAGAGCAGGCTGCTGAATGCTCTTATTGCCTGGTCTATATACATTTATTTATAAACAACATTGCTATATTTATAAACAACTTTGAAATTTAATTTAATTTTGTAAAAACCTAGTTTATGAAATTCACTGAGATTACATGTGTCTGATCTGATTACACTTAATAGTACAATATCATTGTTCTAATTTTCTTACTGCCAGCACTACAGGTACAGTGGGATAGTACCACTGATATAAGTAAGCTTTCCCTTTTAAAATTGGTGGACTTTAATCCTGCCATTACCTGAGTAAGCAAAGCCATTATGTGCAGCTATTGTGCACTTTAAATACTAGAATACTTTTGCTATTCTAGTGAATTGAGCTGGCTGCTTAACACATCATTTAGTATCTTTTGGTCACATTTAAAGCTGTAAATTTAAATTTTATTTAAATAAGCCTTTAATAATTTCAGTTTAAATGTTATTGGAGATCCTATTTATTTACAATTTTATTTTGCCCTGATTTATCTTACATATCATTTTTAATAATTTTATAACTAATTATTTTTGCAGAGCATTTAGAGAAGCAAATGATGTATAACTACCCGTTGCACTTTTGTTATATTTTTTGATATTAACAGATTTTCTAGGAGGGTAGTATAATTTCAACTCTTTAGGAAAAAATACAAGCTAGTTAGCATCAAAATATATGCTGCAGTGTACTGCACGGAATGTATTTAAAAGCCATGTCTTTCTCTTTATGGCTGTATGTAATAATGTTGTTCATAATTTGGAATATAAAACGACTTCTCAATTCCTTGGAATGTTTACATGTCTCTATCTCCACAACCTTGGCTGGAAACTCTAGTCTCCAAAAATAGTTATGCTGTTATAATTCCTGATTTTCAATTAACAGCTAGCGTAACTGACAATATGGAAAATATCACTGTTTTATAAAACTTTTCTTATATAGTGGACTGTCTGTTGTTTTCATGAAGCCATAATGCAATCTTATTTGTATTCTTGGAATTGGATTTCAAGTTTCATCACTCTGATCACTTTTCTTTTGACAACATTTTGCATTAATCTTTTTCCTGCGCATGCATACTAAGCAGCTACGAAGAGAACATATCCCCCTGTCTGCAATCCACTGTCCTGGAACTAATGGGCCATGCTGTGCTGGTGTATTAGGCATATCACGGAGTTTACCAAATATGTACATTTGTTCTCTTATATTAATTCAGATCCACAATTTCAGCATTGTATGCCAATTACGATGTACCTGGCACCTGAACTCAAAGTGCTTTGTTCACATTAAAATCATCTCTAACGATGAAGATCTCTCTCTGAGTCTGGGCTACAAATAGCGCAATAGATTTCTGATATTTCAAGATTTGTGCCATGACAAAGTATTGTGTCTTCTCTTACGTATAAGAAGTTACCTAGGTATTTATTATTTTATAGTTAAAGCTTCCAAGTACAAGTCCCTTCGTGGTCGCCAATTGTAACCGCGGCTGGTTCCCTTATTTACCACTATAATGTCTTTAAGCATAGAACTTAGTAGGGTTAACCATACAGATATCTTAGCCATAATTTTATATAGTTAGTGTAAGAGATCCCCTATTTAACATATATAAATAATTGAGATTACAATCTAAAATAAGGATTGTCTTGGAAGCAATAGTTTTGTCTTTTAGATATTTATTATATAAAAATATAAATATAGACATAAAATCCATTATAGCATAGTTTGTAAGATTAAATTAAATGCTTGCAAATATCATTAATAGGTTAACATACCCTTCTGAACAGGTCATCATGTCAGCCTCTGTCATTTTAAGATGGAGCAACGTCTGTCTGCAAGTCTCTCCTCTGTTTCTTAACATTTAAAAGTACACCTATTTATACCTTAGGTGTCTCCATTTTAGCGTTACCGTAGTTCATATATGAAAAAGTAACACCTTTTCCTTTATTCATTTTAGGACCTCCCTTAACTTGGAAAACATACAAGGCCATAACTAAAGGGTGTACACGTCATGGAAATTTTCCGGACTTAGTTCAAGATGGCATCTTAAAGTCTGGACATCCTTATCTACTTAAGGTTACCACAGTAGCATAGCCTTGAAGCTTGTTTATGCATTATTGTTATTGTAATTCGTCTGGGATAAAATGGCGCAAACATATTATGCACTGGGGTTATTGCTTAAAGAAACAGTTATGAAAAACAATTTGTTCCATTTCTAACACCTTGTCAGTTTGCAATCTCTCTTAAAGACAAAGTACACAGTTTTTAAATACAACATTTCATTCTAAAACTTGTAATATTTGCATTTGCCCATAACACCACCCAGAGCTGAGACTGAACAGTACTGGAAGAATATCTGGGAGCAAGAAGCATCTCACCAAGGCCCAGTGGCTACTAGACATGAACGCATACTGCCAGAACAGGAACCAGTCGCCATCACAGTTGAAGATATCCAACAGAGAGCAGCACACATTAGTTGGTCAGCCGCAGGCCCTGACATGATCCACAACTACTGGATAAAGAAGTTAACAGCACTGCATGAACGCCTAGCAGCACAAATGAACCAGCTACTAGCAACAGGCTCCCACCCTGACTGGCTAACACAAGGCAGAACAATACATGTCATGAAGGACCCTCACGAGTGAACAGCACCACCAAACTACCGACCAATAACCTGCCTCCCCACAACATGGAAACTCCTGTCAAACAGCATAGCCTCCAAGATCCAAGGGCATACGAATCAATATAATGGAATGCTTGGCAATCTGTGTACTGAAATGTTTGACACTCTACAAGGACAGCAAGACAATAAAAGCCTACATCAAGAAAACAACTATAGAAGCCAATTCCAGGACAATAACTCAAGTGAACATCAAATGTGGCATATACCAAGGTGATGCGCTATCTCCAATGCTATTAGAGGAAAAAAATGGAAGCTTAATGGTAATGCAACCTAGGCAGTAAAGGGGTTAACCCTAACTAGAGTAATTCAAAAAAGGAAAAGAAGACTACTGCCATAGAAATAAATAAGGTTAAAAATTAACTTTTAATGATATAGTTAAAATAAAATTGAGAAACAAATTTGATAAAACTCTCAATATGCCAAAAGGGAATATAGAGAGATACACAACAAATAAGTGATTATAATATCCAGATTGTTATAAATTAATCACTTGACACATAATCAGCAGATAGATAGTATCTAAAATTGTTGCAAATTGATAGTTTCAATTGACTTATGCTGCAGTGCAATTGTAGTAGCAGCAGGTGCCCATGAAGGCACAGTTAGATGTTTTTTGCCTACATGGACAGTAATTATCCTGATCTATATATAAGCAACTGCTTTTTGTTTATTTTACTTTTAGTAATCAAGTAATAAGTGATCTTTTTGATTAGAATACGAAGGAAAACTGCACAGTATACGCTTATTAAGGAGTTTAGTAGATTCACTTTATTCATCTTTTTGGACAGTTAGCTAATTTAGTGGGGTTTTCTTGAGGTAGGTGCCCATGAAGGCACAGTTAGATTTTTGGAATACTTTTTATAAGTTTACATTGGGAATTTAATTAATCTTTGTTCCTGTCTACCTCTTACAGATAGTACATATATTGCACTGCAGCATAAGTCAATTGAAACTATCAATTTGCAACAATTTTAGATACTATCTGCTGATTATGTGTCAAGTGATTAACTTATAACAATCTGGATATTATAATCACTTATTTGTTGTGTATCTCTCTATATTCCCTTTTGGCATATTGAGATTTTTATCAAATTTGTTTCTCAATTTTATTTTAACTATATCATTAAAAGTTAATTTTTAACCTTATTTATTTCTATGGCAGTAGTCTTCTTTTCCTTTTTTTAACTATCTCCAATGCTGTTCTGCATAGGCCTCAACCCAACCATCTTAGCCAGATCATCAAGAAGATGATACAAGTTCAAGAGTGGAGCTACTATCAGCCAACTTCTCTACATGGATGACATCAAGCTGTATGCCAAGAACAAGCAGGACATTGACTCACTGATCCACCTAACTAGGATATAAAGCAAGGACATCGGAATGTCATTCGGACTAGAGAAGTGCGGGCAGATAGCAAAAAGAGGGAAGATTAACAGGACAGAAGCAGTTGAAGTTCCAGAAGGCCAAATAGAAGATGTAGGCAACAGTTACAAGTACCTGGGGGTACCACAAACGCATGGTAACCATGAGAGGAAGAGGCAAGGAGAATAGCAACATCCAAGTACCTCCAAAGAGTCAGACAGGTCCTGAAGTCCCAGCTCAATGGCAAGAATAAGATCCAAGCCATCAACACATTTGCCCTACCGGTCATCAGGTACCCAGCTGGAATAATAACCTGGCCAAGAGAAGAACTGGTCATGGATGTCAAAAGCAGGAAACTACTCACTACGAATAGAGGATTCCACCTGAAATCCAGCACCCAGAGACCATACACCTGCTGGAAGAAAAGAGGTCGAGGCCTGATGAGTGTCCTTGTATCAGCCTTCGCGCCTTTTCTAACCGCCTTCCCGGCGTCTGTGGACTCTGGAACGATCGTGCCGCCCCTTTTACCCGCGGCGGCCATTTTCCACTCGAAGTACACTTCCCCGCGGCTCCTGTGTTTCCCTACCGGATAGTGAATGATTATGTGGGCACCAGTGCTGCCCTTTCGGACGGTACGTTATTTTAATTAAACCCTTACTTAAAGGTAAATTTCTTCCTAAAAACGACAGGACCCACGCAACCCTATCACACAACCAGCTATTAAACACCAGAGGCTCTATTCGAGGATGTGGTTCTGCATCCCTGCGCGGACGCACTGCTTCAGGTAATGGACCTTATTTAAATTTTTTACCAATTACAGGTCGATTAACCCGTTTTTTCCAACAGTGGAAACTACTTTCTCAGGATCACTGGATCTTTCATACAGTCAAGGATTTCAAAATAGATTTCCTCACACACCCCATTCAAAGTTTTCCTCCGTCACCTTTAGGGATGTCGGAAGCAGACAAAATAACCTTAAACTAAGAGTTACACAAACTACTAGACAAAGGGGCGATCGAACACTCGCCTTTCCCTTACACCTTCCACAGCAACATTTTTCTTGTCCGAAAAAAGACGGGAGACCACCATCCTATTATTAATCTCAGAGAACTGAATCACGGTATCACATACCGTCATTTCAAGATGGAAGGTATCCATCTTCTCAGGGACCTACTTTGTGTGGGAGACTGGTTCTCACGGTCCCAATCGCACTACGTCATCTTGCCTTCCTTCAATTTCTCTGGCAAGACGAAATTTGGCAGTTCACCTGCCTTCCTTTCGGTCTTTGCTCCGCCCCTTGGTGTTTCACCAAGTTAATGAAACCAGTCCAGGCACTACTCTGTTCTCAGGGAGTACGTTCCATCATATAGCTAGACGACATTCTGATGTCTGATTATGGCCCAAGACCAACATTTGCTTCGCAAACGCACGCACATGACCTCTGCTCTCCTTCAAAACCTTGGTTTTCTCCTAAATTTCCAGAAGTCAGATCTGGAACCCTCTCAGATAGTCCAGTTTCTGGTCTTTCAAATAGATTCGGTTCAGGCAACTTTACAACTGCCTTACTCCAAGATCAAAAACATAAAAGAAATTCAAAAATTACTCTCTTCACAGCGACCTCGGCTCCGCAACCTTGCACACATTCTTGGACTTTTGTCTGCATCAATCCAAGCTATATTCCCCGGGCCTTTACACTACAGAGCAATGCAACGGTTGAAAACTTCCTACTTGCATCGCTCAACCTCTTACGACCAATTCAGATCTCTGACAGACGAAGTTCTCATCGAACTCCACTGCTGGCTTCGCAATATGGAAGCCTGGAATTGGAAAGCGATCTTCGGATCTCAACCAGATTTTATCCTGGAATCCGATGCAAGCCTCTTAGGTTGGGGTGCCATATGTGCCCAAACCTCCACAGTGGGGTCTCTGGTCCCCATCAGAACAGGCACTCCACATAAATTGTCTCGAGCTCATTGCAGGATCCTTCGCGATCCGCAGCTTTGCCAAGGACGCCTACAACTGCTCCCTGGTACTACGGATGGACAACATCTCCGCGGTGCAGTATGTAAACCGACTTGGAGGGTCCAAATCCAAATTTCTGTCCGATCTCACCAAGTACCTGTATGAATTCTGCCTGGACAGGAACCTGCCCATTCGAGCGGAATACCTCCCAGAACCCGACAATTTAGTCGCGAACTGGTTTTTATGTCATTGGAGAGATGCCAGCGATTGGCAATTAGACCCTTTCCTGTTTCACCACATTCGTCTATTACGGGGACCCCTCACATTTGCATCTCGCCTGAATCGTCAGACGATTTCTTCAGCTGGCTACCAGACCCTCTATCTCTGGCAGTCAACGCTTTTCTGCAACCTTGGCCGCGGAGAGGAGCTTATGCTTTCCCTCCTCTCTCGATGATTCAACGGACCCTTCATCGAGTCAAAGCTCAAAGGGTCAGGATAGTAATAATCACTCCACTATGGAGGGCCCAGACTTGGTTCCCCACCCTCCTGGAACTATCAGTAGATTAGCCCATCCTGCTATCTCGTTCCTTTCGGGTCCTCAGGAACCCTGCCGGCGATTACCACCCACTCGCCCTACAGGGTCATCTTCAACTAGTAGCTTGGACAGTTTCAGGGGAGCTTGGCATGTCGCGGGACTTTCACGCACAGCTCAAACACTCCTATGGGACCCGTGGGCTCCAGGAACCAGACGAACCTACCTCTCAGCTGGTGTCTGGAAAGGGACCTCGATCCCGTTTCAACACCTCTTTCACCAATTTTAAATTTATCCCCTCTCTTCGATCAGGGTAAATCATACCAATCGATTAATGTTTTTCGCTCTGCCATTTCGGCGTGCCCATGACACTATTGATAATTCTTTAGTTGGGAAACACCCTTCCGTGTGCAGACTTCTACGGGGCATACGTTTGACGAGGCTGCCTACTGCCAAATATTCTAACTTCTGAGATATTTCTAAGGTTTTTACACTGTTGGATTCCTGGCTTTCTTACAAGGCCTTATCCCTACGCCAACTTTCTGCAAAATTGGCCCTGCTCCTGTGCCTGGTGTATTTCCGCAGAGTCTCAGATGTTCAGGTCTTTGACTCATGCTACGGCCTTCGCACCAGACGGTGTCAGATTTACTATTACTAGACGCACTAAGACTAATTCAGTTTTTTACCCATACTTTCCCAACAGACCATCTCTCTGTGTGGCCCTGTGTACCCGTTGTTACATTGAAAACACTATCTCTCTACGTTCCCCTACTGGACCTCTCTTTGTATCTTACGTTAGACCTCACAAACCGGTCTCTTCCCCCCCGATTGCACGCTGGATAAGATGTCTTTAATAAAATTTTGATTATTCGTTCACTGTAAACTAGAATAATCCCTAATTATTCACTGTCTCAGCTCCCTGTCTTCAGATGAGCTCCGCATGCCGGAACTCACAGGAAGGAATGATGTGGTTGCAACCTGGCAACTCGGCTTGCGGCTTTAAATTTTCGGATGCAGAAGACAGTGTGCAATGACTGGGAGAGAAGAGTCATTGGAAATATTGGTTAACTACAAGTCCAATACAGATTGAGTCGATATTCTGCATATTTCTGATAAATCGACTGAAATCTATAAATTCCTCTATCCCTAACTACCACATGAACATTTGTATAGATTTTATATGAACAATTTGCCACAAGGTCGTCTAATACACAGACTGAAAGATTTTTGGAATTTTAAATCTATGCTACCCCTTGAAAACCTGCATGTTTAGAGTTCTATACAAAATGCTCTCAAAAATATGTCCAAACAGTAATTTTTTTTTTTTCTGTTACTGTAGGAACTGATAAGATTGAGTAAAACATGTACTCAGTTATTCAATCCTGCAGTCAGTTTAACAACTAGCAGTTATAGCTGGAGTGAGTTATGATGCAGGGAACATGGTGGTGTGGCAGGCTTACCCTACGGTAATCATATGAGCACATGTGGTCATTCAGCTTACAGTTAACACTTAAGGCCACTGGACCCTGGGGCACACTAGCGCTAATGCAAGGGTACTCCACACTAGGGATAGTGTTTGTCTAGGCGTGAAATAGATAGGAACATAATAAACATAATATAAAATCAATAGTAGAAAACTGAAACCATAAAAAGCAATGTGGAGTCCTCTGAGTATGCAACTGCTGATGCTGTCTGAGCAAGGCTCAGATTATAGGTGCAATCCCGGGATCATCCAATTCCTGGAATCGGCAGGGTTGATGCGTGTGCAGGAACGGTCAGGAAATATGCTTTAGCGGCACGGCATATCTGAGATTTCCTCCAACTCCACGCTTGCATGAGGGATGCCGTTTCTTGTTTGCAGACTTGGACCCTCTCTCTGGTACCGAGGTTATCTTCTCTCTGGAGCAAGCAGGGGGTCTGGCTGGTCTATGCAGCTTACTGTGGTTGCTCAGCTTCGGTGGTTGATGCTTGGCGGGGAGGTCTCGAGTAGCTCTTCGCCCGTGTAGGCAAGCATCTTTGCGCCTGGGAGCTTGCTGTGCACTTTCTCCCAGTGGAGACAAAATCCGGTGTGATGGCTTGTTGTGCGCAGCCTTTTGCTGCTCTGTCTCAGAAGCTTGGGTACGCTCCTCCAACTTCTGCCAAAAGCGTTGGAATATTGCATCCAGGCGTTGCGAGGTGAGGTCAGCTGAGTAATATTGATGCGCTTGTAGGCCAAGTTGGTCGGACGATAGAGCAGTCGCCATCTTGATTACCGAGTGCAGGCTATGTGTTGCTTATTTCCACGTGGAGTACAGACTAGGTAAGGTAGTTAACCCCAGTGTGTACAGTGAGGACGGGTATACCCCCACCGGTCCAGAGTGGGGAGGCGGTGGGTGGCAGAAGTGTAGCTGAGCCAAACCGGGGTCTATGAAGTGAGACCAGCTGCCTCTCCCCAGCTCCGTCCCCAGTAGGTCGCAATAGAGAGAGACTGTTTCTGGTGGGGCATAAACACTGTTCGAGGTTCAGGGCAGTCAGCAGGGGTCCCCTAACTCTGATAGTGCCCTTGCTTGGACGTAGTCATTCCTTAACTGAGGGATATCACCTCAAATGCAGAAAAACGCTTAAGAGCTCAGGCACAGCACGTCTGCTCTGCATGGAAGAGAGAGTTGAGCTGTGGGATCACAGCTTTGCCTTCTGGCTCACTTTGACCTTTTCACTAGACCGTGAATAAAGGATATATTTAAAGTAAGAACAGCCACGTTGTGGCTATCAGTTTACAGAGGAGCCTAAGTGTTGTATGAACAGCTCTTGGGGATCACATTTGTATTCTCCCAGCAGGAAGTTACAGGATTAGAATCTGATGAGGAAGAGAAGGGCAGACAGAATCCCTACCAGGGGTAGGCAACTTTCGCCACTCGTGATTTTCTGGACTACACCTCCCATAATGCTCTTACAACCAAAAAGCTGTCAGAGCATTAGGGGAGAGTAGCCCAAAAATATGTGGAGTGCCAAAGATTGCCAACTATGTGGCCTAGGCAGTGCAATAATGAGCACAGAAGAAACTGTGTAAATTTCTTTAAACAGAAAGTAATTATGTACATATATTTCTATTGTTTACATTCAGATATACCAAGTGTAAGTTTTAGTGTAAACCTTTCAATGCACTCCAAATGGCTGTAATGTAAACATGGATAAGCTTTTCCATAAAGCAATGAATGTAGTGCTTTCGAAGGCTCGGTCACCGCAATATGACATAACCTAAAAACTGCAGCAACATGACAAGAGGGAATACATACAGTGTAATGGAATCTCCCCCATCTATGTGTGTGTCAGGATATATCTGATACCACCTCTCTCACCAACTAAAAAGATACAGTACGCTTTGTGAAGGAGCTTGAGGGCCAACTCCTTTGTCCTGAACTTGAATTGGTCCCTGATCCTATAGTTAGCTGGAGGGATGTGTTTTTTATGGTTGTACTTATATGCCTTGACACTTACAAAAAGCAGCAAAGAATTCCCTTATTGTGATTTGCTTGCAATAAGCAATTCTTAATGGGTCAGTACTTTTAGGAAGCGTACAGGTTGTTGGGCAATATGCTGTGTTTAATGTCTATTGTGAAATCATTTCCCACCTAATTTCCTGTCTCAGTGTTTTTGCCAGCAAAGTGTTGCCCTATTGTTCTAGGAGAGACCCTTCAGAGCAGTCAAAACTGGCTGTCTCCATGTCACCACTTGTTCTATGCCTTTGTGACAGTCTGCACCCTCCTCTTTAAACATTGTACTGTATTTAAACCTTGCATTCCTTCCAGCAAGCCAGTAATTTCTTCACTTCATCAAGTATCTAGATGGTGCTTATGGGAAATTTTTGAAACTTATTTTACATTTTTACAGTGGCTTTCGCTGATATACTTGGTACTAATAGAGTGTTCGTACTGGGAATTGTGGTTCCTAGCTGATTCTTTTCCCCCATGAACAATAGCACAAATACTGTGGCGTAACAGGACTGGATATAAAGTCAGGGATTAGTCCTGTGTTTTCACTAGTGACTAGACAAGCAAGAGTAAAGAAAAAATCCTGCACATATTTGTAAATTAAAATACCAGCTCTCTCACATTTTGAACTAACGGAGGACCCTCCGTGCTTGCTATATGTGTAAGATGTGATATGCTAAATTCCCAGCATACACATAATACAGATGGGAAGTAGGTACATATAAAAATACAAATTGGCAAGCATTAGCTAGCATGTTCTTTCACTGAAATCAAGACTTACTTTAAGACCTGAATGGACAAAGACATCACTAATTAATTTATAAAACTTCATATTGAATTATTGGAAGTTATATTTAGAGTACCAGGCAACTTTAATAGGTCATTTCCTTGCATCTACGTATGATGAACAGGCCTGCAAGAACATAATTAAGTTACAGAACTACCATCTTTTAGAAAATTTAAAGAAAATATTCCTATTCCTTTATGCATTGAAAAGCAGGGGGTACAAAACATTAAAACAGGAATCAATATTAGATTTCTCCTTTGGCATTTAAGGGGATAAAAAAAAATAAAAAATTTGTACAGGACATGGTAACATTCTATCCAATAAGACATTCAAATGGTCATTTTTATTTTTAAGATGTGTAATATGCATGGCTAGTTACAACTCCTTAAAATGTTGAAGGTATTTAAGGGCTCTAGAGAATCCACAATTTTCTCTGAAAGTAATTTTGTCATGTTACTTTAAATACGCAATGTAATCAACTGTTGTGTTACCCAGCTGGGTAAGTCGTGGCGCCCTAGTCTATGCGCATGAATAATGGTGTGTTCATAAGCATTGCCCTTTTTCCCCCCCCAATACCAAATTACATCAGTGTTTTCATTGAACACAATATTGCCTCCATAAATATAGTAAAAATCTTACTGTATTCAAGCCAGAAGCTGTAAATCTGCATGCTGTTAAACTCAGAAAAACAAGCAGTCTGCTGACATGTGGTAGCCTGATCCAATCACAGTGCTTTCCCATGGGATTAGCTGAGACGGCCAGAGAGGCAGCTCGGGGCAGAGCCAGCATGATTCAAACAAAGCCCTGGCCAATCAGCATCTCCTCGTAGAGATGAATTGAATCAATGAATCTCTATGAGGAAAGTTCAGTGTCTGCATGCAGAGGGAGGAGACACTGAATCACAGGATGCTGTGCACAGTGCTGCCCTGTGCTCTGCTGACAGCAGATCTGAGTGGATGGAGGCATGTTATGCCTCCATCAACTCGGAAGTCACTCTGGTTCACTCTCAGAAAATACAGTGTTTACATGAGAAAGGTTGCAGGAAGCTATAGTTCTCACCTGAACAACCTCATTAAGCTGAAGTTGTTCAGGTGACTACAGTGTCCCTTTAATGTTACCTGGTTTAAGAGAATTTCCCCAAGCTCCTTGATCTATTTATGACAATCATTTTTGTGTGTACACAGCATGGTATAAATGCTTTCTAAGCATCTCAGGAGGTACACAAGGTACATTTTACATCAAAGACATCTACTCAACTTTGAGATGAGTTGCCATGGCAATGTCCTGAAACAGCATAAGTGGAAACCTTGCTGCACAATGAGAGAAATACCTTGAATTTGTAGCCCAATATCTTTGGAGACTTGATTCTCTTCCAGAGGATGAGGAGTTATCAGGTGCACCAGAAGAAGTAATTGTTCCAAGTGATGCACCATAATCACTTCAACGACAGAGTGCTTATGCTGACTAAAGTAAGCCACAGCAGGCAGACAGCCCTCTCCCATGTTGCCTAGGCGGTCTGATCATGGACATCTTTTTAACACTCCTTTCCAGTAGAGTAAAATTGTCTGTACCATGTCCCTTTTCTGTGATATTGAGGTGACATAGAAACTAAGGGATTACAGATATATTCTGTAAATAAAGCATAGGCGTGCGCACGGGGTGTGCCTGGGCACACCCTAATCCCCGTGGCACGCCTATGGTTTGAGTCCTGCAGGAACAGCGTTCCTGCACTTTTTTTGAGCAGGAACGCTGTTCCTGCAGGCACTCAGTGCCCCCTGTTTCACCTCTTGCCCCTGTCATGGGGAGGGCAAGAGGTGATGGATTCCCACGCCCCACTCAGCGCGCGGCGTGGGAGCTCTCTGCTCTCTGCTCCCTCTCGCCGCGCGCTGATGCCGGGAGCCGGAATATGACGTCATATTCCGGCTCCCAGCTGCAGCAGACAGCCCGCGCGGCAAGAGGGAGCAGAGAGCCGACAGCAGAGAGCTCCCTCGCCGCGGCTCAGCTGGAGAAAGGCGCCTGCCCCCACTGGACCCCAGGGAAAAGTCCACCAGCACTCCAGGTAGGAGGCTGGGTGGACATTGTTTTTTAAAATTAAAATATAATAATTTGTGTGTGTGTGTGTGTGAGTATGTGTGTGTGTGTGTCTGTCTGTGAGTGTGTGTGTGTGTGTGTGTGTGTTTCTCTGAGTGTGTGTCTGTGAGTATGTATGTGAGTGTGTGTGTGTTTCTGTGAGTGTGTGTCTGTGAGTATGTATGTGTGTGTGTCAGTGTGTGTGTGAGTGTGTGTCTGTGAGTATGTATGTGTGTCTGTGAGTATGTATGTGTGTGTGTCAGTGTGTGTGTGTGAGTGTGTGTCTGTGAGTGTATGTGTGTGTCTGTGTGTACACGTGTATATATATATATATATATATATATATATATATATATATATATATATATATATATATATATATATATACACACATACATACATACATACATATATATATATATATATACAGACACACACACACACACACGCAGAGCCGGCACTATCTGAGTGCCGGCTCTGCTCTAAGCCTTCATGGGCCGGCGGGGAGACCAAAGATCTACCTCACCGGCCCACAGCAGCATGGAGGGAGGCAGTAGAGGACCCAGGGAGCTCTAGACAGAAGCTCCGCCAGGTTCCTCTCGCGATATCTGAGCGTTGCTGCGGCAACGCTCAGATCTCGCAAGAGTTAACTCTAGCCCCGCAGGCTAGAGTTCACTCTCCACTGGACCACCAGGGATGGCACATGGCAGCAAGGATTTACTAATCTGCCAAATCCCTCCAAACATACAGCACACACACACATACAGCTCACACACACACATCACACTAACCGCACCCTCACAAACACACACAGCACCTTTAAAAAAAAACACAACACCCTCACACACAGCACCCTCACAGGACAAACATACACACACAAACAGCACAGTCACAAACACGCACCCTCACACACACATCACACTAACAGCACACAGCACACTAACAGCACACACAGCAGTGTGTGTGTGTGTGTGTGTATATATATATATATATATATATATATATATATATATATATATATATATATATATATATATATATATATATACACATATACACACACACATATACATACACACACACACGCGGCGTGTGTTTGTGCTTTAGGGTGCACACCCTAATGCAATAGGCTGCGCACGCCTATGAAATAAAGCTCCCCAAAGCATTAATCACTTGCTCCAATGACTATGCAACACAGCATTTTGTATCCTTTAGCACCACGTGGTTCCTGTGATCCTATTGCCTTGCACTTCTTCAAAGCTCTATAACAGCAATGGCGAACCTTTTTGAGCCAGAGTGCCCAAACCGCAATAAATGGCAACTTTTCTTTTCACATCAAAAACACATCAACAATGACACAAATAATACAAATTAACCCCTTCCCGACCCAGGACGGTTCAGGACCGTCATCGGCATTTTTGGCTTGCCGACCGATGACGGTCCTGAACCGTCCTAACGGTCTGAGCTACTTACCTGATCGCCGTCGTTCCCCCGGCGGCGATCAGCGTGGCTCCGGTTGTGGGGAGACTGCCTGCAGCCCAGACAGACAGAGTCTCCCCACACTGAATTAGGACCCCTGTGGCCATGTGATCGCTTAACACAGCGATCACATGGTCACAATAGGTATCTAAAAATGGATGGAAAGACATTAAGTGCCCCAATTGTGTTACTTGTGGACATATGCTTACCGGACCTTCGTTTGCTCATCCACATTCTGGGAAACGTTATCTTATTAAACATCATATCACTTGTCTCACCACTCATGTGATTTATTTAATATCTTGCCCTTGCGGACTTTATTATGTGGGAAAGACTGATCTTACATTGCGGGATAGAATGCGTGGTCACCGATCAGGGATCATGACCGCCTTTAGGGATGGCAAGACTGACAAACCGATGGCCAAACACTTCTTAGAGGCGAATCATCGGCTTCCTACCCTTAAATTTATTGCTATTGATCACATTCCCCCTCTTAGTAGAGGGGGTGATCGATCTAAGATCCTACTTCAGCGGGAGGCTTATTGGATTAAAGCATTGGACACTTTATATCCCAAGGGCCTGAATGAATATTTGTCTTTCCATCCATTTTTAGATACACGCTAATTTGATTTGTTGATTATCTGTGTAATCTTTGGTCCTGCTTCTCACTATCTTCTCGTTCTCATTTTTAAAGGTTTAATTATCTAATCTTGTCATTTTTCTGCATAAGGGATATTCTGCTTTTATTAACAGTTCCATGGTGTACTTATTATGCATATTGTATATTGATACTACTATGAACATGTATACATATTGCTTGTGGTTATTCTAATATATGTATTTACCGATAGTCCTTATCTTCTCTCATATTCTATATGCTTCATTTTCTCTCTTTTAACTCTGTTTCACGTTTTCACCATTTTGATATATAGTGTTATTGCACCACTTTAGTTGTCACGGTAGTTTTCTCTTTTTTTTTTTTCATCTCATTTATTCTGTTTTCTTCACTTGCTTTTTTCTTCTATTTTCTATCTCTTTTCTTTCTTCACTATTTTTTTATGGTTTGATCTCTTTTATTTAATATTTCTCTTCCTCGCTCTCTATATGTTTACTCTCTCTGGACTTTCTGTTTATACTTAATATATGCCCATTTTAAGATATACTATGGCTACCATTCTCTCTCTTACTTGTATATATCTTTCCTATCTGTTTTATTTTATTGTTTCACATCACACACAATCATTCACTTGTTTCTATGGAAACCGGACGCTTTTTCACAACCTCTTCCTGGTCGCACTTGGTTGACGTCATCACTCTGTTACGGAACTCACACGCTACTTTTCATCTATTCACAGCATGTACACATGGTTCCGTAGCTGCACACCTATCTCAGGGTAAGTGATTACCCCCTAATTATTTGCTGCTATAAATGTTATCATTCCACTTTGTTATGCATCTTGATAAAGACCTGCGGGTCGAAACGTCGATTTTTTTCTATACACTGATAAACCTTATAAACCTTATTCAACAAGTCCTTTGGAGTGCTCTCTTTGTTACTATTTTTCTATCTATTTACGCTTTGCAGCACCGAGGCTTTTTTTGGATCATCACTTTTTAAAGGTAGAGTGCCGGATTTTGTACATATTTTTATATATATATATATATATATATATATATATATATATATAAAATATATATAATATATATAATGTCATACTAAGTGTATTTTTATATTAATATGTACTTATATTAATATAAAAATACACACGTATATATAATATATATAAACTATATATATATATATTATAAAATCTAAATAAGTAATTTAAATTAAATATTTTTTTAAATAATAATAAAAAAATTAAAAAAATTATATAGCTATATGAAATTTTATTCTAACTGTATTTTAAAATTAATATATATATTTATATCAAAATACACTTAGAATGAATTTGTATATATATCTATGTATATAAAAAATAAAAATATGAAATATACATATGTCCATATACAAAATTACATAAATAATTATATAAATATACACGTAGACTTCAAATATATAAATATGCATATATATTTAAATTCTACGTGCGTATTTATGTAATATTTTTACATAATTCAGTAATTTTATTGATTGCAATTTGAGGACCTGCCTGCCAACCCAGGCCGAAATTCCAGAGAATTTAATTTGCTAGCACTGTATTTTACCCTGTAATGTTCTACGACACCCTAAAATCTGTACATGGGGGGTACTGTTTTACTCGGGAGACTTCGCTGAACACAAATATTAGTGATTCAAAACAGTAAAACATATCACAGCGATGATATTGTCAGTGAAACTTTTTTTGCATTTTTCACACACAGACAGCACTTTTACTGATATAATTGTTGTGATACGTTTTCCAGTTTTTAAACACTAATATTTGTGTTCAGCGATGTCTCCCGAGTAAAACAGTACCCCCCATGTACAGGTTTTATAGCATTTTTGAAAGTTACAAGGTCAAATATATGGGTCAAATATTTTTACATTGAAAATGGCCAGGTTGGTTACGTTGCCTTTGAGAGCGTATGGTAGCCCAGGAATGAGAATTACCCCATGATGGCATACCATTTGCAAAAGAAGACAACCCAAGGTATTGCAAATGGGGTATGTCCAGTCTTTTTTAGTAACCACTTGGTCACAAACACTGGCCAAAATTGGCGTTCAATTTAGTTTTTTTACTTTTTTCACACACAAACAAATATGAATGCTTACTTTGGCCAGTGTTTTCGACTAAGTGGCTACTAAAAAAGACTGGACATACCCCATATTAAATACCCTGGGTTGTCTACTTTAAAAAAAATATGTACATGTGGGGTGTTATTCAGAGATTTATGACAGATAATAGTGTTACAATGTCACTATTGATAAATTTTAAAAAATGTATGTTTTGAAACCGCAATATCCTACTTGTACCTATAGCCCTATAACATGCAAAAAAAAGCAAAAAAGCACGTAAACACTAGGTATTTTTAAACTCAGGACAAAATTTTGAATCTATTTGGCAGTTTTTTTCATTCGCTTTTGTAGATGAGTAAAAGATTTTTCAAGTAAAAGTCAAAAAAACATGTATTTTTTTCAATTTTTCATCAGATTTTTTTATTTTTTTTAAATTAAAATACATGAGATTATATAAATAATGGTATGTAAAGAAAGCCCCTTTTGTCCTGAAAAAACAATATATAATTTGTATGGGAACAGTAAATGAGAGAGCGGAAAATTCCAGCCAAACACAAACACCACAAAAGTGTAAAAATATGCCTGGTCGCAAATGTACAACATCGCAAAAACAGTCCAGTCCTTAAGGGGTTAAGCTTATATTTATTAGTATCTCCAGCAAATGCAATACACACTGCGCTGAAGATTATCAGATGCTTGGTATGCAGGCTGACCTAGGAGCTCTATGCAATGTTCAGGGTGAGCGCCACATACAGCCATTTAAAGGGGCATGAATCACTTTGAGACATGAGTCATCAAAGCTCCAGTGTCTGGTTCCTCTCTCCTGCACCATGATGCCCCATTTCTGTCTGGCACTGAGCTAGGCGAGTAAGAGGGGTGGGGTGAAGAAACTCACCTAGCTGAGAGGTGTGCCTAATAATGCAATCTGACCAAGTTTGAGAAATATCTAAACTTTTTTTGCATTATATATTTAACCCCTTAAAGCAGCACTGTCATGCCAAACTTACATTTCTTTAATCGATTCCTCTTCTCCCTCTTCCTCTCCCAGGATCTGCTCTTCATTTCTTACTATCTGCTCTAGTTTTCTTTAAAACATAAGCCAAAAGTAGGAACTACTTGTCTTATTGAGGTTTCCTACGCCTGAGCATCTTTGACCAGTGGAGGAGCAAAGTGTGCTTCCTTTCCGGTGGTCAGAGAAATTTTCCCATAATTCTTACCTTTCCTCCCTGTTCCCACGATGCATCCTGTCAGTATTCCCGAACCTCCTGTCAGGACGCCGGCAAAACTACTGAATTGCATCCTAACAGAATGAGAACAGTTTCTCCATTCGTGTTAGAACGCAATTCGGGACTTTGTTCGGTTTGGAATTTCATTCTAATGAATGAAACTCCGATCTGATACGTGCTGCTGGTTGCATCTTGCAGCCGCTTAGTAGATAGCTCCCTAATCCCCACGGAATTAGGGAGCTATCTACTTAGTGCCTTTTAACTACCAAAAGGCTGCAAGACCTAAATTGGTCTTTCAGCCACATTTACTAATACGAAGTAAAGATTACTGCGTATTAGTAAATTCTGCCCCTACTTGCTATAATGCGAGTAGGGGTGTGTCTATGCTCACTGTAAAAAAAAAATCCTAGTGTACCCCCCCCCCACCTGAGCAGTGGGTGGGGCCCTTAAAGGATAATGTGGATAATGGGGGGGTGGGGGAGGGAACCTATTGTGTCCCCCTCCCCAGCGCCCGACCCCGAGTGGTGGGTGGGGGCCATAAATGATAATGAGGGAGGGCAGAGGGGACACCTATTGTCCTCCCCCCACCCCCACCCTTGAGCGGCGGGTGGGAGCCCTAAGTTAAAATGGGTCAGGCCGGGGGGGAGGTGTACTAGGATTTTTTTTTATATCCTTTAGGGCCCCCACCCGCCGCTCAGGGGTGGGGGCCAGGGGGGTACTAGGGTTTGTTTTTAACAAAAACGTGTTTAGTAGACATGCCCCTACTCGCAGTATAACGAGTAGGGGCATTCGGGAGATTTTACTACTCATATTGACCCCCATAGAGTGAAGGGGGACATGAGTTCCTTAGGAAGTGGCGGGGAGCACAGCTCCCTGCTGCTTCTCTCTTTATATTTTACAAGGAGAGAGATGCGCGCCAGTAGCTCCCTCCTTGTAATAAACTGAACGAACAAACGAACACTGATATTCAGTGTTTGTTCGTCTGACATTTCTATTCATTCGTTTTTCTGATGAATGAATAAATTAAATTCCCATTCGCATGCCCAGGTGTTTAACTGGGCATGCGCGAGATTTCACAGCGCTATCTAGTGTGGGCAGATGATGTGTCCCACAGGGACTTCATCTACCCACACAAAAGTGGCGGCGCCCAGGACATAGGTCCGGGCACAAAATAAAGTTCAAAAATAGGTTATATAGGGGGCCATTGGGGGGTGGCTAGGGGGTGTAAAAAAAAAAAAAATAAAAAAAAAATAAAAAAGGGGATTCGGCCATGACAGTGCCGCTTTAAGGACTGAGGCAGTTGTACAAGTTCAGATCAATACGTAAACAAAACCTTGAATTTAATGAGATTAATCCACTTACTTGGGAAATACTTCCTTACTGGGACTCTCTCAAAGTCGAGGCTAAATAGGGTCCTGGAATGTATGTAATGTAACGTATGCATGTTCAGGTGAGTGCAGCCCTCTTGGATATGGAGAAAATCTCTCTCTCTCGAGCGAGCGATAGAGATAAAAAAAATAAATTTTTTATTTTATTCAACTTTAATAACTTTCTAAACTTTTTGCAAGCATTTGGGAGACAGGGGTTTAAATATGATTAAAATTTTTATTATTATTATTATATATTTAGATTTTCAAGTGGTGCATCTCTCTTTAAAACACAGTAGTTTTCCAGATTGCACTCAGCCACAATGTTTCTATGTAGGCAGGTGCTCAAAGGAGATCCACAGATTCTGGACAGACCGACATGGTCTCCAAATATGGCCCATGTGAACTGTGATTGGTGCTTGCCTTTGCCAGATGTCCAACACTGCACAGTGTAGATGTCAGCAATGCTGAAAACAGCCTGTAGATGGCAGCAACAACACTACTGATTTAAGTAGGAAACCCATCTGTACATACCGGTATCAATACTGATATTAACAGAGTGTTTCCTTAAGGTTAAGGGCAGTAACGTTGGGGTATGGTTTTCATTAGTTGTAGGGTTAGTGCTAGGGTAAGGCAAGGGTGTCAGGAGTCCCTTGGGGCATTCTTACCTCTTATTCCAAGGGGCGCTGGAGACAATTCCAAATTTGCTTTCCAAACCAGTTTTGTAAATGGGGAAATCACTGATTGGCTGAGAGAGTCAGCTGACAGCTAAATGCTGCCTGGGGGACTAGAGTATCAGTGCTGGAAGCAACTTTGGGGTTAAAACTATAGATAATGGTTTAACCCAATGAGCCAAGTGTGCCGGGCACCTCCTGGCACTTAGATGTGGTTGTTATGGTGCCTAAAAACTCTTTATATTTGTTTGCATCAAGCCTATAACAAAGAAAAATGGTGACAAAGATCAGAAAACCACACCTGGTTTAATTGCAGTGTTTTAAAACCACAACAAACTATGGATAAACCGTATATTTTAGTCAAAGCGTTGCAAGCCCAGTGTGAATACACCCACAAAAGGCACAGTTGTTGCGATGAAAAATAGAACAAGGAAGAAAAACAGAATGTCTGGAATAAGCAGAAATTAGCATTACATCATATTAACTTCAACTAAGGTTTCTTTGCAACAATCTAAGTAAAAAGGGTGAGAGGTGCTTTCCTATGGGGATCTTTTTTGACGCTGGAGGTCCGTGAGGATGTCCAGCGTCAAATAAGTGCAGTTTACTCAGTGTAAATTGCAGAAGCACTTTTAGTGGCCGTCTAGGAGACAACCACTAGGAGCTGGATTAACCCTGCAGTGTAAACATAACAGTTTCTCCAAAACAGCTATGTTTTCAGCTGCAGGGATTAAACTAGGGGGACCTGGCACCCAGACCACTTCATTGAGCTGAAGTGGTCTGGGTGCCTAGTGGTCCTTTAAGGTCTCATTTGTGTAACTGTTCACAAGTAAACAATATACTATTTTGCAATAAACCCTATAAAGAGTAACAAAGGAAACAAATCCACGTGCATTAATGGAAAAACAATAGTCAGCCAAGAATAAGCATGCGTACTTTAGTTGTCAGGTACTTATAAGTGAAATACAACCAATGCAGATATATGTCTTTGTAAAATTAACCTTAAAGGAACACTATAGGATGAGGAAGACAAACTCGTGTCTGAACATAAATGTGTTTCTGACCCAATAGTGTTAAACAAAATTTTCCTAACATATAGTGGCAGTACCAGTGGGTTTTGTATCCTGATGGACAAGCCGACTGAAAATAAGTAAATAAGGAATTTAAATAGTCCCTCCTACTTCCCCTTTAGAACCCAGGACCACCAGTATTCTTTCTTGTCCCATTGGGGACGGACACGCTGACAACTTAAATCGGGTGAGACGCACAGGTTGCTGTGTGGGGGGGGGGATCTGGCCGAAAGCTCCCTGGATGGTGAGCCGAGTGCCCCGCTCTGCCTCCCCTGCATAAAGAGCACTTGGAGAGTCTGCCTTCTTATGCCGTGTGGAAACCGGCTTTGGGTAAGAGACATTCCCGGTTGGTCCGCCAATGGAGTAGTGAGTTCGGAGCTTGCACATGGCGGTGGAGCACACGCCCAGGCGTCCTACCGTAGTTCCAAATGTGCTACTGCGCATGCGCAATTCGGAACGTTAATTTTTGGGGCTAATTTTTATTTTATTTTTTAAATGTGCCCTTTTAAGCCGTGCAAACCCTCAGGACAAGCATGTAAGTTGTCTGGGGAGGGAATACCATGTCACCAGGCCAAAAATCCCAGCTGTTTCATACCCAGAGCATCCAATTTCAGATGTGTCAGATCGGCAATAAGTCTGCTTTAATATGAAATCTTAGCTCATTTGACAAAAAATTACGCAGATCTAGATTCGAAGTTCAGCCTTTCGATGTCAACCTGAGAACAGTCGTTTTGGTGGAAACAGATTTCAGTCAATGGGATTTCCTTTCAAGCATAAAGATTATCACAACGGATGCATCAAATATAGGACGGGGAGCACATCTTTCACATTTCAGTCACAGGCTGTGGAATCCGGAAGAAATGAAATACTCTGCTCAAAGCAGTCTGGTATGCCCTAGTAAATTTCAAAGATTGGATTCTGAACAAGGCAGTAAAGATACAGTCGGACAACAGCACGACGGTAGCATATATCAACCGTCAAGCAGGTACAAGAATCAGAGGCCTGCACATTCTTTGTGGGCATATTATGATGTGGTCCAAGACTGGAGGATGCGTGAGGGAGCAGAGCAGGGAGGTTATAGCTCCCTCACGCGCCTGCCAGTCTGCCTCAATCTTTTAAGGGCCTCCCGCACGCTCTCCCTAAGCAGGATGATCGACCGCACGCCCACGCTCATAAGCTGGCTGGCCGGAAGCATGCCCATGCTCTTTATGAGTCGGCCGCCTTTAGTTACAGGCAGCTGACCACCTTAGGGGCTTAATGGGCCAACAAATCCCAAGCGCCAGGAATAAGATCCTAGTCGCCATGTCAACCTGGGATTTGTCGAGCCCAGCACTAGCATCTATCTTAAAAAAGGATAAACATTTTTATGTCAAAGCAAACAGAAGGTGTTAACACAAAAAAGACTAAAGTTGAATGAAGATAAAAGGGTAAAAGAAAAGAAAAAAAAGACGAAAAAAAAAACCCCACCAAAATTATTTCATATAAACTAAAAAGTATGAGGAAAAGTGCAAAGGGAAGTTGAGGAAGAATGGCCATTTCTACACAAGACTCGGATTTTAAAATGACATGAATGAAAGTGGAGATGCATGCTCTATCGGGTCTATTTATTAAACACCAAACCGCAGCTGAATAGAAGCAGAAAGCCAGTTGTCACAATTCAGCTAAATCTCCATATAACTGATGGCGTGACTCAGTCATATTACAATTGAACTGGCGTAATTCAGTTGTTACAATTCCTGACACAAACTGAGGGAACTGCACCTAAAACATTCAGAGTGCCCTCTTCAGCATCTCAGAGTCCATCTAGCTCCAAGATCATCTCCTGCCATCATCCATAGAAGGTTCTTGGAATTTGGGGAAGGTAATTGCTTTAACCTGAATAAGAGACTGCCAGCCTCACCAGCCTTACACACTCAGTGAATCAAAGGTACATTTGGGAGAAAGTACATTAGTGGAGAAGTATGCTTAGAATAGATTACTGATCAAATTAAACTGTGCTAATCTAGTGTAGCATTGCTACTAGCAGACAACCTGTGCCCTTAGAAGATAACCAGGAAAAGGGAGTACAGCTTTGTTATTGTTATGCCATTGACATGTGATTCTTAAAACTAAACCATTTAAAATATATCTTCAGGAAACAGCACTAGTGTACTCACAAAATGTCAAATTCTGCAGTGAGATTCATTTGAAAGTAGAAATTATTTATTCAACGCAATTTTCTGAGAATAAAATTATTAGTAAAAAGTGAATCAATAGAATTTGAATTAAATTGAGGAAGACTGAAAAAAAAAAAAATGCAAAATAAAATTCTCTGTTAAGTGAATACACCCTTTTTTTAGAGCACCACCTGATACAGTCAGTCATTCTCCAAAAATTACTCACATCTCATCAGCTACAGTAAAAGAGGCCTGTTTGCAAATAAGACATTAATAACTTGGTGGATCAGGGTAATGAAATCTGTTTTGTTTGTTTTAAAAACAAAAAAAAAACAAGTATTTTTCTTTCGGTTAATGAGTGTCCTCTTATGAGCAATACATAATTATCTTCATAGGAAGAATCTATGAGACGTCAGAGTATTCTAATAAATGTACATTACAAGTAAATCACGGTTACTCAAGCTATTAAAAAGTGATGGCTGCCAGCAAAGGGAGTTGCTAATATAAATTACTGTCTAGCCTTGCCTTTTTCAAGACCTTTACCAAGTGTACTTGATTAAGAACAGATGATTACAGACCATTTTCCTGGATGTTAGGATAACCCAACATGTGGTACTCATTTCAAACATTTTAGAGAAAAAATAATTGTACAATTTTCAACTGGCCTGGGAATAGAACCTATAACTGAGGTTTAATATACTAAGTACTAATGGTGGTATAAACTTAGAGTTCAAAATTTCCACTAGAGTAGAAAAATTAGCCCAGGCGAGTAGAAATTCACATCTCAGTAACTTTAATGAGTAATTTTAATGCCAGATTAGTAGCACGGAACTACAAACCCCCCAATTACTTCACCATATCACAACTACAGCAGTTGTTAGCATCATTTAGAATTTTTAGGAAATTAGAAGGAACACCGTAACTACTACAGACTATTGTATTTGTTGTGGTGCCGTGAGTATCCTGGCCCTCTCCCAGTGTAAGTAGTAAATTGTTTGTGAATGGTTTGATTTCTTATTTGGAGTATGACAGGTGAAAGGTTCCTTTATCAGTGTGTAAAGAAAATCCCTTTACAGTTTCCTTTCAATATCAGAATAGAAGACAGTCCAATATTGTGAAAGCTAGGTTCAGTACGGATCCCAGGTACGATTGAGATTGGATAGGGAATGAAGAGACAGCAAACCAAACTGAAACCTTATGGTATAAAGTGACCGACTGTATACTAAATAATGCATTATTGCTTCTTTCAAGAAAATTGTACAGATAGTTAGTCTAAACATGATCATCTGAGCAGGACATGGATAATCAGCCAGATCACACATTTTACAAATTAGCCACAGCTCTACTTTACTATGATGACTGGTGCTGATACAAATGAGTCATATTACAGTGGTATTTAAGCAAGTACATGTTTGAATGAGGTAGATGCTGTCTATTATTATGACATGCTCTGATAAAGCAAAGGAAATAACAGTATTGTAATAGCCATGATTGCACAGCACAGGGTGTGTCTTCAGGCACAACTCTTCAAAAGTTTATTAACCCTCACAATGCCACCTAGTGAGTACATGAGAGCCTTTCCACCAAACCATCAATGCCCTTGTCCAACTGCTCACAAGGGAGTACAAATTTCTAAACATCCCACTGAATGTCCACATTTTTGGGCATGGTCATGTCTAACACTATAGCCCAGTGCTTGACAAATTTGCTTGGAGCCTGCTAGAAAAGTTAGGAGCCAGAGAAATCAACGCCAAACATACAATTCTTCAGGGGACACTATAGTAACAAGAACAACTACAGCTTAATGTAGTTGTTCTGAAGTCTATATCATGTCCCTGAATGCTTTTCAATGTAAACACTGACTTTTCAGACAAAAGGCAGTGCTTACATTGCTGCCTGGTGACACCTCTTTCGACAGTCACTTAGACGGCCTCTAGAGGTGCTTCACACTGGGCAGCACCTATGTTAATGTTCTCTATAAGTATGCATTGATTCAATGCATCTCTATGAAAAGTTAAAGTGGCACTTTGTCCTGCATGCACAACTGTCTCCCAATGTTTTCCCATAGGAAAGACACCACACACTTACTGACAAAGACAGACACTCACATTTACAAAAAAATTACTTTTTTCATTTTAATTTAAATCCACTCAGTCTCCCTACCTTTGGAGAGCTGGAGTGGATAGGCTTTCCCCAGGGTCCAGTGTGGTTGCTGTTATCTCCCTGCTCAGCTCCCTCTCACGCAATATTTAGTGAGTCGGGGGCCAGAGTGACGTCATAACCTGGCATCACTGCAAGACGCGCGAGGGAGCAAAGCTGTCAGCCGCCCGCCGCCTCCAAGGCACCCAGTCACCTGGGAGGCTGAACATGCTCACAAATCCCAGGACAAGTTTCCTGGTCGCCGTGGTGACCTGGGATTTGCCGAACCCTGCTTTAGTCACCAGAACAACTACTACTTAATGTAGTTATGGTGTCTACTGCCTTTCCCTGCAGAGAAAAGGGAGTGTTCACATTACTGCCTAGGAACACCTCTAATGGCAGTAACTAAGATGACCACTAGAGGTGCTTCAGTGGTCAGGGCTTTATAAAGTGCAGCAACGACATTCTGCCTATCCACGCTCTGCATAAAGATGATGAACTTTCCCAATAGAAATGTGCTGATTCAATGTATCTCTATGAGGCGCTTTGTTGCGTTTGTCGAACATGCGCAATAGCCTCTTAATGTTTTTCGATGGGAAAGCACTGGATTGGCTGAGATCATCACGCTTGATTATTTCAGCCATGGATGCTGAGCAGGGTCAGCCGTGTTCAGATCTGCACAGCGCTGAAAAAGAGGGGAACAAAACTATTTTAAAGGGAACAAGTGGAGCATACACCTAAATGGCACTATTAGAACTATATAGTCTCAGGAATACACATTTGCATTCCTGACACTATAATGTTCCTTTAAATATGCAAAATCTGACTTATTCCAGTGTGCGTTTTTTTCCTTTTAAATAGACTATTACTCAATCAGTTTAACCAATTTGGTGTTAACTCCTGAATTTGCCCAAAACTCCCTTCAAAGAATACATGAATGAAACAGGTGCCACTAACAAGAAGAGGGGTTGGCTGGGACCCAGTGCACTCTTCTGTTTCCGGCAAGTCCTCTCTCCATCTCTCACTAGCCTTGTGTGCAGTGTTGCAGTGGTAATTCGTGGCAAAGCTTTGGCGGCTGAGGGCTTGCGAGAATTAGAGAGAGGAGCTGAAGATTACATGTGCTGGGCCTCTGCCACAGCCCACCCTAACGGTATAAAAAAACGATATCGGTAACTGACAAAAAAACAGAATATTGGCAAAACCAATAAGCGGTTGATTCTTAGCTCAGGCAGAAAGCAGCACCTAATGGACCCCAGGTATGAAGTAAAACAATTAGAAAACACCAGGGGCAGCATATCTACTGCACCCTGCAGTTAAGATATGACATACCATGAAGAATTCATAGATAATATAATTATTCATTAAAGTGTGAATCGTTGGGAGTCTAAAATTAATTTCACATTCAAGGTAAAAATATCCACACTAAAAACACGACTGCCTTGGAGAATGTTTCCAATTTAACTATTTTGGGCAAGTTTTTCAAATCCAAATTGCAAAACTGGGTCGGAAATAGCCAACTTGCGACTACAGCAGAGTTGGAGATGTATTTTTTCTTACACTAGATTCGCCTAGTTTTGGGTTGTTTATTTTAAATGTCCTGCCATCTTTCTTTCATGTAAAAATACCATGTACAGATTAGCTAAGAAGTAGAGAACTAATCAGACCTTACTTGTAAAGTTATAAAGAAAAAACAAAACTTTGAAGTGATTAAGGAACAATTGTGATATGACAAGGTTATTTCTATTAGACATGACATGCAAGAGTTGTTGCATGGTAAAACTGTGTTGAACGGGAAATAACACTACAACATGCAGAGCTTTTATGGAGTCTTTGTTTATTGTCTGCCCATAAAGCATGTACAACGCAAACTGTTCAGATATAGAATATCCTGCTTTCTTACCATCAGCAAATCTGCAGAACATTGTCATTGCTAAATATTGCCAGATATTTGATACATGCATAGTAAAACTAAGATCAGTGTCAAAATAGAAAATAAGTCTGAATTCACTGGTTTCTGAGTCATACACGGTTAAAATAAACACAATATTGTTGCTAAATTCTATTGAGCAGTTATTGTACAGTGAAGATAAAACATCTTTGTTTAATAACATTGCTTGAAAGTTTTAGAAAGTTGTATACACAAAGTTCTATATGATGAAATACATTCTCTGTTTTTTAATTACTTTAACCCCTTAAGGACACATGACATGTGTGACATGTCATGATTCCCTTTTATTCCAGAAGTTTGATCCTTAAGGGGTTAAAAACAAAGAGTCTTCATACCTTTCAGATTAGGTGTAATTTACATGTGACAATCTACAATGCAAGAAAATCTAATTTTTGCAGGGTCTGCTTTGCCGCTCTGTCAACATTATTTGTGTAGGGCAATGTCTTTTTAAATATACCAATTTTAGAATTGTAAAACACTGCACAAATTGGCACACAATAAATGCTAAAAGGAAGAAATAAAGTGTAATATTTTCCTTCCTTGTCAACACTGAATCCACATTTCTCTTGAATTAACCAACTTTTCTCTGTTCCATGTGTTCCTTTCCCAGATTAGAACAAACATTGTATTTTAGTGTATTAAGTGAAAGAGCATTTGTTTAGACAAAGCAGTTTCATATACATTGTATTTAAAAGGACACTGGCACATGACAGTCCAATTTTAATAGGAAAATAATCTTACCTATATGACTAAAATACACTTCTGCAGATAGTGAAATGACATTTACCCAACATATGTTCCCATCTGCTCTGAAAAATGTAGACACACAGAAGCAGTGTGTTTGTCTGCAACTCACCCAGCATTCCGTTCCAGGCAGATCAGAGGGGCTATGAAACAAATCCAGTGTCTGGTACAATATACACAGGAAGGGAAAGGTCTATAAGCTGACAAAAAGTCAAGGTATATAACAAAGTTGAAAGAAGCCAATGACGTGAAAGGACAAGAAAAACTAAAGGAAACCCTTACACGGGCTATCAGAGTATATTAATGGTGTTTAGGATTATTATTAATAAACCATTTTTCTTTGGCTTCAATGGGCTTCCAAATAACCTTGAAACAGGTGGATGATTTTTTCTTCTATAATCAGCAAAACTCCACATAAGCTAGTCATTTAGATGTGTTATAAATAAGTGAAATGTAATACCTAGTATGCATTGAAATACCTTAAAATTAAAGTGAATTATGTTTTTTTCCCAATCAGTCTCACTCAATTGCAATGCCTGACCTATTCCTTAAATATGCATATTCTACAATCCCTATATATATCATCCTTCCTAGCATCTAATCCTACCACAGCCCTTTCCTCTAATAGTTAATTTGTACAAGCAGTGGAATTCTTACCAGTCCCATCCTTAAATTATACACAGCCTTCAATGTACTTTTAGTGTAATCTGTGTACACTTGCCCTGTTCTTAAACCAGCACCAACTAAACATTTGACTTAACTAATCCAAAATAACTACACATTCCAAATATTCTGAATCTACTCATACCCCTGCCCACATTTACCCGCCATCCCCCCACCCAGCCTACATTTACCCGCCATCCCCCCACCCAGCCTACATTTTACCGCCTCCCCCCCACCTACATTTACCGCCTCCCCCACCAGCCTACATTTACCAAGCCACCCCCCCACCCAGCCTACATTTACCCAAGGCACCCCAGCTACATTTACCCAAGGCCACCCCCAACCCAGCCTACATTTTACCCATACCCCCCACCCAGCCTACATTTACCCGCCATCCCCCACCCAGCCTACATTTACCCATCATCCCCCCACCCACCTACATTTACCCAATTTCCCCATCCCCCACCCTACATTTACCCTACCATATCCCCCCACCCTACATTTACCCTACCATATCCCCCCACCAGCCTACATTTACCCCTACCATATCCCCCCCACCCAGCCTACATTTACCCCTACCATCCCCCCACCCACCCTACATTTACCCCTACCATCCCCCACCCACCCTACATTTACCATTACCATATCCCCCACCCAGCCTACATTTACCCCCTACCATCCCCACCCAGCCTACATTTACCCCTACCATCCCCCCCACCCAGCCTACATTTACCCCTACCATCCCCCCCCAGCCTACATTTACCCTACCATCCCCCCCACCCAGCCTACATTTACCCTACCATCCCCCCACCCAGCCTACATTTTACCCCTACCATCCCCCCCACCCAGCCTACATTTACCCTACCATCCCCCACCCAGCCTACATTTACCCCTACCATCCCCCCACCCAGCCTACATTTACCCCTACCATCCCCCACCAGCCTACATTTACCCCTACCATCCCCCCACCCAGCCTACATTTACCCTACCATCCTCCCCACCAGCCTCATTTTACCCCTACCATCCACCCAGCCTACATTTACACAGCCTACATTTACCCCCCCCCCCCCACCAGCCTACATTTACTACCATCCCCCACCCAGCCTACATTTACCCTACCATCCCCACCCGCCTACATTTACCCCTACCATCCCCCCCACCCAGCCTACATTTTGCCCCTACCATCCCCCCCACCCAGCCTACCATTTACCCCTACCATCCCCCCCACCCTACATTTACCCCTACCATCCCCCCACCCAGCCATTTACCCCTACCATCCCCCATACATTTACCCTACCATCCCCCCAGCCTACATTTACCTTATTTATCCCTACACCATCCCCCCACCCAGCCTACATTTACTTATACCCACCTCCAGTTAGACATATAATCCCCCCCGGTCCCCGGTGTCCTCCCCCCCAGCACTTACTATGGGTCATTGGTGAAGCGCGGTGTGCGAGGCGGCTGGTACCCGTACAGGTGACAATACAGCACGTCGAAGCAGAAGCAGCACATCTCGGCAGACACCACCATTTTCCGGGAGCTGGGGCTCAGGCCGTTCCCACAGCCTGGAGAGAGAGTCCCGCAGCCCGGGGACAGGCTATTCCCACAGCCCAGGCCGTTCACCCGCTGGCTCACACCCGGGCCACTCCCGGAGCCCCCGAGCCCCAGCTCCGCCCCACGGCACTGGCTTTCCCCACTGCAGTGCGGGCCGCCTGGTCCCCCCGAGCCAGAGGGCGGAGAGCTGGAGAGTTTCTGCTTCTTCACCCCACAGCAGCCCGCCGCCATCTTGGAACAGTCTCCCACGCACCGCTTCCGACCCATGCTCCGGGCGTCCTCCTCCCGTGCGCGGTGACGTTGCAGCGCCCTGGTCCTCGCGGCCCCTCCTCTCCTGTCCTGTCAGTCACGCAGGTCTACGACCCCGCCCCTTTCCACCTACGAGAAGATTTGAGTGGCAGGCTGGAGGAGCTGTCAGTCACACACGCGGTAGCCCCGCCCCCTCCCGCAGCTGGATAAGGTGCAGGCTTGGAGGATCTGCAGCAGGAGACATAGAGGGGGGGAGGGGATTCAGTAGGAACAGCTGGCAGAGGTCAAAGGTCTCATAGCATGGCATCTTACCACATAGGCTGGCTTCACACATAGCATTATATTAAATGGGCAACACAGCAATATGCTACATACCATGAGCTATTTCATATTACCATTTTATAACAATATACTGGCAATTATTCATTTTGTTTTCTATATTCTGCATTTCATACACCACAATGTTACCACTAAAATACACAAATTGCTTCCAAATTCAAATCTTTGCGTGTCTACATTTTGGAAAATCAAACCAGAAAATGTGGGAAAAAAATACAGAGTTGTTGCGAATTGAAGATCACCAAAATAAGAAAATACCTACACTGGACAATTGGCTATTTCTTCTTATTTATTTATTTTTTGCTAAAATTGTGTAATTTGCATGCCAACTTTCTGCAGTCAGTGAATTAGTGAATAAAACACTTTGGACTTAGTGGCGAAAGTTGTTGTGGGAAAACACTGTTAAATATAAAACAGGAAAGGCTTGAATTTTTCAAGGGATTCAAAGTGATGAGTATAAAAATAAATAAACCATTACAAAAGTCTCTATGAGTTTGTCAGTATGAGCATTCCTGTATGTTAAAGGTTAGACGGGAAAAGGGAGTGAAAAAAGTGATCGAATGAAGAGGGATAGAAGAGAGGGTCAATGATCAGATATTATAAGTATATTAGTTTGCCGATACAGAATATTAGTCAATAGAAAACAAAACAAACAAAAAAAGGAGAAAAGAAAAAGCAGATATTATGACATGATGAAATGAGTCCTGGCAGGGTGTTCAGACTTACAAATTTAAAAGGACACTAAACAACTTTAGCTTAATGAAGCAGTTTTGGTGTACAAATCATGTCCCTGCAGTCTAACTGCTCAATTCTCTGCCATTTAGTAGTTAAATCACTTTGTGAACCCTAGTCACACCTCCCTGCATGTGACTTGCACAGCCTTCCTAAACACTTCCTGTTAAGAGTCATGTAAAGTTATCCTTCCTTTACTGCAAGTTCTGTTTAATTTAGATTTTCTTATCCCCTGCTATGTTAACAGCTTGCTAGACCCTGCAAAAGCCTCCTGTGTGTGATTAAAGTTCAATTTACAGAGAAAGAGATACAATTGTTTAAGGTAAATTACATCTGATTGAAAGTGAAACCAGTTTTTTTCATGCAGGCTGTGTCAATCAGAGCCAGGGGAGGTGTGACAAGCGCTGCATACACAGAAACAAAGTGCTTTAACTCCTAAATGGCAGTGAATTGAGCAGTGAAACCTGAGAAGCATGATTTATACACTAAAACTGCTTCATTAAACTAAAGGTTGTTTAGGTGACTATAGTGTTCCTTTAATTTTCATCTCCTTAATGCAAATCAAAATTTATTTTAAAGTCCTCTAGTGCCTGTAACTCCGACAGACACATTCGAAAAAATAGACTCAGTTATTTCAATCAGAGAGTCTGATTTCCTGTCCTAATGTGTTTTATACCCCACCTCCTATAGACTGTAAGCTTGTTTGAGAAGGGTCCTTTTCAACCTATCATTCCTGTAGGTTTTCTTGTAATTGTCCTACTTATAGTTAAATCCTGCTTCTCATAATATTGTAAAGCGCTACGGAATCTGTTGGTGCTATATAAATGGCAATAATAATAATAGAGACCATCTGATTGGCGCAGTGTATGCACACTCGCCTCCTAATGTACTGTATGAAAGCATTGAATTGGCTGAGATCATTGTCTTGATTATCTCAGCCAAGGAGGCAGAGATTTCCTTTGGAGACCAGCGTGGCAAGGACTGAAAGGTAAGTAAAGCTCGCACTTCGTGCCCTCACACAGTGGGGGGAACCTAGCATAGATTAAAACTATAGAATTAGGATTGTGTTTGCAGGGTTAAAGAAACACTATAGCTATGCAAATAAATGTAAAACATTGCAGTTTAAAATAAAAACATGGCAATGTTTACATTGCAGTGTTAAATCCACGTCTAGTGACTGTCACGCAGACAACCACTAGATACGTGTCTGTGGCACTGACCAAATTACACTTGGTCACATGACGTGGAAGCCTATAGAAAAACATTGCTCTCCTAAGGCTGGAAGTGACTTTATGATGAGCATTGGACTGAGCCATTGCCATGCCACCTTCATGATGTCATGGGGGGTAGAGAGGTGAGCAGCTCAGAGGAAGACTCAATGCTTGAAAAAGGTAAGTAAATCCTTAAGTTAGTTCATTTTTATATCACACTAGGGGTGGGGATCTGTAAAGAACTAGGGACAGGATCACTCTAACGTTAGGAATACAGGTTTTCTATTTCTAATGCTATAATGTCCCTTTAAGGACATCTGTCCCTTCTCTTTTTTAAAGGTTTATCACATTTAACACAATTTAAAGCGGCACTGTCATGCCGAACTTACCTTTCCTCAATCTCTTCCTCTTCTCCCCCTCTCTCAGGATCTGTTATTATTTTCTTCCTGTCTTCTTTAGTTTTCTTTAAAATCATAAGACAAAGTAGGGACTCTTTGCCTTATGGAGGATTCCTCCGCTTGACCAGCTCTGACCAGCAGAGGAGCAAAGTGTGCTTCATTTCCGCTGGTCAGAGCAATTTTCCCATGATCCCTAGCTTTCCTCAGTGTTCCCACAATGCTTCCTGTCACTTTACACTAAACTGCCGAATTGCGTTCTAACTGAATGAGAACGGTATGTTCGTTTCTTTTAGAACGCAATTCGGCACTTTATTCGGATCGCAATTTCATTCGAATGAATGAAACTCCGATCCTATTGATTGCTGTGGCTGCATCTTGCAGCCGCTTAGTAGATAACTCCCTAATTCCCACGGTATCAGGGAGTTATCTACTAAAAGGCTGAAAGACCTAAATTGGTCTTTCAGCCAACTTTACTAATACTAAGTAAAAATTACTTAGTATTAGTAAGTAATATGCCCCTACTCGCTATACCGCGAGTAGGGGCATGTCTGGTAAACAGTAAAAAAAAAAAAAAACTATTGGCCCCCACCCCTAAACGACGGGTGGGGGCCCTAAAGTAAAATAAGGGGGGAGACCAAATGACCTACTGCCCCCCCCCGGCCCCCACCCCTGGGCGGCGGGTGGGGGCCATAATGAAAATGAGGGGGGGGGGACCTACTGCCCCCCCCGCCCCCACCCCTGGGCGGCAGGTGGGGGCAATAATGAGGGGGGGGGACCTACTGCCCCCCCGGCCCCCACCCCTGGACGGCAGGTGGGGGCCATGAAGATAAGGAGGGGGGGGACCTACTGTCCTCCCCCCCCGGCCCCCACCCCTGGGCGGCGGGTGGGGGCCATAATGAGAATGGGGGGGACCTACTGCCCCCCACCGGCCCCCACCCCTGGGCGGCGGGTGGGGGCCATAAGGAGAATGAGGGGGGGGACCTACTGCCCCCCCCGGCCCCCACCCCTGGGCGGCGGGTGGGGGCCATGAAGATAATGAGGGGGGGGACCTACTGTCCTCCCCCCCCGGCCCCCACCCCTGGGCGGCGGGTGGGGCCATAATGAGAATGGGGGGGGGACCTACTGCCCCCGTCCCCCACCCCTGGGCGGTGGGTGGGGGCCATAAGGAGAATGGGGGGGAGGGACCTACTGCCCTCCCCCCCGGCCCCCACCCCTGGGCGGCGGGTGGGGGCCATAATGAGAATGGGGGGGGACCTACTGCCCCCCCCGGCCCCCACCCCTGGGCGGCGGGTGGGGGCCATATTGAGAATGGGGGGGGACCTACTGCCCCCCCGGCCCCCACCCCTGGGTGGGGGCCCTAAGTCAATTACCCCCCCCCCCACCAAGGTGACTAGGGGTCCCCAAGCCCCTAGTCACCCACCCCCCACCCAAAAAAAAACAAGTCCCTACCTACCCCCCTCACCCTAAAAAATAGTGAGGGGGGGATAAAATAACCAACCTGTAAAATAAAATTAAACTTACCATTCGACGTCTTCTTTTTTCTCAAATCTTCTTTTTTCAGCCCCAAAAAAGGCCAAATAAAAAAACCATCATAACCGTCGAATTGAAAATAAAATAAAAATCCCGAGCGCAAAAAAAAAAACCCGACAAAAAGAAAAAACCTGAGCGCAAAAAATAATCCATCTTCACCCATGGAGGGCTCCGCGCAGACTGAGCTCTGCAGGGCGGGGGAAGGCTTATAAAGCCTTGCCACGCCCTGCAATTAGGCTAAGAACACTCTGATTGGTGGTTTAAGCCAATCAGAGTGCTCTTTGTCATTTTACACAGCGTGGGAAAATTCAAAAGAACTTTCCCACGCTGTGTAAAATGACACAGAGCACTGTGATTGGATGGCTTGAAATCCATCCAATCACAGTGCTCTGTGTCATTTTATACAGCGTGGGAAAATTCCAAAGAACTTTCCCACGCTATGTAAAATGACACAGAGCACTGTGTTTGGATGGCTTGAAATCCATCCAATCACAGTGCTCTGTGTCATTTTACACAGCGTGGGAAAATTCCAAAGAACTTTCCCACTCTGTGTAAAATTGAAAGCCACCTAATCAGAGTGCTCTGTGTCATTTTTACAAATGGAATAAATTTCTTTGAATTTTCCCACGCCAAAATGACACAGAGCACTCTGATTACTAAACCCACCAATCAGAGTGTTCTAAGTTTAATTGTAGGTATGGGCAAAGGCTTTTTATAAGCCTTGACTACCATGAGCTCAGTGCACGCCATGCCTCTCGAAGGGCTTAACATGGATTAATCAATTTTTTTGGGCGCGACGCAAGTAAGGATGGATTTTTATTTGGCCTTTTTGGGGGCTGAAGAAAGAAGATTTAAAAAAAAAGAAGACGTCAA